CCAGCAAGATGGCAAGCAAGATAGGCGCGTTGCGACGCACCTTTCGGCAAATGGCAGCATTTGCCCGTCGCCAGTACCTGCAGTCAACTTCGCTTATAACGACATTCGGTGGGGCATCAAAAAAGTGTCCTTATTCGCGAAGTGTCGTTATGCCCGAAGTCTCATTATATGTATTACAGGTGGAAGGGACTTTGCTCTGGGCATGGAAATGCTGTCGTTATTCGCGAATTGTCGTTATATCCGCAGTCGTTATTAGCGAACTTGACTGTACATGTAGTAAGTGTGATTCAGCCCGACTTTGAGTATTGTTTCCCTGTTTACGCCTCTCGCCTATCAGCACAGTCCAGGGAGAGATTGTTTATTTTGTTCCGTAGAGCTGTACGAGTTACCTGCGGTGCTTCATACCATGCTGCTGTTCCACCCCATCTTGCTTCTCTTCAAATAAAACATCAATTTATTACGTTTACATGTATTTGTCATAATATTTTAGTTCAGCATGCATCATGCTTGCGCAGTCTTCTCCTTTGCCCACCTCTATGCGGTCAAGTCGTGGAAGTACAACAAACAATTTCCCAATTTGCTTGTTTAAATCCATGGTAGGGTACAATTATTTTTCGTCCAGAGCTTCCCTTCCGTGGAATGCCCTCCCTGCACACTTGACACGAATTGAAGACATTAGATCATTTTCTACAGAACTTTTGCACGCTCTAAATGGGGACACATTGGCTATATCCCTATACACCCCTCCTTTTTGAAAATGTATTTAACCAGTAAAATAGGGCTTGGAATTTTCTTTCTATGATTATCGACGCACTTGGCCCTTCTGTTCACGTCTTGCCCCGATCTATTAATGGTGCATGAATCCGCCCAGTTCACATTCCTTCTCCGTTTCTCTCTAGTAATGGTTCATGAATCCGCCCAGTTCACATTCCTTCTCCGTTTTTCTTTCCTTCCAGTTGCATCTTCCTTTCGGCTCTGTTTTATTTTCTCTTTTCGTTCGCCCCTCTTGATGTATGTACTTTGTGCTGTTGTCGAGTGTTGCGGCAACGAACTGAAATATTAAAAACTGAAACCAAACCATGCACTTTTCAGATCGATGAATCAACATTCGTAGTACGGTATTCCCGTTGAATAGAACTTGCATGTCTTTTTGTTTTAGTTTTTTTTAGTACAAAGCACTGGCTAGCAACATAAAAGGGGAGGTAGACAAAATTGGACAAGCGAACATTGACAACACTGAGGAGCCTGGCATGCGTGCCGATGAGGTAGGTCAACCTCCCCCGACCTAGTGGTCTCGGGTTCATCAGTTGGTCTACGCATCAGGAAGGGGAAATGGACAGAGAAAGGGAGAATGAGCATGAGGAGCCTTCCAGGAGAGGAAGAGAGAGAGAGAGAGAGAGAGAGAGAGAGAGAGAGAGAGAGAGAAACAGAAAATGATAATAATAGAGACAACCGGTTATTCTCAGTGCTGGTGGACGTCAGTGGCCAATAGCCAATTGGTCTGGCGGAGGTAGGCCTTGTTCTTGCTGGGGGAGGTACCATGTTGGTAAGCAGAGCTGGACCTGGTATGCATTGCAGCTGATACAGGTAGCACAGCCCGTGAACATGCCTTCGGATTGCCAGGCTGGGGAGCAATGAGGGGTCAATAACCTTCATGGCTCGACGCTGGACCAGGTCCAGCTGATGGAGGTGACAATGTGCCGCACTTGCCCAGACGAGAGGGGCGTACTCCATTATAGGCCGTACAAATCCTTAGTACACGGTTAGGCACCCTGCACTGTCCAGGATCCGAGACGCCTTTCGGAGCAGGCCGAGTCGCTGGTTGGCTCGAACGGCAAGGGAGCGGATGTGGGCCCGGAAGGAGAGAGTACTGTCAAATAACACTCCTAGCAGCTTGAGCTGAGGGCTCTCAGGCACCTGCATGCCATCAAATGTGATCTGTGGGACATCCAGAGATGATCCGTGGCGGTCAAGGAGTATGGCCTGAGATTTTGATGGCTCGAACTTTATCTTCCATTGGGCACCCCAAGTCTGCAGGCGGTCAATAGATGCTTGGAGGCTATTGCAAGCAGCAGCGATGGTATCTGGGTTTCTGATTAGGTCATAGAGCGTTGTATTATTATTATTATTATTATTATTATTATTATTATTATTATTATTTCACAATCACGATGACATAGTGCCAATAAGCATGTGATGCGGGCGATTTTAACCAGCCATGGTGTATCGTCAGCATAGACAGCTAGATTGGAGCCTGGAGCCAAATACTGTTCTGCATCGTTTACATAATACATGTACATGTATACATGTAACAGGAAAAGAGTGGGACCTACATGTACATGTACAGTGCATTCAGAAAAAGATGATAATTATCCTAGCTTTTGGCCATAAACGGGTCAAATTTTGAGTTTTCGTCTCCTTTTTTTGGCAATCCCCCATGGAATGCTCTTCCAATTGTGTTTTTGAAGTCTACATGTATTTCTCCAAAAAGCAAGCCATAACAAGAATAGGATTTCGGCCAGGTTTTGCCCCCAAAGCACTGAATTGGGTAAAAACCATGAAAATCCAGGCCGTTCACTCCACTTGCATAACAGTACATTTGCGGTTCGAACCCCAGTTGAGGTGCCTTTTTGGACCCTTTTTCAAGTTTCGAATCGCGCGGCACTGCACAGTGTACCACAAAATCGCCAAACACGGGAGCTCTCCAGAGCCAGCGCTCATCCCTTTCTGAATGGACTGTAGGAGGCTACCCTGGGGCACTCCAGCCTTGATCGGGAACAGTGAGGATGACTGACCGCCAACAACAACAGTCAGTTTTCGGTCATGGAGATATGACCTTAGCCAAGCCAGGAGCTGGCCGTGGATGCCACATTGCTGTGCCTTCGTAAGGACACCTGCGAGGGAAACCTTGTCGAATGCCCGGGAATTTCAACTGCCAGGGCATGCACAAGACCACCGCCAGCCAGTGTAGTGGCCCAGGAATGCTGGAGAGCCGTCAGTAGATCACTTGTGCCCAGTCCACGTCGGAAGCCAAGCTGTGACGAGGAGAAGAGTTGGTGGGTTTCCAAGTGGTTCACAAGCTGCCGATTGATGATACATTCCATGATCTTAGAGAGGATCGTCAGAAGAGATAGGCCGGTAGTTCTTCATCATGGATTTGGGTCCTTTCTTGTGCACTGGAACGACACGGGCAATTTTCCATGACTGGGGCTGGACTCCATTTGCGAAACACAGGCGAAACAATCTAGCCAGCGGATGTGCTAGTTCAGCTGCACACTCCTTGAGTACTCGTCCTGGGATCTCATCTGGACCAGTGAATTTTGATGTATTGAGACGCATCAGGCACTGTTCACTGTTGGACTTCGGAGACGCGGCCTTAAGCGGATGCGCTGCAGGCTCGGAGTGGTAGTGTGGGGTGTTGCTGGTAACTCAGCAGTGTCGATGTCATTGTCCCCAACTTCGCCCGAGGCTACATTTTCCAGCAAAGAATCTAGCAAGGCACTCACTCTTGTCACTCTTGGCTTTCGATGTACTGTGCTCGTGCCCGTCAGCATCAGTAACTGTTGGCAGGTCTGTAGTCGTACCCAGACCGGCGGCCCGCTTGACATTCCTCCACCAGTCCTTGTCTCTCATGTACATGGAAATCCGGTCGATTGACCGGGGTCAGCGCCCTCACTCCTCAGCGCGTACAGAACGCTGCGTGCCGTGCACACGTTGATCCGATGTGACCAGCGCGCTGCAGCGCTTAAAAATGAATGAATGTGTTACCCACGGCTGCATGGCCAGCGCTCTGGGGCCGCTAGACGTGCGATCGGATTTCCAATTCCACGACAGTAGTGAGTAGAGTCTACAATGTCATGTACATGTACATGACATTGATTGTACAAAAATAATGTCAAAAGTCATGTGTACATGATTGTACAATCATGTACATGTACAATTACATGTACATGTCATGTACATTGTACATGTACATGTCATGTACATGTACATGACTTTTGACGTTTTGTACAATGTCATGTACATGTACATGTGCAAGCTCTCCTCTTGTGAGTCGAGGAAGGCAACAACAGCTTCTTTCACTTCGTCCTTGTCGTCAAAGCATTGACCTTTTACTTGTGATTGTGTGAAGCTCTGATTTCATCAGTTAAGAAAAAGGAAAAAGTCACCTGGGGCCAGGTCTGGGGAGTACATGTAGGGTGGATGCCAGTGGATGGGGAAGCTACGAAAAACCACTATCGGTGACAGCAGTCTCTCAATGAGACTTGCGTATGCCAGTGCATTGTCTTGATCTTCAGCATTCTTGCCCCCCCCCCCACCCCCCCCCCCCCCCCCCCCGCCCCCGGTACGTCATTGCCTACATCATGTACAGTGCTGGCAATGGCAAGGGGGTCGGATTTCAGTTGCCAGCACTCTACAATGACTGCGTGTATGCTACTTGTATACTGGTAGTATCCGTACACAGAATTTCAGAAGGAGATGTTTTCATGTGCCTCACCCGTACACTCCCCAGCAGTTCCCCCTACACACCTTTGCTGTCCTGTCAAGAAGGCATTCATTCAGCCTGTCACATGTCACAGCGAATCTCAAGTGCTTCACAACTAGAATCGAATAATGATCACCGCGCTGTATAAGTACTGCTGTACTGGTTCTCGCTGCATGGGAAATGACTCCGCGACCTGGCGGATCGCCCTGATGAATAGGGCAAAAACACCCTGGACTTGTGTTTTGTAGTGCGTTGGTAAGAACTGAATGACTTGAGTTCATGGTGATTACTAGCTAATAATTATGCTCATGACTCAGCGCAGCCCAAGACATTTTGTCGTACAGGGCGAAACATCCATATTTGGATGTGCTCCGCGTGTGCTCCGATCCGCGTAGCTCGGGACCATGGGACACTTGGCCGTGGTCTTTTGTTCTGCATGCAGTCTGTGACAAAGAGCCATAACCTGACCAGTCCACAGGCGCTAGGCGCTATGCACAGTACAGAGCAGTTTCGACTTCAATTATTTTTTGTCAGTCAATGAGACTTTTTGGTCGAAGTCAATAATGAAGGGTTCAGGGAGAAAGGTTGTTGCAGAGCGACTAGACCTGTCCTTACCCGATCTACGAGCTGCATTTCTTGACTGTTTCGGGAGAACATTGTCATATAGTCAGGGCTTTGAACTAGCCACGCTAATCATGAATTCCTGTTGAAGAGCATGCAGCTTGGTTTCAAGCTTCGGGCGCAGTGTATGGATGCACGTCGAGCGGCAGAATTTTTCTATCTCTACTGTCAAGAGGAAGGGGAACTGAAAACTGGGTCTGGAGAAGTTCACTCGAGGAGCAGCACATACGTACATCAGTGCCTTTCCAAGGCCAGTGACCCCAAGTAAAATTGATACTGAATTGTGTCAGCACCTGATGGTGGTATGACCTATTCCTAAATTAGCCTACTTTGCCTGTTAGTGAACAGTGGAGCATAGCAGAACATTATCAATTCTGTCACAAGCCGTGGCAAGATATGGGATCGTACCGTTGCGCTGAAGGTGTGCGAGCTGGGCTGCAAGGCGGTTGCTGCAGTAGATCGCTATGCGGCCCAAGTGAATGCATGATTCACTGTCTGGATACCATGTTATTGGATATGAATGCGCTGTTAGACAATGTCATATTATTCTGACAGATATGCAGTAGGAAGCATCCAGCAATGATGAGAATATGTGTGAGCAATGTTTCGTGAGCATTGCTACCAAGTCTAGCCTCACTGTCAGCTTTGATAAAACAAAGTGCACGGTCGTCAATTCGGATCCACTTTTTTTTCCGAGTACTTGGTGTTTTCAGATGCCGACATCTAAATTGTGAAAGAACTCACTTACCTAGGTAGCTGTATTGCTGGCCACAGTCTGTTGTCGGTTGAGGTGTCTTCATGTCTTGCCAAGGCTTCTCTGGTATTTGGTGCCTTGCATTCTTCTATGTTTGGGAACAGCAACATATCCATTCAAACCGAACACACGTTTGTTTTGCAGTTCTGTCAACGTTGCTACAGTCATGGCCAGTCAAGGCAACTGGTACCCTTCGACTATCAGCATTCCACAACCGCTATGTTAGCTTCATCTCAGACGTTAGCAAGTCGGAGCAACGGTATGAGCATCTCTCCACCATTGCCATCTTGGGTGAGTGGTTGCGCACCCAGTCGTGTTTGCCTGTGTCAAAATCAAGGACTGGAACTTGGTAACTGCATACTGGTACTCAACTGTTCCTATCATGGCAATTTGTTTTGTTGTGTGGATGTGAGGGAAGCAGAGGGGGTTGTTGTGTGGGTGTGAGGGAGGCGGGGGGGGGGGGGGGGGGGGGGTAGGTAGGTAGGTACCGTAAAGTACCGCGCGAGCGCCCCACCAACTCGTCCTTTCGTGGTCGTGCTGTAGAGGTGGTCTGTAGGTCATGCAACACATACCTTGTACACACATTGCACACTTTGAAGTCAATTCGCACGCAGTCTACCTTGGAACTCCACACAAGGACATGCTGACCTTTAACACTACATTTCTCCCACCGTACTAACTTCAGTTGCACTCTGCGATACGATTTTCTTTTCTTTGGTTATAAATAAATATAAAATCAAGGCGGGCCGCTCTCGCAGTACTTTACAATACTAGTACAACAGGTACTACTGGTAGACATTAAAAGTCATGTTGAATATTAGATCATTGTATTCGACCAGTATAGCTGGTCATGCACTACTAGTATCTCGATAGTATGCTGATATGACATGAAATCGCATTTCTATACTCGCAGTTCGATATTGATATTGATATGATTGTGTGTGTGTGTGTGTGTGTGTGTGTGTGTGTGTGTGTGTGCGTGTGCGTGTGGTGTGTGTGTGTGCCTGTGTGTTGTTTGTGTTGGTGTGCGTTGACAGGTACTGGCAGACACTGACTGCGTACCCCATTAGCCGGTGGCTGTATGGCTGTGGTTGGAATGCATCCGCAGAGGCTTACCCAGGTAGGAACAGACACGTGCAATGTCACGGTGGTCCTTTTTCTTTCTGCAGGCAAACTGGGATGGTGTAATACGATGACTGAACAACAGATTGCACTAGGTTCAAGTCCTGCTTGCAAGCGGAATTATTTTTCTGGCCATAGTGCGAGCCACAGTCAACCCTGTAACTTCGACCGTACGGATATATTTATTAGTCAGCTACTCGTGACCTGGCATGAGGGTCGCATGGATACAGCTAATTTGATTATCCGCCATTGACAACTTGAGTGGGTCTGGTTAACCCAAACTTACTGCTGTAAGAACTTCAACCGCACATTGACCCCGGAAGGTAGTGGAATTTCTGCTCGCGCTGTAAAGTCCCTCTGGCCAACTCTTACTTGTGCTGTGACTTCTATTTCATTTCCTACAGGATGACGTTGAAACAAAAGTTGAACTGCTGCGCAAGTATTTTGTTGATGGTCCTGGAAAAGACAGTGGAATTACATCAATGTACTTACATTTTGACATTACCAGGTAGGTGTCAGCACAGCCCGTGGTGTGTGTGTGTGTGTGTGTGTGTTTGTCTGTCTGTCTGTCTGTCTGTCTATCTGTCTGTCTGTCTGTGTGTCTGTCTGTGTCTGAGTGCATGTCTGTGCATCTGTGTGTGTGTCTCTGTCTGTGTCCGTGTCCCATACAGCACAGTGGTATATGTAGTTTCCAATCACGAGATCGCGGGTTTTAAGAATGAAATGACACTTTACAGTGAAGCGTTCCATGCTACAAGTCCCTGTCGATGTGTGGTAGTAGGGTGCACTCTCCCCTTTTCGGCAGAGATGCACAAATTTGATGGAAATAAAAGATTAACGGAGCGTTACAGCTTTCTTAGACCACCACCTTTTGACGCAGAGGCCAGAAGATTGCTAGTACACACAGTGACATTAGTGGCAAAGGTATGTGTCGTGGTGGGTCTGCAGGTATGGGTGTGCTGGCCCAGCAGTCTATTGGGATTGTGTTTCCACTTCTATTTTTTCCGTCTGATTCTTCTACCAGGTACCGCAAAATGACATCACTAAGGGACTATTACCACGTGTTTGGAGACTCGGTATGTTGTTTGACATCTACTCAGCCTTGTTGCTGTGCTCTATCTGTGCCAGTGCATTTCTTTGTGACTGCACAACGTCAGTATTGTGAAGTGATAGAAGTTACAACAGTGCGGCTCAATGAAGTCTGATTGTGTGAGTCAAAGCTGTGCCCTGCACCATTTAGCAGCCCAGTGTTCGCAGGTCTAGGGCTGTACAGCGCTCAGAGTGGCATTCGCTAACTTGATCGGATTTCGTTGAGCAGCACTGTAGAACGAGAACATCCCTGTAGATGAAAGGCGTGTACTCCGTCTCCCTCCATGAGTAGTTGTCCTATGTAATGCATACCAAGTTTTGGCAGTGCCTCTTTTCCCTGACCACTGACCACTGAGTCTAAGCTCTCTCTCTCTCACTCTCTCTCTCTCTCTCTCTCTCTCTCTCTCTCTCTCTCTCTCTCTCTCTCTCTCTCTCTCTCTCTCTCTCTCTCTCTCTCTCTCTCTCTCTCTCTCTCTCTCTCTCTCTCTCTCTCTCTCTCTCTCTCTCTCTCTCTCTCTCTCTCTCTCTCTCTCTCTCTCTCTCTCTCTCTCATATTATATTATATTGTGAGTATTCTTGTATTGGTCTTGTGCTTTTGTACTTGTAGCATCTACATGAGAAATTGCTTGGCCTGACGTACAAAATATCGGCTGATGCCTTCTTCCAAGGTAATGACATGTATGCTGGCACTTGTTAACTGGCTATCATCATTGCTGCCCTGTGCATGTACGTGTATGATAACGCAGAGCCACGTTCATTGCATAGCCACATTCAGTGCATAGCCACGTTCAGTGCATAGCCACGTTCAGTGCATAGCCACGTTCAGTGCATAGCCACGTTCATTGCATAGCCGCGTTCACCGCATAGCGACGTGCTCATACTCATAGTGCCAGAGCCATGCAGAGCCACTCAGAGCCATGCAGCAACTGTTTTATCTGAGGTCAGATTTCCCTTTTCACCACTCACTGCAGGACCATATCAACCTGCATTATACAGGATTGCAGAGTTTTGCCCTCCCTCTGACCAGATCGCTTTCATTGGATTATTCTGCTGGAAAGATTCCGATTCTTGCCACATAATTAGTTTCCACGGCAAGTTGCAACGGGAGTACACAATTCTCTTCTTATACTGTCTGTTTGTACCTCGGTGTGTGTGTCTGTCTGTCTGTGTGTGTCTGTGTGTGTGTGTCTGTGTGTTTGTGTTTGTGTGTGTCTGTGTCTGTGTGTGTGTGCATGCGCATGTGTGTGTCTGTGTCTATTTGTGTGTCTGCACAGTAAACACCCCTGCCACTGAACGTCTGTACACATTAATCTGTGACTGGTGCGATGTCAACAAGGACTCTATTGTCTTGGGTAAGCTGCTATGGACCTTACCTGACCATGCACTGAAATTTCACAATTTCCCCACTGCACTGAACAAGTCCACAATGACCTTGTAATCGATTTCACAGACACTGCTGTTACCATATGCTGTCATAGGATCTCATGTGTATTTGCTCCCGTGCACATGGTATTGTGCTCTCGATGTCTGTCCACCTGGTCCACTGGGCAAGCTCCACAGCTGTAGCTCATAATAAAGACATAATTATATTATATCCCGCAGAAGTCTCCCCTATCCTGGATATGTTCAAGTCTTCCATCCTGGCTATGTGTATGGGCTTTTTCTAGACTTCTGCGGTCTGCAGGGCTTTTCAACATGGGGGGGGAGTAGTGTGTTTGTTGTCTATGTTCACGCTGACGTGTGGATGCATTTATTGCCATCTTGTGCTGCACGTGTGGACCCGGTGCACCTCGTGTGTTTGCATTTGTGTGTGCATGTGTGTGTGTGTGTGTGTGTGTGTGTGTGTACGTGTGTGTGTGCGTGTGTGTACGTGTGTGTACATGATGTTGATGTGCATGCTGGCAGGCATCACCAATGCTGAGTTTATCTGTGGCAAAGCAGAATTTTTCATGGACGGGCTGATGAAACGATACGGCCGCAACCCCAACCTGGTCGCCGTTGTTGATCCACCACGAGCTGGCTTGCGTAAGTGTTTCATTTGAAAGTGTCACATTTCAATTGCATTGTACTCTTTAACTTCATCTACGGACACTCCTTCGATTTAGGCTATAAAGGTCTGTGGAGAATCCGTAAATACTAATACAATCTATAAGTGTGAACACGAGCAGTATCGTAGATAGATTACTGCACTCTTGGTATGGTAGGAAGACTGCAGTATTGAAGTTCAACTGACGGAATGACAGTTTGCACTGCAAGCAAGTGCAGGACAAACAATCAAAAAGCAACTGTTGCACGCTAGTCATTACAGGCACGGGGCACTTGTTGACTCGTCGCAACTTGCACTCAATTGACACCCTTAGCAAAAAAAACTTTATGTTGTAACGGTATTACCGTAAGGGGGAAAATACCGTGATTTGGGTTCGACCTTTAGCAAGATGCACGCTATTTTTAGTACGCTGTTGCCACGAGAATAGCTTTTATTTCGTGCAGTACAACCATTTATGTCACCATATACGCGGTACATGGTGAAATGCGTACGGACTATGCAATATTTGGCCAAAACACGTACCGTTGGTCACAACGATAAATCAGCCCCCCTAACCTTTTTAACTGCAGCTTCAACGCTATTTGGATGATCAAGGTACGAGTACCGTAAGAAAAAATAGCGTTACCGTTGTTTGCTAAGGCAGTAAGGGTGTCTAATACTAGTGGTGCACAGTAACAGTATCAATAGTGTCAGTAGTCTGCACTTACGCACTTTCCAGGCATGCAATGATCGTGCGTAGACTCATACCACTAGCGATCTCTTATCGAGCACAATCGCTAACGATAACCCTAGCTGACGGACAAGTGCTCGAGTACTCAATACGATTCTTTGACATACCGGGCAGATCCTAATTTGTTTGTCTGTGTGTGCACATGTGTGTGTACGTGTGTGCGTGTGTGTGTACGTGCATGTGTGTGTACATGTGTGTGTATACGTGTGCACGTATGTTTGTGTTCACATGCACACAACCAGACGTATCTAGATCCGGATGTGTGCCAGCTCATTCGCAAGACCTCTGCCCTGAACCGTCTTGTCTTCGTCGCCTGCAACCTCAAGCAATTTAAGGACAACTTGTATTGTAGTAAGTTCTTGCTCATGCTGATGTTGACAATGATATTGATATTGGCAAGAGTACACACTCCCCCACCCCAAGAGTGTGCAACTGCCTGCACAACCTCTATACAGTACTGCCACAGCAGAACTTCACATCGCATATTATAAACATGGTTCAAAAGGTTACGCTGGCAAACAGTGCAAAGTGACCACAAGAGAGTTGAACCCAAAGCTGTATCTGTCATACACGGGGCGCAAAGCATGTGTACGGGTTCATCACGTGATGTAAAGTTCTGCCCTTGCAGACCCCATAGCTGGAGTTGCACACTCTTGCTGTCTTGAGGTTTATGTACTCTTGATATTGGTGTGGAGTGTTCGCACAGTAAACGCAGTGGTGGTTTGTAGTGCATTTTGCATTTTGAACTTTTCGACACCTGAACATACATGAAGAGTCTTATAAGCCATATGCACGTAGCGTTGTACAGATGCACCAAATCCCGTACAATCTCGTAGATCCCGTAGACCCGGTTGGGTGTTGAATTTGCAGGACCCTATTGTGTTTACTGCTATTTCCACTAAGAAATGAGCCCTGAAGGCATTTCATAAGAAAAATTCTGACAAAGATCTAGCTAGTCATTACTTCTAACCAAAGTGAAGAAGCTGGAAAAGCGATTGTTTGCCATTCATTATGAGGCTAAAATTGGTCAAATGTGCATGCATAGCACACAATGAACACTCAACCGGGTCTGTACACACCTACGGTCCCAGTACAGAAGTCTGTACATCTGTGCAACGTGCATAAGGTCCATTAGCGGAGGCCTGCATGACTTGTACAGTATGGGGCACTATAGGCCGATCACCCTCACTGCTCGGGTGGCGTGACTGTCTTCAGCGGTCCATAGTTCTGAAAGTATCCTTGCGGTGCTGCATGCTTACTCAGTGACTGTACTCGCTTTGCACAATGCAAGCATCTTCTGATGTGTGATGGAAGTCAAGTTAAGTTAGACTTAGTCAGCACTTTGCTTCCAGCAAATGCCTAGGCCGAAAATAGCCGAAAATAAATAAATATGCAGTCAAGTGGTTTGCTTCACTGTCCGAAGAGTGCTCAATACTAGGGCTGAAACGATCCTGGATTTTCACGTATCGATTAGTCTTTAGCTTAACGATCGAGTAATCGATTATAATCGTTAGCAATTCTGTGCAAACATTACTATGTTTCCACAAACTATGGCTTCATAATACCAACAAATCTGCATTAGTGAAAGGGTAGCTCCGAAACATGGCAGTTTCGAAGTCAATTTAACCTCAGAACATGAACCATACCCCTGCCCCTGGCAACTGCATACTCCCAGCGGAAACTGATTCAAACTTCACGAAACGAGGGTTTACAGTACTTTCTGGACACAAATTTAAAAAAAAGCAAAATAATCGTAATCGGTAATCTAAACGATTGCTCGATCGTTAGAGTTATCAAACGAGTACTCGATTATTTGGTATAATCGTTTCAGCCCTACTCAATACCCATGTAGGGCAAAGCCTTGTACACAAACTTGCCTGATGATCGTAGTAATACGTGAAACTCAGAGCTGTAACAAAGCTTCCAATCTCTCTCTTGTAAATAAATATTAATATGCTGCGAATATCCGAATATTTGTTGACTTTACAGTGCAGTGTATAATGCGTTGCTTGTTCTGTTTGTCCATGTACACAGCCTATGCAAACATCCCAACAGGGCAATCAATACAATGGGCTTCAGGCCACTCAAGGCAGTCACTGTGGACATGTTTCCGCACACACCGCACTGTAAGGTCGCCATGCTCCTGGAGAGGGTACCATCTCCCAGGTAAGCTGGAGTTGCACTGGCCATGACTGCCACCCATGGCTGTCACCCATGACTGTCAATGCGGTTTTAATTAATTATTAGTGATGTCATCATCATCGATTCATTAACCCATTCGGGTTGCTGTGGCAACAATGCCGCGCCATTCCGTCCTTGTCTAGTGATATGACACTAACATGTACTTTGAAGTGTCATGTTTGCCGTTTGAGTATATCTTAGCACGATCATGCGACAGATGCAGTGATCTTCAAACCTTCAAATTTGAATTTTCTATTCAAGTAATGTTGGGAGCACTTTTTAGATTGAATAAATTCGAATAATTGAATACTGTATTTCCTCTATTATAAGTCGCAACCCATTTTCAGGTCTGAGCCAAATTATTTCGATACATTCACATAAGTAGAAAGTCACACTAAATTGTAAGTCTTCTTTGCCCTTGAAGTTCAGTGTAAAAAGGTGCGACTTACATTCGGGAAATACGGTATTTGAATGTTTGTTACATTCCTAATACGGGTAGATGTCTTCACCTTTCAACGTACATGTAGGTGTTCATTTGTTTCTAGTACTTCAAAGTAGGCTAGTAGAAGTCAGAAAGCGATAGAGCTGTGGGATTTTAGTGTACGGGTAGCCAAAAGCTGAACTGTTTCAACAAAATGGCAAAGACATAGGATATACAGACTGCGAATCAAGGACCTGCCGAAGTCGGTAGATCTGCATTCTTGCACTTCCGTCCACCGCAGACAACTTTCCTTCAGCTATGCTTGGCCTCAGTGTAGAGGCTATTTGCCTACACCATCAGCTGAACCGTTTTGTGTGCAGTGTGAAAGCTGCAGCACTGGCTCATCTGATTCATGCTGTATACGTAGCGCGAATCCGCAGGCTGTCCACCATGGTCTCTTTTGCAATTTTGCATAACCCCTATTCCCTTGCCACGCTGCTCTTCTTGCTATGTAAGAACCAGTGGACAGTAGTCAGTTCTGCAGTTTGCAAGCCCAGTGGAATCAATCCGCTTCGTCAAGCCCTGGCCGGACCCACTTGCTGGCCACCAACACGTGTGTGCTGCTGAGGAGGTCGTGTGTACTAGTACCCTCCATATCATACAGGAAAGACTATGGTATGGGCCAGATCAATCAAAAACTGCCTCCACTAGTCACTATGTTGTTCACTGCAACTGTCACATTTCTATACCCGTATACTTGCTTCAGACTCGCCGACTTCAAGTCTGTGGGGGAGCCAACGGCAGCCGACACAACACAACAGCCAAACCAAGCTGCAGCTCAGGCAGAGTAAGGCAACCGCGCTTCTGTGCACCATTGGAGCAGCTCTGACTGGACGATTGTTGCACTGCTTGAGCATGCTGCAGAGGTAGTGCTGTTGAGCAGCTGACCGTCAAGGTCATGACTCATGTGCTAAACAAGATGGTGTCTCAGCAGCCATTCTAAAATGTGCATTCAATGGTGGTCAGGATTACGTCCTAAGGCAGCCCCGGAGCTGCTCCTGTTCTCCCCTTTGCGCGTACTGTGAATCCCCTTGGAGCGTACCGGCTCTGATGTGACAAAACTGAATTATTTTGTCACACAACCCACATCACATTGTGGATCGTACAGCTCTCTGATATTTATTGTGCTTTTTTCATTGGCCTGAATTTAAATCCAACCCAAGTGTTATCAATCACAATCAAGGAGTAGTAAGCTTCTTCTTTTTTAGCACATCCTGATCCACAAAACACCCTGGTGGCCGGAGAAACCCCCAATCTAATCCATGCTACTATGGCTTTTACCATGAAGAGCAGGTTGTGATCTGGAGGTGGTTGATGACTCGATCCAGATCCAAATCTCAGATCCGTCAGATCCTTCAGAATCAAACGATCACGGCCTTAATGCTTGGACTTGGTATCAAGGGCAAAATATTACAACTAAAATTGTGGTTGCAATGAATACAAACTTAACCAGCAAATGCATTTTACTGAAAAGATATAGGCCAATTACCATTAAATTATTATTTTGTCACCATTGTTCAGCAAAGTCTAGTGCAATATGGTGAAGTAATCAAACCCACTTCCCTAAGACTACCACGACCACGACCCAGCTGAATATGCCAGGGGAACGGACTATGAATTTACTTTGAAATGCTAACAATGCTGTTACTGTGATGGGTCCAAGAAATCAACTCGAAGCATTGCAACAGCGCAAACTCCCTAATACTTCGTAAACTCTGTCCAATTTTAACTTACAAGCTCATTTTTATGCAGAGGAGCATGAGCATGTGACCGGTACATCTCAAGAGTCAAGAAAGACACTGCTGTTGCCACTGGTGTGTATCAAGCCATAGGATTCTCTACTATCAACTTGTATCGAATGAAAACCGAGTCGATTGACTCGCCAGGAACGTTTCCTACACCCTAATTCATACAAGACCGAATAGCGGTTCCTCACATTGGGAAGACCGAAATCCTTCAAAACACACCTGTGAGAAGGTCCTGACCATGTTCGGCTATGCTATCTAGTATCTAGCCAGACTTCTTCATTCCTTTTTATCTAGTATCTAGCCAGACTTCTTCATTCCTTTTTGGCGCGCTTGCACTCGATCCGCTATCATCTGCCGATGGTGGTCACGCGAGCGCTTGGCGTGTCGTCTTGCACGATCTTCCAGCTGCCGTCCCTGAAGGTTTCGGTGCGCTTGGCTGACGTACACAGCACACTCGAGTCCTTCCGTCCAGCTGCAGCATGTAGACAAGGTGTCAGGAAAAATGCCGCAATAAAAAATATCTGTACAGATGTCTCACAATTGCATGGTCGGAAGCTTATGATCAACTACTAGTACGCTAACCACTGACTCTATACTGATGCACCACCACTAGACTGTAAGCACAGTCAAACTCACTGCAGCAATAGAAACAATAGACAAATTATGTTGCCCTGTTCCCTTGCAGATGTCCAGCATCGCCAACCTTTGAAGTAGCTTTGCATTCCAATAAGGAAATACCAGCAAGCCCATACAGTCGATCTACCCTTATAACGATATTACCCTTATAACGATATTTTTTGCCAAACCAAATCAATCCATTGACTCGTGTATACATTGTCTTACCTCTATAACGATATTGCTATAACGATATTACCCCTATAACGATATAAAACGGGCTGACCAATCGACATTTTCCATTTTATAACAATATCTAGCAGGGAGACCACTATCCACGTAGGGCAAGCTTTGCAAACTTCACTTGATAAGTCGCTGGGACATGACGAAATGCAATGGGGGCACCAGTGGGCACCTTACTGTGTACATAATGTGCATGTACGTCAGTTTATATGCTATGAAGAGTGTAAAAATTTGAACGAAATCCATGCATTATGACGTATGTGTATGAAATGAACCAGTTACCCCTATAACAATATTACCGTTATAAAAATATTTCTTGGTCTGACGGAAATATCGTTATAAGGGTAGGTCGACTGTATTAGCACACGTCCGCTGACATTCACTACGCGGCTGGAGGTGCAAGTACCAAGAGGCAGGACTGCAGCAAGCGAAATCAACACCGTGGATAAGCTACCATGCACCAGTGCTGGAAACACTGCGGTCCGTCCGACTGCACTTGGGAGGGGGGCACAATGCTGATCGGTTGCTGCAGGTCAGACTTGACTAGCTGCGGCTGTTACTAGTACATACCCTGCAGAATTACAATAACAATTAGTTGCATGGCACTCAATTGGTGGCAGATTTCCTCGGCGTACGCATGCACGCGCCAAGCACTTACATGTTATAATCCTTGACGTTGGCAGCTTCCAGCACAAATGGTCGTTCGCGGTGATGACTTGAAACGCATAACATTGGCCGTAACCTGCTGGTTAGCCGTACACACCGCACACCGAATCCACAACATGATGACACAATCATGTCGTAATTATGATGAAGACTTGGAAGCACAAAGGGGAAAGGAGATGGAAGACCGAACTTGCACCATGACTTCATCTTCGTTACATTCATGTCATAGGGCAAAGGGCACAACTATGCGCCACTCCCTATTTGTGCTACTCACTTTCCAGTCTTGGTGGACCACTGGCGTGTATCCGCGTTACGTCAGCCAAGCGGAGGTTATGAACAGTAGAACCTGCACGCGTGCGTACACGCACACACACAAACACACACGTGCGCATGTACACACACATGTACACACTCATACACATGCACACACAAGCACACACACACAGTCTGGTGGTGAAACGAATATCAAAACCCAGTAGCCGAAGCTTCTTTGGCTTAACGAGCAAACGAATATTCCTTTGGCAACACAGGTGACATCACAAGTCATGCTCTCCTCTCTGTCATTTGATTGGATATTGCCACTAGTATTATTACACTTTATTAGGCATGACAAACGGTAGTGCCACATAAAACGTACTGCCACATAAGGCTACTTCAAAGTTCATACATGTTATGTGCAACATTGGCAGTCCAGTATGCGCATACATCTGCGCATGCAGTACGAAATCACAGGGCAGGCTATACGCACTGCACTCTACTGTGTTCGGCGTGCATGCATGTACATGCAGTGCATTCGAAGTGACGTTACGAATACTCGAACGTGACAAACCGAACGAATATTCGAATACTCGTTTCACCACTATGTTAAAGTCAAACACACACACACACACACACACACACACACACACACACACACACACACACACCTCAGACCTCAGACATGCCCATCGCGGAAGCGATGATAGCGAACAGCTATGTTAGACATAGCAACTTGTGCTGGGATTACACCATTCAACAGCTTGCAAGGCTGATGAATTGACCGCCACTATTTTTAGCCTGGTATCCACCACACAGCTGTTTGAAGTGACTTTTTCTGGCCAGTGAATCCCTATTTTTCATTTTTCCATTTTTTTTCACACACACACACACACCTCAGACCTCACACATGCCCATCGCGGAAGCGATGATAGCGAACAGCTATGTTAGACATTGCAACTTATTGGTAGATTGACAGCATGAAACAAGGTGGAGGACACTGTGTTCCGAAACAGTGACCTTACTACAACCGCAGTGACCGGGGCTCTGCCAACCGCGGAAGGTTGTAGTAAGGTCACTGTTTCCGAACACAGTGTCCTCCACCTTGTTTCATGCTGTCAATCTACCAATATGCGTGAGCTATAACAAGGTTTATCTAATACTAGTTTTGAACTAGTATTGGGTTATATAATAACATAGCAACTTGTGCTGGGATTACACCATTCAACAGCTTGCAAGGCTGATGAATTGACCGCCACTAATTTTTAGCCTGGTATCCACCACACAGCTGATTGAAGTGGCTTTTCCTGGCCAGTGAATCCCTATTTTTCATTTTTTTCCTTTTTTTATATTTTTTACACACACACGCCACACCACATACTCCGGCATACACTGGCTGTTGGTAACCACCCAGGAGAATAAAAGAAGAGCTAGGAGAATGAGAAAGGGAAGAAAGACGTGTGCGACCATAATCGTCGGGAATTGAATCCGCAACCTCTCGATTGGAAATCGACTGCACATACCACTGCATCATATGGGACACACACTCACCTCAGACCTCAGACATGCCCATCGCGGAAGCGATGATAGCGAACAGCTATGTTTTAGACATAGCAACTTGTGCTGGGATTACACCATTCAACAGCTTGCAAGGCTGATGAATTGACCGCCACTATTTTTAGCCTGGTATCCACCACACAGCTGTTTGAAGTGACTTTTCTGGCCAGCGAATCCCTATTTTTCATTTTTCCATTTTTTTTTTTTTTTTTTTTTTTTTTTCCTACACACACACCACACCACATACTCCGGCATACACTGGCTGTTGGTAACCACCCAGGAGAATGAAAGACTCACACACACACACACACACACACACACACACACACTTGTTGCTCACTGCCAAAACTGGTCACGTGGGTCTCCCCGGGAGAGGGGAGAGAGACTCAAAAGGAATCTTGGAAAAATGACTCAATCGGATATCGAACCGCCCAACGGCCTACACCCCCTGAAATCCCCAAAACTCTGAGTGGACTTGAAAATGATCCCACTTATGGGCTCACCACACCTCAGTAAGTGGGTGAGGACAAGGTGCAGAAAAAGGATTGACGGCATCAGGGTATCCGTCCCGGGATCCAACTGCAGTTACCCTTGCCCCCAGTGAAGGTAATACTTGCTACTAGTGTGCGTGGATCTGACATAAGCTTCACTAGCACCTTTGATTACACAAGAGTTAATCTAACCAGAAGCAGCCCATGGTTAACAGGTATGTATCACGCTCCTCGGCTTTCGCCTTGTTGAGCACTCTCAGTAGGCTGCTCTAGTGCTGCTGCATCGCGCAATGCCCGCTACTTTTTGTAGTTTGAGCACTCTGGCGCTAGAGCGACGAGCTATCCTAATGTCTGTGGTGCCTCCTTTGCACCATGGCTGGTAGCTCGGCCTATTTAGCTCGTAGCTGTACTGATGAGGCCTTTATGGCCAAAACAGCTTGCTGTCTACAGTATTGGGTATCACGCTCCTCGGCTTTCGCCTTGTTGAGCACTCTCAGTAGGCTGCTCTAGTGCTGCTGCATCGCGCAATGCCCGCTACTTTTTGTAGTTTGAGCACTCTGGCGCTAGAGCGACGAGCTATCCTAATGTCTGTGGTGCCTCCTTTGCACCATGGCTGGTAGCTCGGCCTATTTAGCTCGTAGCTGTACTGATGAGGCCTTTATGGCCGAAACAGCTTGCTGTCTACAGCATTGGGTATGTATACTTCAAATAGAAAGTATATGAACCCTGCAACCAACAAAGGTGGCAGGTACAACAATACACCTTCAAGCAGCCGAGCTCGTTGGCAACAGACCCAACACTATCTGGCATAAGTGTACCGACCAACCGAACTAGCTGGCACACACACACACACACACACACACACACACACACACACCTGCCCATCGCCGAAGCGATGCCGGATAGCGAACACGCTATGATTGACATAGCAACTTGTGCTGGGATTACACCATTCAACAGCTTGCAAGGCTGATGAATTGACCACCACTAATTTAGCCTGGTCTACACCATACGGCTGGTTGAAGTGGCTTTTCTGGCCAATGAATCGCTATTTTTCATTTTTCTTTAAATTTTAAATTTGCACACACATACCACACAAATATCATGAGATTCAAAACTGGAAAAAAATGTCAGAGAGTGCTCTACAGGGCGCATTACATACTCGTGCACCAATTGCAGCACCACTGTACTCCGCTACATGATTGGGACCAATACATGTGTACAGCATCATACCCCTGTATCCCAATTCCCGTGATTCATTGCCTGTGAACACTGATCTTTGGATCCATGGTCAGGAGAACGTGAGCCTGCTATTCAGGAAAGTCACCAGCATGCACGGCGGTGGTATGCAGCAACAGCAACAAAGAGCGGAGAGCAGCACTTTCTAGCAGCAGCAGCAGCCACTAAGCAGTGTATGGCTACCAGCAGCAGTAGCAGCAGCAACAGCAGAAGCAGTACTCACCCCAGGCCCTCACTACACAGAGGCCGGATTCATATTACCAGCAGCATGCACAACGCCACATAGGCACATACCTGTTATGTTGCTTAGACGGGAGCGCGACTCCACTTCCTTCCAGATGAGCTCTCGGCCGTCACTGGAGAGCCAGAAGTGTCTCTGGTGGTTCCTCTCCAGATCCTTAGTGTACTATGTCATAACACAACCTGTGCAGATAGACACACAGACAACACATGTTCCATGCATGCGCGCACACACACATATACGCAAACACGCACACACATGCATGAACACACATACACAGACACATACGCATGCACAGCGGCGACAGCACACCGTCATAGTCGCGATCAAGTAAACCGGGGTGCAGTTGGAATGTCGTTGGTAAGTGACCAGGTCACTCATGGGACCTGGTATTTTCATGCAGAGAGCAGCATCATAAAGTAGCGCAAGAGCACCCCACCACCTCGTCCTTTCGTGCTCGTACTGTGGAGGTGGTGTCCTGTCTGGAGGTCATACAGCACACACCGTGTTCACACATTGTACATTGTGCATCCAATCCGTACTCAATTTTACCTTTGAACAGATGCGAGCTACACACAAGAGTGACCTTTGTACACTTAGGGGCCTATTATATGTGCAACTCCAGCCCGGGCTGGAGCGAGCGGGCCAGCCCGCCAAGGGTGTTTACATGTGCAAGGCCGGGCTGATCGCCAGCCCGCAGTGAGTTTATATGCGTTGAGCACACGCCAGCCCGTTGTGAGTATGCAGCAAACACACTACGACTATATATGTGTGCTGCCCCGGACTGAAACGCAGGGCTGCAAGCCATACTCAGGTTATCAACCTAAATTGGCTAAAAACTTTTTTTCTCACACAATGCATTCTTCTGCTGATTTCTTTTCGCGCTGTGGCACATGTTTGGTGTGTTGTATCACCTCGTTTCTTTTTCCTCTTTTTCACATTTTTTAGCTGTCCATATCAAAGTATTTTGCAAGTATTTCCTTTCCATTTTAATGTAAATCATACATGTCGACAAATAAACAGTGCTCACTGCACGTCCTTCTTGTTGCTGTACAAAAGCTTCAAAGATTTTCAAGACAATTTCGGGAATCCTCTTTATAACTTCCCTCAAAAGGTAAAAGTACCTATTTTGTAGTATGAACGCAGTGTCGACACCATAATAATACAACTCTGGCCCGGGCTGGTCTGTTTATATGTGCTTTTTCTGGCCCGCCTAGCCGGGATCCCGGGTACCTCGAGGCGGGATCCCGCCTCGCCGGGCCAGCCCGCTTGCCATGTAAACGCACCACAGGTTTTGTATGGATTTGTGTACAACCCCGAGATCCCGTTGCAGGCGGGCTGGCCCACCTGTTGACCAGCCCGGGCTGGAGCTGCACATATAATCACCCCCTTAGGCTCTCACACCGTACAAACTAAGTTTGGTCTGCCATACGATTTCCCTTTCCTAAGTAGCCTGGGCTGTAAAATCAAGGCTCTTTTTGCGAGACTGGGTGCTCGAAGGTAAACGGAGTATGGATTGACTGCACAGCATGTGTTGTGTATGCAGGGTGTGTGTTGCATGACGGCCTCCAGACAGGACCCTGCCTCCGAAACACGGCCACGAAAGGGTGGCGGTCGTGGGGTGTTCTCGTGGCACTTTACCGTACTAGGGTTTAGCTGGTGTTAGCGGCCATCGTGAGTTCCCTTCGGAAACGGACACGATAATTTACTCTCTTTTTTACGATACTTTTATCCTCACATAACATTATGCTCCTATGATTACTGACGGCTGGTACATGGTAGCATCCCTCCTGCTGTGCAGCTGGGGGATCGATCGGGCACAACACTGCAAGGGAATGCACGGCAATCGCTACTCACCGCTCTGCATGGGGCCCTTGTAGATGGTGTGGTACTTGAAGCAGAACGTGCACACCCACACCTCAAATTGGCCCGCCTTCTGCGCGCACTCCCCACCGTGAAATATGTCGCCGCACAGACGACAGCGATGACGCCGATTGGTCAGTGTAAACTCATCACCGCAGTATCCGCACGTCGGTGCCTCCTCATTTTTCACCCAGTACTTGTCAGGTCAGAATAATATGTCTAACAGCGCATTCATATCCAATAACATGGTATCCAGACAGTGAATCATGCATTCACTTGGGCCGCATAGCGATCTACTGCAGCAACCGCCTTGCAGCCCAGCTCGCACACCTTCAGCACAACGGTACGATCCCATATCTTGCCACGGCTTGTGACAGAATTGGTAGTGTTCTGCTCCACTGTTCACTAACAGGCAAAGTAGGCTAATTTAGGAATAGGTCATACCACCATCAGGTGCTGACACAATTCAGTATCAATTTTACTTGGGGTCACTGGCCTTGGAAAGGCACTGATGTACGTATGTGCTGCTCCTCGAGTGAACTTCTCCAGACCCAGTTTTCAGTTCCCCTTCCTCTTGACAGTAGAGATAGAAAAATTCTGCCGCTCGACTTGCATCCATACACTGCGCCCGAAGCTTGTGGCGCTTCTTACCCTTGCATGCAGAGCTCTTCAAAATGCAAGGCCACAGTCCAGAAGTCGTAAAAAAAAAACAAGAAACCAAGCTGCTCTTCAACAGGAATTCATGATAAGCGTGGCTAGTTCAAAGCCTTGAATGACAATGTTCTCACGATACAGTCAAGAAATGCAGCTCGTAGATCGGGTAAGGCCTAGTCGCTCTACAACAACCTTTCTCCATGAACCCTTCATTATTGACTTCGACCAAAAAGCTCCTTGACTTACAAAAATTGAAGTCGAAACTGCTCTGACACCAGTCTGTGCCACGGCCAAGTGTCTCATGGTCCCGAGCTACGCGGATCGGAGCACACGCGGAGCACATCCAAATATGGATGTTCGCCCTGTACGACAAAATGTCTTGGGCTGCGCTGAGTCATGAGCAATAATTATAGTTGGCTACACCAGTAGTAGTAGTAGGAACTGCATAAAGACTTGAAAGTAATGCCTGATTCACTGCACCCGCTGGATCGGGATGCAAGCTGTGGATGTGACGATCTTTGAGCGTGAATGCCGTTGTGTTCATCAATTTTTGCACGAAAGTTATCATTCTGTCCTTGTTTTGGAGCTGTCCGTCATGGCAGAGGTGAAGGAGAGCTGCAACACTGGTGCTGAGAATACCGGTACGCCCGACCAGAAACCCGTGACGACTGTGAAAGGCGCAGCAGCAGCAGCAGCAACAAGCGTCCACGCATTGAGCCAAGCGCCTGGTGCGGATGCAGCTCGGCACACCTCACCGGTTGCGGACTTGCCTCCCGTCCGCCGAGCCCTCATCGTGGCGTGTCTGTGGCTGACAGTGGCAGGCAGCAGTGTACAGGACGCGTTCGGACCGTTCTTTTTCGGCGCCGCTCTGGACAAGATTCCGCACTCGGGTGCCGGATATCACACCGCAATTGCTGCAGTATTCAGCGTCGGCCATGTTGCAACTTTCTTCGCTCTCCCACTCATCACTCGCGTACTACGGGACCTCGGCAGCAAACAGCTTGTAGTGATAGCGTCGTGTGCTAGAGGTGTGACCGTCATAATATTCGCTGTGACCAGTGATATTGCTAACTGGAAGGTATTTCTGGCTTACTGTTACGCAGTTCGGCTCCTCCAAGGGCTCGCGTTCCTGGCCATCACGATCCCTGTGATGGCGTACCTGACGCGAATGTACCCTGCAAATCTTGGCTTTGTGAACAGTTGCCTTGTCACCAGCCTATCCCTGGGACACGCTATTGGTACGCTACTGTCTGGAGTTCTGTACGACGTGGGTGGATTCAAGTTACCTTTCATCGTTACTGGTTCCATAGGCATATTTGCATCGGTCTGTGTTGGAGTGTTTGTTGTGGATATCGACCGGCTGGCAGTCGAACAGCAGCATGGGCAGCAACTGCAGGGTGAAAAGAGCGCCGAAACAGCCGAGAAGCACGTCGGTCTGTGGCCTGTGCTGCGTGAACCATGGGCTTTCTTCTTGCTGTTACTGGCCATCGCTGCTCTGGTCGCTGTGAGCTCCATGGAGGCAATTCTGGGACGTTACTTGACGTCACAGTTCGGCGTGAGAGCCACTACAGTGGGCGTGATTCTAGCATTTCTGTTCGTGCAGAGTACGGTGCTCGGACCAATCCTAGGAAAGCTGTTGGACGGCGGCCTGAGGCGCAACACGACACTGATTGTCGGTCTGGTGTTGCTCGGACAGGGATGTCTGCTAGTCGGCCCGGCTACATTCCTGCACCTGCCCACGTCACTGGCCCTGGTGTCCGTCTCCTTGTTGGTAATAGGCCTGGGAGGTGTGCTCACGATCATGACGGTGAATGTAGCTCTCGTGGAACATCTGCACCAGATCGGCATTGGAAACGCGGTGGAGACACGGGTGGCGGTGGCAAGCCTCGCGCGTGTCGCCCATTGCACTGGCTTCTTCCTGGGACCAGTGCTGATGAGCCCACTGGTGGCCGCGCTGGACTTCCAAGCGGCCTTCACTATCCTGGCGTTTGTGTACTGGGGTCTGGCGGGCCGTGTTCTGGCCGTAAGGGGCTTGAAGCACTATTGGAGAAGCTCAACGCCTGCGCCATCCTGTGGTAGCAGTTCTTGGGAAGACGAGTAAACCAGCATCATTGCCCAACGTCGCCATGGAATCGTGGTTACCATAGCACCGGACCTACATACTCTACTATCAAGCCCTGGTGCTGGAGGGTGCAGGGCGAATTTATATTCTCATTTTCCTAATTATCACCAGCCCTGTACAGTCCACTGTCCAGCCAGGCAGCTATGGATCAATTGGTATTGACTATTGTTCCACTGCATAGCACACACACAGTGTCTGCAGACTGTAGTCACTATACGTAGTCACCAGTGGTCACTGTGCTGCTATCTGGCCACCCTTCAAACTCTGCTAAATCGGCGAGTCACTGAAAAATCTGAAATTTCTGGACAGCTGTTGCCTTCCTCTGTGGCACACCTTTATTATGTGCATATTTACACCTGACCCTCGCGACGAATTGCTGAATCCACCACCTAGCTTGGTGTATCAGACATGGTGGTGGCCTGACACAAGCGAAACGTCCTACACTGCTTGTACATTTCTCCGCCCAATTCCGGATTGTATTTTATTGTATTGTGCTGTATTGTATTGATTTATTTGAATTCGATATCTCAACAGTACAGTGTACAACTTGGGAAGATCCGAATGGCAATATACATAAACATAAAATTGGCGGGGTTTGCAGCTCTTTATAAAAATGCTTTGTTTCACGGAAACGTATTTCATTGCGAAGAGCTGCGCTTCGGTCCTCTGAGCTGTGCTGATGAGCTCTAACAGAGTGAAACAGTAACTGTTGCTGTCCACAGACTTGAGTAAACATAAAATTGGGATATGAATGTACTGTTTTAGGTGCTAACAAGAGTACATAAACCTGGCTTATGTACTCCTGGCCAGTCTTACAGGTAATCATCGCGTAGCAGGTGGTAACGCGATGGTGTTGGCTTTGCTATTGTTTACTTTGTAGTAAAAAAGAGTACATGTACTGCTTTGAAGTACATGTACATGTATGTGCACTGTCCGCAGATTGTCGAGCACATGTTCTTGCATAATTGCAATACGTTAATACTTGTAGTGTCTCTCTCTCTCTCTCTCTCTCTCTCTCACACACACACACACACACACACACACACACACACACACACACACACACACACCGGCTCTCTCTCTCTCTCTCTGTCTGTCTGTCTGTTTCTCTCTCTCTCTCTCTCTCTCTCTCTCTCTCTCTATCTATCTATCTCTCTCTCTCTCTCTCTTTTATTTTATGAAAGTGCACATGCCTACATAGAATGGAAGAGAAATACAACAACATCGAGAGAACATAGGGGACTATAAAGGGCGTGTAGGTGCTATTGAGCTGTGCCGGTGAGGTGAAGTGCGCTCCCCCGACCAATGGTCTCGGGATCAAGGCGAACATCACGCACCATGGGGGAAAGGGAGAGAAGAAGACTCTCTCTCTCTCTCTCTCTCTCTCTCTCTCTCTCTCTCTCTCTCTCTCTCTCGCTCTCTCTCTCTCTCTCTCTCTCTCTCTCTCTCTCTCTCTCTCTCTCTCTCTCTCTCTCTTTCTGACCAATGCACTGGAAATCTCACATACTCAGGATACACTTTTGTGCCATTGTACGGCCACCTGTTGTGAGCTACAAGACATAACGCGTAACGTTTTGTCCTTTCTAAAAGGTTCCTATATTTATCCATAAAATCGTAATAATAATAATGCTTTTGGAGCTTTTAGAGTTTGCTAGTACATGTACATGCACTTAAAAAATCGTTTTGAGTGTTTCAAAACCTTCTACTCTTTCTCTGCATTAGGCATTGGCGGATAATGCTCGAAAAGGTGGCAGATTCTGCTCGAAAAGCAGTGAAATTGGCAGAACCATACAAACTTTAGGGCGGGCAATTCCTCGAACTCTGCTCCATTTCTTTATCCAGATTACATGTACCAAACATGCATGAAACTTACCAGAAAACGTACCGAATTCTGCCAATTTTTCTGCCGGCATAATCCGCCGGTGCCTACTCTGCATGCTTTAATCTCTTCTAACTAATACTTGTGTGTTGCTGCAATAATACTCGCAGCACACCAGTAGCACACCTGTATGTGGGAAGCGACAAGGCTGAAAATATCAAAGTATATTCCTCTGTGCTGCGCTGACGAGTCCACAAAGGACGAAACAGTTCTGTCCGCAGATTGAGAAAGCATAGTAATTATGTAGATCAACGACGTGAGAACTCGACGTGAAGCCGAGGACTTTTCAATTAAGTAGGGCCATCGATATGCTCTTGAGTCTTGTTCATTTACGCGCCACTTCAGACTGCCCAGGGCATGACATGAAGTTGGCTGGGTTTAGAACGGAGATCAGGACCATGGGAGTCGTCGTATTATAGCATATAATTATAAATAATAATAATTATGGATTTGACTACTCCCTTATCAGGACTTATCAGCGGACTATCACGTGACTCACCAGAAACTGAAAAGACTTAAGAAGTTAAGTACTGCGAGTTTGATCCTGTCCGCATGGACACGAGTAAAAGTGTTTATATTACTGCCAACACCGCGGAACTAAGTTACTTGAGCTTTGCCACCTGCCTACTTGACCTGACACTTGACCAGTCCGGTGTCAAGTCAAGGCGGTGGGATCCCGTAAAAGCGCGAGCTCCAGTGCGGGGACTGCCCCGGACTCATGGGGAGCAAACACCTACATAAACACCACATGTACATGTACAACCGCTTTCAGAAAGTTCCAGCAAAGAGTTAACCTACTCTGCTATATGGGCCGTCATTTACATCACTATGATATCACCCTCCTCTCTAAACTTAGTAAAGGGTACGTTCGCCCTGCAACTAAATACACCATTCCATTGTGGACTTCTAGATTTTTAAGTGCTGAGCACCTAGCTAGCCTTGATGTACTTCCAGCTAGAGTGTGTAGACCGATTTTAAAAGTCTAGTAACACAGCCTTTGATAAATTTGAAACTAAAGAAAATCTAAATAAGCCATGCCGTATTCAATCCCTTCACTTTAGACGCCAGTTTCTTTCACTGGTCACCCTCTTTACATGTAGATACATGTACATCCATTCGCACCCTAATTACCTCGCAATGATCCACATTACCGTTACTAAAAGCGAGTGCCGTCCGAACAAACTAGTCTTCCACAGTAATGACCGCACACTATCTTCTATGTTTCTGTTTCAGGCAGGCACTCTGTGGAACTGTCTGCCCCCTACTATGATGGGCCTCCATCATAAATATTGCTGAGTTTAAAAGAGAACTGCATAATAGTATGGCTAAGTTTCAATTTAACTGCAAAGGAATTCACTGTGACTGATATTTTTCTTGTTTTCCTCATTGATTTGCTCACTCCAAATTGTCCTATTCGTCGTGTTATTTCTCCTTCTCTGCTCACTTTGTATTCTCATATTCTCATCCTAGGCATTGGCGGATAATGCTCGTAAAGGTGGTAGATTCTGTTCGAAAAGCAGTGAAACTGAACCATACCGGTACAAACCGTATGGCGGGCAATTCACCTCGAATTCTGCTCCATTTCTTTATCCACATACCAAACATGCATGAAGCGTATCAGAAAAAGTACCGAATTCTGCCAATCGTTCTGCCAGGCGGCATTATCCGCAAAGGACTAATCCTAACCTTTTCGAGCATTATGCCATTGCATGTCGGAGTTTCCGGTGAGATATAACTATGTCTAGCCCTCGCGATTTACGCGATTTCATGCTCGAACACAGCATTTTTTTAAAGTTCAATATTCTAATGAAGCTGTACTTGATGCAGCTCATCCAAGGCCCTTCAGGCCTTTTTTCATGCTCGAACAAGAAGTGCCTTGGATATTTTCCTCTCACCGTCTTAGACTCTTGGCGATGGAGAAGCTTTTAGAGTCTTTGCGTGACGATGATCAGGCGGCTCGCCGCCTTGCCCACGTGCCGGCTGATGCGGTCGAAACCCCCTGAGCCGTGGATGCGGGCGTGTGATGACACCCCAAGATGGGCCGGGTGCTTTGAGTGTTTTGCGTCCACGCGAGTCACGCCCTGACTTTGGGTCGTGTGATGTTTCTGGCGAAGCCAGGACACGAGTGGCTGGTGGCTCCAGCCCGGCACCTTGTCGGCACCATAGTGCGTCCTTAAATGTGACGAGCACTAACGGCCTAAACGGCCTGAACGGTCTCACGACCTGCTTGGCCTAAGTGCCTACGAGTCCGGCGGACACTGTTGCCAGTGCCTCCGAGTGTGAGTCTGACTGTTCTCAGTCAAAGACCGGCATACTCCGACTCAGATGAGGGTGAGCACTACTCTAAGTCTCTAGACTAGTCTAGTTCTAGTCAGACTCAGAGCTCAGATGCTAGTGCCGACTCGGAGTCCTCACATCAGGACAGTGTTACTTGCCACCACCTCGGGCGTAGCACGCGGGCCAAACGGTCCCAATCACATCCACCTCACATGTCTGCTGTATTGCTGCTACATATACATTGTTGCCGCAGCGGCATCTTGATGTGATGGTCTGATGTTGTAACAGTGTACCCATTTGCTAGGCCAGCTTGGTGCGTTTCCGTGGAGTTTGCCGGGGCACCATATTTGTAACGGCGATTCTGTTTGCTGTTGCCGTGGCCGTGTTTGTCACATGATTGGTGCATTCCCGTTGAATATGCCCAGCCGGGCACCACGTTTGTCAGTTGTGCCTGTTTGAAGTTGCCAGGCCAGCTTGTATTGGTGCGTTCCCGTTGAGTTTGCCGGGGCACCATGTTTGAAACGGCGTTCCCGTCTGCTGTTGCCGGGGCCGTGTTTGTATTCGTGCATTCCCGTTGAAGTTGCCCAGCGGGGCACCACATTTGTCAGTTGTGCCGCTTTACAGTTGCCAGGCCAGCTTGCATTGGTGCGTTCCCGTTGAGTTTTCCGGGCACCATGTTTATAACGGCTTTCCCGTTCGCTGTTGCCGGGGCCGTGTTTGTATTGGTGCACTCACGCTGAAGTTGCCGAGCGGAGCACCACGTTTGTCAGTTGTGCCTGTTTGAAGCTACCAGGCCAGCTTGTATTAGTGCGCTCCCGTTGAGTTTACCGGGGCACCATATTTGTAACGGCGTTCCCGTTTGCTGATGCCGGGGCTGTGTTTGTTTTGGTGCATTCCCGCTGACGTTGCCCAGTGGAGCACCATGTTTGTCAATTGCGCCTGTTTGAAGTTGCCAGGCCAATCCTGTAACGCGCACCCGTGTGCAGTTGCCGGGTGACATGTTTGTCAATTGTGCTTGTAGCATACTGCCGTGATGTGCGATTAATAACAGGCCGCCGGAGCTGGTCAGGTTATTACCGGACCAACTTTTCAGCCACGAACACGTGTTTCCTGCTGTGGAGGGCAGGTGTACCCGTCATACCCTACACAAAGTATAACGGCCATGATACTACCGGACCACTCAAACGCTGCATCCGGCGGTCCTGAGTAAGGCGATAATAACTACGAGCCATGCATTGGTTTGTTTTGCCAATGGCTCTTTGTGGTACATGGCAATTTGCTATCATTCGTGACATTTCACAGAGTGACGAATGTGAGCAGACAAAACAAAAAGAAAAGAAATAATTTTACTAATGGCAAACCCCGGCCCCCACAATTATCAACCTCCGAGCGCTGAATAACTATCTGTAGTATCACCACTTCGCGCTGGAGTCATTGAAGACAGTGCCGGATCACCTGCAGCTAGGGGATGTGCTGATCGGGATAGACTTAAGAGATGCTTATTTCTCCAGTCCAGCGGCTCGATCGTCAGTTTCTCCAGTTTTCAGTGCGCGAGCTCCGGTGTGGGGAGCAAACCCTTTCTTATCAACAGATTTCCAGTTTAACTGTCTACCGTTTGGCTTGCGCAGTGGTCCCAGAGGCCAGAGTCTTCACCAAGACTAGCTCTGCACCCTGTGGTGAAGATGGTACGTTCGCTCGGCCTACACCTGGTGATTTACCTCGCCGACATATTTATCATGGCACGGACAACGTCCGACCTGTTTCTCCCTGTTGCTACCATTCTTCATCTGCTGATTGGTCTTGGGTTCGACATCAACTGGATGCAGTCGTATCTGATTCCCACCAGGCAGATACAATACCTGGGTATTCAGGTCAACTCCGTCACCATGGAGTTCTCATTGCCAGACTCGAAAGCATCCATGCTTCAACAACAATGTGCGCGTCTGCTGGCGTCTCACACCGTATGTCTTCGGGGTATTGCGTCAATTGTGGGCATGATGGTGTCCACCATGGTTGCCGTGGTTCCTGCATCACTTAACTATCGTCGCTTGCAGTGTTTGAAGACCACGTTCCTACGGCAGGGTCCCTTTTACACTTACCGGCTTACTCTCAGTCATGAGTGCCATGCCGAGATTCATTAGTGGATTCGGCATCTCCAGCTGTGGAGTGGGCGACCTGTACGCCTTTCCGAACCGGGCCTCGCCATCCAGTCCGATGCATCCCATGCAGGTCATTCGGGGTGGGGCCCGGTGCATATTGTGCCAATGTCACCACAGGCGGCTGATGGACATCTGCCGAGAAGCAGCTTCACATGAATGTCCCGGAAGCGCTCACAGCCCAGTATGCTGTCCAGTCGCTAGCGCCTTCTCTATACCAGGGCAGTATTCTCCTGCAGCTCGACTACCGTGTGGCTGTTCCCTGTTTGCCCCGCACTGGCAGCCGTTCATCACCGACATTAGACAGGATAGCTGCCACGCTGTGGGAGTGGTGTCAGTCTGCTCAGAGATATCACTTTGATTCCCAATATCTACCTGGTGCAGTGATTACAGTTGCCGATTATCACTCTCGCCATCACACGGATACCAGCGCCTGGATGCTCAACCGGTCAGTTTTCCAGGTTCACCAGATCATGTGACCGAGTGCCTGCGACTTGTTTGCATCTCGCACTAAATTTCGACTGCACATGTACGTCAGTTGGCGCCCATATGCACACAACCCGCATGCCTTCCGTCTCGACTGGTCCTGCCTGCAAGTCTATGCCTTCCCTCCAATCTATCTGATTGGCAAATGCCTGGCCAGGGTTGTTCTACAGGAAATCCCATCCATAGTCATGGTCACTCCGCTTTGGCCCGGCCAGGCTTGGTTTCCAGCTCTCTTGGCACTAGTGGTGGACATTCCGCGCGTGCTGTCAGCCTCTCCGGTCTTGTTTGCTGGACCAGATCACAAAGTTCACCCGTCAGTACAGTCAGCTCACTTCACCCAGGTCGCATGGAAACTCTCCGGGCTAGCAACAGCCGCAGCGGAGTTTCGGGCGACACTGCCACCCTACTCTTGGCGTCATGGCGTTCCCTCACCGACCGTGTGTATCAGTCGGCATGGAACACATGGTGTGATTGGTGTGCTACACGGCAAATTGATTCCCTGGGTGTTCTCTCCGAGGTCCTCGATTTTCTGACCTCCCAGTTCCGTCTGGCTCGACTGTATCATACGCTAGGGTTGTACCGGTCAGTCATGTCAATGACGCTTCCTCCCATCGATGGCGTTGTGGTTGGCCCGCATCCTCTGGTGTCTCATATGCTCCCCGGTGCATATCAATCCCGTCCTTCTCAGCCGTGCTATGGCAGCATGTGGCATGTACAGGCAGTCCTGGATTGGTTCCGGAACATGTCCTTCACACATGAGTCTCTCAAAGAACTGACTCTCAGGTTGACTATGCTGCTGGCTCTGACGGGCGCCCGGCGTTGCTCTGAGCTGCAGAAGCTCGATGTTCGTTTTATGGACATTATTGTCAACGCTGCTTCATTTGGGATCCCCACTTTTACCCAGAATCAGCGCGTCGGTGATCCAGTCAAGTAGTTTGTCTTCCCTGCTTGCCCTCAGCACCCTCCGTTGTGTGTGGATGCTCTAAGGCAGTATTCTGCTCGCACAGAGAGAGAGAGAGTTTCCCGCCCGCTGCCGCCGCGTCTGCCAACCCTCTGCTGCTGTCGCTCCGACGTCCTCACAAGCCGGTCTCACCGAGCACCGTTGCCGCTGAGGTGGCTCCTCACTTCCATGTCGGATGCTGGTGTGGACACCATCGTTTTTCTGATGGCACCACCTTCGGTGCGACTGTCCTTGGCTGACAGTCTGTTATTCCGCCGCTCATGATTGCGGCCGATAGGGTCCACGGCTTCAGTCCGCCGTGTTCTTTTCTCCTACATATTTGGGGTTTTCTCAGACCTTTTCCTTTCCAAAGGTCCTGTACGTGCACCAGTTTTCCCAGGTGTTCCCACTCTGGAGTTTGCATTGTCCGTTAATTCTGCATAGTTGACAATGCTACGTTGCGTTCCATTTTGGTATGATCTACTCCACTCGCCGTTCCGTGCGTAAGTTTTATGATAATTCCATCTGTACTCAGTGATGGTCATTCGGTGGTCTGTGCCTGGCATAGTGTAGGCTGATTATGCTTGTTTATCATGCCACGCACCTTACTAGAACTTTCACTAAGTCCTTGTGTGGACAGTGTGATAGTTTCTTGTTTCCGCTCCGGGTGCGGAACCGACTTTAAACAAGACATAGTTATATCTCACCGGAAACTCCGACATGCAATTTCCCATTTCACAAGCAATGGAAAATTGTGTAGTGAAGTGGGAATTGTATAAGGAGTTGGAGGTGAGATATAACTATGTCCCGCCCACCCACCCTGTTTGGGTTTGTTCTCCATGAAAATAGGCCTGAAGGGCCTTGGATGAGCTGCATCAAGTACAGCTTCATTAGAATATTGAACTTTAAAAAAATGCTGTGTTCGAGCATGAAATCGCGTAAATCGCGAGGGCTAGACATAGTTATATCTCACCTCCAACTCCTTATACAATTCCCACTTCACTACACAATTTTCCATTGCTTGTGAAATGGGAAATTATCCGCCAATCTGCCTACAAAGTCTCTGGGACTTGGGAGTCTGGGACTGATCCGACTGGGCTGGATTTTGCAAGTGCGCACTACAGTTACTCTCAGAGATGTGCTTCGGCCATCTGTCATAGCACGTGCAGCAGAATGGCGGGAAATCAGTCTGCATTCGATATTCAAGAAGACGGTAATTAATTTACGAAATGCAGAACGAAGGAAAAGCTGCAATATCATTCTGCAAATTTCAAGACACAGAAGAAGTTTGTTGTTCTAAACTAGCTGTTGGAGGGCGAGGGTACTCTTCAGATCTAGAGCCCATCACCACCTGTCTACTGTAGGAATTTCCCGCTCTGTTTTTCCTTTGTCGCTGGCGGAAAGCAAGAATGGCAGCCTCCACCAACCTACCTTGGTAAGTGTCCAGTGCTGTGTGTGTAGGACGCAACACATTGTGTTCTGGTGTGCGTGTATGCGCCGCCGATGATAGCCACACAAAACATATCTGTTACGCAGTTTGTAGTGTATGTTCGCGTTCACGTAAGCCCTGGCCCACATTGAATTACTAGGGGTGTTCCTTTTCCTCGTGACATTACCCAATCGGTGCGAACTGGTGTGAAGTTTTGGCCCCAGCAGTGCCAGCACCCACTGGTTCACGGTGTTATAGTGTGGTGTATCGCTTTCAATGGAATCCGAAACAAATTCAACATGGTTTTGGAGTCTCGCACTTTGCCTTTCATTGCATGGGCCAGTGGCGATTGCGCTGCTTGGTGAGCTCAGCTCCATACGAACATGCCTCAATGTGGCCAGATCCATGCATATACGGTGTGAGAGTTTGTGTGACATGACCAATGCCACTGCAGCGCAACAGTACATGTACATGTATAACATACATAGTGTACTGCAGTGGACGTACTGAACTCTTGTACAGTGCTGAGGCAGGACCGACGAAAGCAGTTTTTGATTGGTCCGACCATACACTAGTCTTTCGTACCGTACTTTGTGTACGATATGGAGGGTATACACATGACCTCCTCAGCAGTATACACACACATGTTGGTGGCCAACAAGTTGGTCCGGCCATGGCCTGACCAACCGGACCGGTTCCGCCGAGCCTGTGCTGTAAGACGCAGTTCACGTTCCATGGGACTCAGCGTTGTTCTCATGATGTAGATTGAGCCGACACAACCTACATCACACGCTAAACTAATACCAAAAGCAAGATTCATTCTGAGTCATTCACGCTCCCTCCCTCCCCCCCCCCCCCCCCCCCCCCCCCCCACACACACACACACACACAAAGACATATTCATGGAGCGGTTGCAAACGAGAGCTTGTAGTGACCTGGTCGTGTACAAACCTGTGAGAGCAAACCCACCCGCACGTTGCGTTGACAATCAACATGCATGCGTGCGCGCGCACACACACACACACTCAGACTCAGCGCTGAAGCGATGATAGCGAACAGCTATGTTAGACATAGCAACTTGTGCTGGGATTACACCACACACACATACATGCGCATACACACACGCACATACACACACACACACACACACATACATGCGCATGCATGCACACACACACACACATACATGCGCATGCATGCACACACACACACACATACACACATATGCATGCACACACATACACGCACATACACATGCATGCACACACACATACACACACACACGTACAATCATCAGAAATCAGGCGTACAATACGTACTGAATCCAGGCTTTGTTAAGATGATGTAAAGGGACTGACTTGATAATCTATGATGCTGCATGTGATAGTGGCATGCTCTGTGGAGTTACGTAACCATGCCGCCAGTACTATGTGACCCGACACCGCTTTGTAGAAATTCATTGTTCATTTTCGTGTGTATGTGTGTTTGTGTATGTGTGTATTCGTGTGTGTGTGCGTGCACACGCTGGTGCATGTGTGTGTCAGTGTGTGTGTGTGCATGTGTGGATTACTATTTATGTGTGTGTGTGCCAGTGTGCTTGCACGTGTGTGTGTGTGTGGGGGGGGGGGGGGGGGGGGGTGGTTCTGCCAGTCCCCCTCAACGGAAAGGGGCGCGCTTAGCCGCTCACCAAGCAAGCTACTAGTAGTATGTGATTTTGCCTTCATGTCTGAGTGTTGTCATCATGACTGTGTGTTTTCTATCTACACTCTGTACACTCTGTATACTCTGTTGCATGCAGGGTGGAGAAGTACCGTCCTAAAAAGCTTGATGATCTCATTGCTCACGGTGACATCATCGCCACTAGTAAGCTGTCTGTGTGATATGTGTCTTGTTCAGCACAGCTGTATGTAGAGCTGTCCGTTACTCTGTATGGTGCTTTTGTACGTGAATGTGTGTGTGTGGGGGGGGGGGGGGGGGGGGGTGTACGTGCGTGTGTGCATGTCTATGTATGTATGCACGACAACGACAGCACGTAACAGGGCTGTGGACTCGCTAGCCTAGTGTCTAGTCAAGTGTAAACTCGCAAGCAAGGCTTACTCATGTCTGTGTGTGTGTGCATGCACTCAATCTCTGGACTGGACAGCTCGCTGTGTCGGCGTTGTTTGTTCTCATCAGCGGATGGCAGAGTGACTGGCCAAACGGATCCTATTGAAGTGTCTAGTGAATGACAAAGCATGTTTAAACCGGCTGAGTTCATGAAAGTCAAAGTGCTCTATCTGCGAGAAACACAGCGAGCTTTGCACGCTGTTTTTGATGTTGTTTGGTCTCATCGGCGTGGCTCAGAGTCACTGGCTCAGCTGATCGCGCGAGCGGGCGAGTGTCTGTCCGTGTGCGTGCGCACGCGTGTTTGTCTGTCTGCCCCTCTGTCTGTCTGTTATTTATTTTTTGGCACATATCATCTCGTCCTATTTTATCCGTGCCAGTATTAGCATCATTCTGAAGAAGAATGTAGTATCAAGTCTTGCTCCTGTTGTGCGTTCGGCTACCTACTGTTGTCTGTCTGTCTGTCTCTCCTGTCCGTCCGTCTGTCTGTCTGTCTGTCCTTTCATCCAGTTCGTCGTTTTATGGAGGAGGATCGTTTGCCACATTTGCTGCTCTACGGGCCACCGGGTACAGGCAAGACGTCCACCATTCTAGCGTGCGCTCGCCAGTTATATTCAGAGAAGCAGTTTACATCCATGGTGCTTGAAGTAAGACTATCACACATAGACGCGTCGGTACATAAGCCTGGTTTTAGTGTTGACGTACATAGAAATACCTGTTTTATATAGAGGCCTGTCTCCTATAGAAGCCTGCAAAATTTCTCCCAAAAAGTCATATAAGCCGCGGTTTTCATACACGACTTTAGGGGCCATCCGTAATTATCGATCTTTTTCACGAAACGAAAAAGTTTCGTTTATGGGTGGGTGGGTAGCGACCGGTTTCGTTTTGAAAAAACATCGAAAGCGGAAAAATCAACGCTCACTGCATGCATTGATGCATGCATACATTCATTACATTGTGTACATCGAAGTAGATCGACAGTAGACTCTAGTCTACGTCGCGCGGCCAGGCAAGTGCTGCATGTATGCAGTGATACCACTCTGTACTCAGTGTAGTGAGTTCCTTTCGTCCTCGGATGACTTCTCCGACGAGGACCTAGCAGTCATCATGATCATTCACTCTGGGTCCGACGACAGATAGATAAATACTTCGTTCCAGCCGCCGATGCAAGAGAATTTCAAATTACGGAGCGGGGCGCACGCCAAGTAAATTCTCACGCAAATATGGGGAGCGCCAGCCGCTGAAGACGATGTCGTCGTAATGTATGTGGAAGAATCTGATCGTGCTTGTGGTGGGGAAGCCATGGAGAGTGATCCCCGTGTCGACAGTCTTCCAGAGACGGAAAATTAGGCCATCGACTTTCTACGTACCTGATTGACGGCAGCGCAGCGCGGCGTGCGTGCGACCTTAGGGAGCTTTCCGACAGCGATTCTGGGGCGATGTTGCTCTCATTTGCGAGCGAGGCACGACCACTGAAGTCTGTGATAGCTATGGCTTTTGTTTCCGCTCCGAAGTCGACTTGTTTTGGCAGTATCATGTCAATGTCGGAACTCTGACGATTTGCAAGTGTACAATTCCCGTGTTTAGACGTAGAGGTGCCAGCAGCGTATGTGTGTGGTAGGTGAAAATAAATGTTTCCATGGTCAAGAAGTAGTACCAGACTTCCAAGAAAACATAACTAACGTTGTTACTTACTTGCACAATCACACAAATGTGGCCTCGCTGTGTTGTAACAGCCAATCAAGATCATTTTCTGCACAAAGTCCCAAGTCAATTAATTTTTTCGTTTCAGGGGGGTGGGTCATAACTAAACTTTTTCGTTTCGTGAAAAAGATCGATAATTACGGATGGCCCCTTACGCCGTTTACGGTATAAGGCTTTTACTCTACGTAGGGTAACATACAAGTATACCTAGCCTCTATAGCTCGGATAGTAAGTTCCGCAGCTTTTGAACTGAACCCTAAAGCCTAGGTTACACTCGACACAACGCTGACGCCACTATAAGTATAAGGTTAGGTAAGGGCCTGTCGGGAAGGCTGGGGTGAGCTGTAAAGTCTTGTACGATGCGTACGACATGACATGCAGCAGTTGTTGCTGCGATGTTCAACGTCGAGCAGCACGAGTCAAACGGCACGGTCCGCGACGGGGTGACAACCTTGTTTTTCCAGACACTCTTTTCAGTTACTAGTACTTCTCCTTGAATGAAGCGGAATCAAGTTCACAATACCTGGAAGTTGTGCCATTCTAATACTAGCTCAAGGAAATGGTAAAACAGTTTGTCTGTCACACTCCTGGACTATCCCTAAATACGGGAAGTGACATGAAGTCTTATCTTGCTAAAATTCAACTCAGTAGTCGTGTAAGCCATTCGGTGAGTTATCATATGAAGCATAATGTTCGAAATGGTAAGAACTTCGACGTATTCAGTTGCGCGCATCGGGAGGAGTCGACGCACGGCGCCGTCCCCTGTTCACACTCGAAATGCAGCCATTTTGTACGCTTGCATGTTGATTCGTTCCAGTGCATGTACCAGCACAATCTCCAAATTGTCGGCGCATGAACTTCAGTTCTGCACGAAGGTATATTTTCGCAACAGGGAGTGTGTGCCGTCTATTTTCACGCAATGCATGGGGTTGTAGCTGAATGATGTAATGAAGGGAGCATGCATACTGTGGCTGGCCAATAGAACAGAGATCACAGTTGCATACTCGTCGTACCCTTGGTTCTGGACTCTTGTATCATGTGTTGTGGTTGTTGTGTCTGGCGTCTCTCGTTTTGCGATTGCAGTTGAATGCGTCAGATGACCGTGGTATTGGTGTGGTCCGTGGACAGATTCTCAACTTTGCCAGTACACAGTCCATTTTCAGGTACGTCATGGACTGAGTGTTGGTCTGGGTGTTTCTAGAGCGTCTTGTCACCGCGTAGGTTTTTATTGAGCTGGTCCAGCTATCATTGCCCCCGAGATGGGACATGCTGTGGCAGTGTATGTGTGTGTGTTTGTGTCGGGGGGGGGGGGGGGGGGGGGGCTCCTGTATGTGGGTGGATGTTGTTATTTTGTCGGAGTTTCATCATGAAGATAGTGCTGTACTCCATGTCGTTGTTTAAGGGGGTACATTCATTCTGCATTTGCTACCACTGCAGCTCCGGTTTCAAACTGGTCATTCTGGATGAAGCGGACGCCATGACTAACGATGCACAGAACGCCTTGCGAAGAAGTACGTACAGCTTGTTCATGAGGTCATACATGTCCATCGGCGGTTTCCTGGTGATCCGCTGAACACGTTTTAAATGCTCTCTTTCACTATGATTATACGCTGGATGCATGGATTCGCAGGGCATGCCTTGTACGGTATGGCCCATAATCTCCGGAAACGTGACGTGAACGAAAAATTCGGCCATGGGCCGAATCAAGCGGATTTGCACAATCTTTTTTATGTACTCTTGATATTAGTTCTTCCTCCGGAAACGAAACGTCGTGACTTTGACGGAGCTGTCTGTTCTGGTGAATTAACCTCTGAGGAATCGAGCAATGGTGACTTGAGTGAGATTCAAACGGTGCCAATGTAAAATAGTTTTAACATTCTTCAAGGAAGTATATCCATGCTTTGTCTTGAAGTTGTTGTTCCACTGAATCTAATTTCTTCAGCAGAGTAACTCATTAGGATGTGAATAAAACAGTCGCAAGGTTGTTTTGTTTCCGGAAGTCGTGTCCCGGTGGTGGGACTGATGATTTTTTTCTTTTTTCGTACCTGGCTAGTAAGTGTTGAGTTTTGGAGAGAAAAGGAGCGGTACGAGGTAGGTGGCCTAATTTCCTAAGCAGTAGACTCATGTACTGTACATGGTTGTGATGGGTGAATGAATTCATTGCACTGTTGGTCCCCTGAGTGATTATTGAGAGACTATTCCAAGCGTCCAGCCTCGAAAGACGTCGCTTACGAATGATTGCTTTTTTCTTTCTGCTTGTTCACCCACTCACACAGTTATCGAGCGGTACACGGAGAAGACACGCTTCTGCCTGGTGTGCAATTACCTGACGAACATCATTCCGGCGCTGCAGTCCCGATGTACTCGCTTCCGCTTTGGCCCGCTCGCACCGGACCAGATGGTCTCCCGCTTGGAGTACGTCATTGGTCAAGAAAGGTGAGAACGGTTTGGAGGATTGCTGTTATGTGTGGGTACACTCGTACCTCAGTTATCTGTGCACCGAAGTTGTGTGCACTTCGGTCTACCGGGCACCCTTTGGGCGAGTTTTAGTGGAAATATTACTACTCTTTTGTCCCTTTTTTTGTGGAAAGAGTGCCGCCATATGCCATATCTATGGCCTTTCCCCATCAAAATGTATGTGATTCGGAGTTCCGGACGTTTCAAAGTTATGGACAGTGCCCGGTCCCAGGCTACCCGGATAAACAAGGTATGACTCACTATGTATGAGTGTAGTAAAAATGTGGATAATCAAGATTGGGCAACTCCTATCTTGAGCTGCGATGGGCTCGCCCACGATGTCATTTTTTTATTGCGTCACTTTTGGCAGAAGTATGATCGAATTCGTCACAGCTGTTATGACCCTTGTGCAGCCTAAAGCGGTTTGACTGTACTTTTTTTAGATGGGTAGCGGCCTCTTTTACGGGCAAGATTATGTCTATGGATGTGAAAAAATAGAGATACCATGAAAAGAAAAATGGATACTTCAGTACAATGCATTGGAAAACTCCAAGAAATTCCACGCAAAACCGATGGAATTCAGTTCTCAATGGCCGATGCCTACCCCAGCACCATCCTGCGTCGACAGGCCAGTCAGGCGCCTTCTGGACCCGCGTAGCGGGAGGTCGACTGCACGGAACACAGCGAATTGGGTACGAATTCGCACACAAGCCATTACGATTGAAAATGGCCGGTTCCACTTGAGTGCGAGGCGACCAGCAAGGCTCTTCTGGTAGCTTGCATGCTCCCGATGCAGCACCGCGTCCGTTGAACACACCAGTGGTGTGAAAGACCCACGGAGGTCCTCGGAGGCCTGACGGTACTTCCTCTTCTTTGCGTTGGCAGCGTGGTTGGAAGTTTTTTGTTGTTGTTTTTTTTTAAGAACATAGCACCCATTTTGTTAATCCAGGGGATGGCTCACGCCTGGCATGGAGAAAAGAGAGATAGAGAATAGAATGAAAAATGGAAGTAGCTTTGACTGTACTTATAGTACATTCGCCGATCACAGTCATGTCCGTCGAACTTCTTGAGGACGAATACCGAGGTCACTTTCTGTATCGATGTCCTAGCGATATGACGAAACAAACAAGGGTGCACATCATTTGCATCTGTGATGTCAAACATGGTGGTTAGAAATTCATCGTCACCACAAAGGAATATTTGAATCTGCTTTCCGGAGCCTGCCTTATTAGTCCAAGTGGTTGCGTGCAACTTCTCAAGTTGTTCTTTGTACATGCCAAGTGCGCTCTGTAAATTGACATCAGAATCCTAGGTACTGGATAAGCAAAGTGGTATGGTATTCGTGCAGCAGTTGGGATCGTTCGTAATCTATTCCTTCATGATTACGCTCCCTCTTGACCTTTGACTTTTCTGTAAGGTAACGCTCTGGCAGTTCTTTCGATCACACCACTCTCCGGGACATCGTACGCTTTGACTGAGACGGTTACCTTGGTGTACTGGGTAGCTTGCACCGTTAGCTTCACGGATTTGCTCCTGATCACTGTATTATCGGATAGCCGCAGATACCTTGCAGAGTTGAGGGAATGGCATCAGCTCGGCGAATCCCTCGGTGTTGACAAGCTCCCCCTTCTCCGCGAATATTGACAGGACGTCGTGGGCACACAGTTCGTCAGCGTAGCTAGATGTCCTGTATGCCCGTCCGTCTTCTTCCAACGTACGCAGGATGTATGCACCATCTGCCTCTTCCAGTTATCCATGGTCTGTGAACTCGCTATCGGTACGAACAATAGCCCAATGTCCATTCGAGAATTCTCCACAGGAGAAGCGACAGAGACTCAGAAGCTGAAAATGGTATTAGATCCTGGCGAATGGCTTGGTTAATCTCAAGTAGCGAATTTACTGCTCTAGACCATTTCTTTTTTTTGCTAGCTTTCTCAGCCAACGCACAGAAAAAGTAATAAACTTCCTTGGGTATGGGTGTGCTGCTAAGAAGGTGCCCGGAAATACCCCAAAAATGGGGTATTATCAACAATACCCCATTTTTGGGGCAGGTGCATGTGCCTACCATGAATCCGGCTCGATAGATATTACATGCACTGCCAGGCGTAATAGCATCAGTGAACCGAATGGCCGCAAATGACTGATGTCAAAAAGAATCTCGCCGTGGGTTTGGGGAGCGACGAGTTGCACACTCTTGGTTATGTACTCTTAGTACCGTCAAGAGTACAATCAAAAATACCAAGAAGAGCCCATCATTTCTCGAATGATGTCGCTTTTTTATCAATGTACGAGTAACTCGCCTTCATTGGAGAGGTTAAGATGCACGTTATTTCTGACGTGACGTGTAAGTTCAGCTCGCGTTATTTGGCCCGCGCGTCGAAAAACAACGCGAGTGACCTGCAGCTCGCGTCGAAATTTGGAGTTTTACGCCAAATTTGACGTGAAATTGCGCGTCACGTCGGAAAAAAAACGTGCATCTTAACCTCTGTAATATCCATATAGACTGAATCGTATTCCGTATTGGATATTGGCGAGAAGAGTATGTGACTACCTGTACTAATTGTATCTCTATCCAATACTGCGACGGCAGAGCTTCACTATATAGGGAGGTTTCGCTCTACGGAATTACGTATGAAAATAACGTAGGAACTGCACGGAATTTTCATACGTAAAAATCAGAGCTGTTGGGTTTCGCTCTACGTGATTTCTCCACGACTGCTAAACATGCGTTGTTGCTTTGGAGACGCGTTGGCTGCATGCGCCCACCGCATGCACCATGAACCGAAACCGCATTTTCCATTTTATTTTGCACGTGATGTACGGTGTGTGTGTACCTTGTGTTTCGCGCGGCTTGAACGTTGCCATGGACAAATGCGGAAAATGCGAAAAATATTTCAAAAAGTCCTACGGAGGACCCAACGTAGGAAAGAGCTTTCCTACGGAAATCCGTAGAGAGATTTACGTATGAAAGTTGCCCTCGCTCCCCGGCGCGTACGACATACGGATTTTCATACGTAATTACGTAGAGCGAAACCTCCCTAGTATTAGCGATGGCAAACAGTGCAAAGTGATCAGCAGAGAGTTGTAGCCAAGGCGGGGTTGCATCGCGTACAACCCCGTAACTATCGATCATGCGCAGGGTGCAAATAGTGTGTTCAGGTTTGTCATGTGATGTGAACTTCTGCCATATCAGACCCCATAGAGCAGCTGCAGTCTGGAGTTGCCCACTCCTGGGGGTTGCGCAATGTTGCTCTCGGTGCTTGTACCCATACACATACTGCCTTTCTTTAGATTTATCTGCGTGTGTGTACGCTTGTGTGTGCACGTGTGTGTGTGCGTACATGTGTGTGTGTGTACATGGGTGTGTATGTGTGTATGTTTGTTGCATCTGTCTCTGCCTCTCTGTGCTTGCATGTGTTGTTGGTCTGTGTGTGTGTTTGTAGTATTCGAATGGCCGAGGATGGACTGCCTGCAGTCATGACCTTGGCTGCTGGTGACATGAGAAAGTCTCTCAACATTCTGCAGGTAAACTTACTGCCGAGAATAGTAATAGCAGCAGCTATACTTTTTATCTTCACATTAGGCCTATTGATTGTAACTACAGTAAAACCTGGTGTAAGCGACCTCTGGGTTAGTGACCACCTGCTCTTAACGACCGTCTTTCCATGCACCGACAGTTCTACACAGACACGGTGGGACCTGGTTCTCTAAAGACCACCTGGCTTGAACGACCGCTTTTGCTTGCACCGTGGGGCGGTCGCTTAAACCAGGTTTTACCGTACCACTGTGCTATGGATAGTGTTGCACAGTTATCACAAACACCAGATTGGGGGGCACAAGCCATGGTGATCTGAGCTCCAGTCAATCCCTGCTTTCATTGGCCACATGATCATGTCGGCGGGATGTACTGGTGGTTCTAATCAGGCAGTCGTAGCTGCCCCTCTACAGTCGTCCTTGCGGCAGGACCGATTCAGGCACTCTCGCGTTATGGTATCGCTGGATCGGCTCGCGCTTGGTGTCAGCAGGCCATGGTTGTGATCGTGAGTTTTACGGACCACAGACCATGTAGAACTTCCCGATCGGGTGTCCAAACGCACACCGTTTCGAGTACTGTGGTCTCGTGCCGTCTCCCTTTGTACGCGACGCCACCCTGGGTTTCAATTTCCGTAGGTTCCTGAGTCAATGGGTTGTGCAAGTATGCTCCTGTCAGGGCACATCGTTTCGAGTACTGTGGTCTCGTGCTGTCTCCCTTTGTACGCGACGCTACCCTGGTTTCAATTTCCGTAGGTTCCTGAGTCAGTGGGTTGTGCAAGTATGCTCCTGTCAGGGCAGGCAAGATGGCACAATGAATGTATGCAGCGCCAGTCACAGAAGAATAGAACCTATTTCCACTGCATAGGATTAATGTTGAGGGAGTTGAAAAGGGGAAAAAATGTGTGGAAAACATTGACCACCACCACCAGGACTCACATCTCTCGTAGGATTATTAGCAGTCATTTACCTGAAGGCTCCAAAGAGCATCAATATGATTTTGCCTCATCGATTAGCTTCCCATCATAAAGAATGTTTGGTCACCTGTAAGGTGCACCCGGTATACTCCATTCCCAGTAAAGTTCACTGTGCACATATGAGATGAGTTTCTGTAAAGAGAACAGACACTGAAATCTCGAAATCAAGAACACCGATAGCGTGAAGCGGAGGCCCCGTTCTTCGGCGTCCTGTGTTACTGGGGTTGAGCATTGAGGCAGCGGATGCTGCCTTGATCGCACTGTTGTGTGACGGGCGTTGTGTTTGGTGGTAGAACGACTAACTCCATGTTTGTTAGCCAGTTGAGATTGCCAACTCCCCATTTGTCCGGCAGTAGAGCTGCGCCGAGCAGTTGTCAAAATTCGAACATATGTACAAGGAAAACAAGCAGTCAGAGACGAATAAGAATAGTTCACACAGGGCCACAGACACTGCCCGTGTAGCGAACACAAATTCACGATCCAAAGCCTTTTAAAAAAAGGCGCACTATTAAAGCATAGACAGTTTATTAGACACCCAACTTGAATGGTCGTGTAAGAGTCATAGTCAGCACCACGGAATGTCTTGCAGTCTATGGATCAAGAGAACCAACTCATGACTGGCTATCCGGCTATCCAGTATTCAAACCCATTGCTCGACGATAGCGCCGATCATCCAAGCTTTCTTGTTGGCATCGTACTCCGTGGGAAGGTTACGAATGCCACATAAGCATCTCGGATTTTTGCTCTTACCGATCACCGGTAAGAGCAGCTCCTCGTCAGACATACTGCAACCGACGAGCACCGCTCTTTGCTCTTCTTTTTTGCCCTAGCAGCGATCACTGCCCTCGACGAAAGACTTGGCCGGCAGCATTCAATAAAACAGCGCTGTTTCGTTGGCGTCATATACATCTTCCGGCAACATGAAACAAAGGCCCCATGGGCCATGGAACACGGGCACGAACAATTGGTGTGATCACGTAAACGAGCGTTCTCCGAAGACATCTGACGATCATTCCGTGTGACCGACTTCACTACATATCTAGCAAAACTCTTAGCCTTCTGGAGACGAAGTCCACTCGAGTTGAGCCCCTGCTCTCGCGCTTGTCTAAACCAGGCACACAGGGCATTATCAACACCCGGGAAATCTCGACTTTCGCCCTCGCTTTCGTTCTGTCCCAAGCTGGCGCTGCTTCACTGCTGTTTCAATTGTCGAGTGTTTTTCCACCGACCCGACAAGATGTTGATGGGTACACTGGCCTCTTCAGCCACCTTTGCCTTGCTTTCCCCATCGTCCACCATCTGCAGTGCCTTGAGTTTTTTTTATTACTTTTTCCTTGTACGATTTCACAATGTACAGTGCTGCCCCATGAAATCGCAGTCGCGTCAGTCAAGTACGCGCCGGGCGTTGCGCAGCCCTAGACGTGCGAACACTGGGCTGAGAAATGCCGTAAGGCGCGAACTTGACTCACGCGACCGGATTTTATTGCGCAGCATTGTACTTCGAGGAAGTTTTTCGAGGCCGTTGTCTAGGCTGTAGCCCATCAGAGATTAACGGGCTTCTACACTGCTGCCAATGGGAAGAAGAAAGGAGAATAAATTTCACTTGCCGGCAAACTTATACCCTCGCCCTAAAAAAAATTAGTGCTCGAAGGACATACACGTACATGTAGGCATTGTCCTGTGAAGTTACCTTCTGCATGACAGAGAACTTTGAAATACCCAGCGGGACCCCTTTTTGAACTTTGTGCGTGTGCGCGCGCGTGTGTGTGTGTGTGTGTGTACATACGTGTGTGTGTGTGTGCACCTATGTGTGTATTTGTGTTTGGGACGGGTTTGTGTCTGCTCCTGCATGTGTGTACGCGTTTGACCATTCGTCCTGCAGAGCACCTCACTGGCGTTCGATGTCGTCTCGGAGGACAACGTCTACACATGCGTCGGTCACCCGCTGCGAGTGGACATTGTCAACATTGTCACGTGGATGCTGAACGAACCCTTCAGCACTGCCTACAGAAGTAAGCCCTCGGGCAGGAGCACGGGCTGATGTTCTCCAAGCAGATTACCCGTGATGAACAGTGTAGATGTCTGTATTTGGCGAAAAAAAACTCTGCGTGTAGCTTGTACTGCAGCAGTGTGGCTTATGCTACCGGTGTCTGCTCCAGAGCCGGGTGAGCCGGGTAATCGACCCGGTTGGGCGGCGCTTGGACCCGGTTGGAAATATAGTACCGGATCACCTGTGACCCGGTTGGTACTTTACACGTTCGAACTTTGAAAGGACTGACTACATGGCTTGTATGTGTGACAGATCATGCAGAGGCGCGCGTCGAATACATGTGTACTCGGCTCCGACCCGGTTGAAATGGTTGCGCCAGGTACACGTGTACCCGGCTGTCCTACAAGGCTAGAGCAGACACTGACTACCAGAAAATACGGGAACCATGTAGTGTTAGAACTTGTATTTAGCGTCTACCCTGGTGTGTGTGTGTGTGTGTGTGTGTGTGTGTGTGTGTGTGTGTGTGTGTGTGTGTGTGTGTGTGTGTGAGGAGTTTCCGTATTCAGAAAGGACACTGAGCTAGCTGTCTACATGTATGATCATACTTCCTCCAGAAACAAAAAAAACAAAAAATGGCGTTTTTATTGGCGTTCTAAGGGATTACTGTGTGCGTGTACGTGCGTGTGTGTGTGTGTGTGTGTGTGTGTGTGTGTGTGTGTGTGTGTGTGTGTGTGTGTGTGTGTGTGAATGTTTGTTCTGCTGCTGCTCTAGATATCATGGAACTGAAGACGCTGAAGGGCCTGGCATTGCAGGATATCCTGCTAGAGATCCATGCTTACGTGCATCGCAGTAAGTGCTTATGTTCAGCGCAGTGAGTGTCTCAATACTGTTGTTATTGTTCCATGTTTGCAGCTAATGTTATGTATGTATGTACCGGGTATGCGTGTGTGATGGGGGGGGGGGGGGGGGGAGAGAGAGTGCATCGAGCACCAATCGGCTTCCAGCAACTTCTAATTGATTGCAGTACGCAGACCAACGTCATGCTGTTACGGAGTGTGGCCTTTCTGGATTCTGAACTACGTGTATGTTGTTCGCTATGTTTTATTGATGGCTGCGTGTGTGGCTGCGTGTGTGTGTGTGTGTGTGTGTGTATTGTTTCCTGTTTGTCTTCTGTGCAGTTGATTTCCCGCAGAACGTTCGAATTCACCTGCTCTCCAAGATGGCGGACATCGAGTAAGGACTCACACCTGTACTGCTCATCACTCTACTCGTATGCGTGTTTGCCTGGAAGAATGCAGAGACATGGAGAGAGGCAGACAGACAGACAGACAGATACAGACAGATAGGCAGACAGACACAAAGACACAGAGAGAGAGAGACACACAGAGACACAGAGGGGGGGGGGGGTACAGGGGGCATGAGGGTGTTATGCCCAGTCTGTGTGTTAGGTGTGCATGTGTGCTAGTTGGCTCTGCTTCTTCCGTTCCTTCTAGTGTAAACTTTGAGTTAGAGCGAGAGGTACCTAGCGTTATTGTGACTGGCCCATTTTTTCTGCCTCTGCTGAAGCCGCACCTGGACTGAGAGTATTGGCGGTGTGGTATCACTAGCAATGCATCTCTGCTGTGAACCTGCGTATCGTTGCAATGGCGGGATACTCCTGTGTTGTTTTTTTCTGGGTCATAATGGGGCTCTCTCTCTCTCTCTCTCTCTCTCTCTCTCTCTCTCTCTCTGTGTTATCAGGCACCAGCTAGCAAGCGGTACATCCGAGCAGCTACAGCTTAGCTCACTGCTCGGTGCATTCCAGGTCAGCCGTGACCTGGTGGCAGCTGCTGCAACGTAGGTACTATCCTCACAACCATGTGTGTATCTCATCGGTCAGTACTTATGCCTGTCTGAACTGTGTTCCGAAACGAAGGCTTTATGTCATTCATACCCTGATGGGCTGACACCTCAAGTAACTGACTGGTTCTGGCTTTTCGCAGCTGTGGAAATGGCAGCTGGGATCACCGGGTGTCGCAGCATTGAGACAAAGCTGCGTGCGACAACTGCTGCTATCAGACGCCACATGGCCAGAAGTTCCCCGTTGCATTGGTGTCTTTGCTTTGTGAGATCGGCGCGAGCAGTTGTGGACGATCGCCGTTGTCTCTTTCTCTGCTCTTGTTCGTGGCTGCTAGCCCAGAGCCTTGGTAGTACTGTAGAGTGCAACTGTGAAAGATGACACTGCAGGTCCTCTCTACACTGTTAGCTACTACTGCCTTGTACATTGTCACGGCATGAAGTGGTGTTGGCATGGCACCGGTGGTATGACATCATTCCACTCTGAGTGACGTCATGATGATGTCATGCGTGACAGTGTCCCGGAAGTGAACTAGCAAAGCCAGTGCTGACGTCACTCTTGAGTTCCTTTCTTCTTTTTTTCGCTGACCCGCTGACGTTCTGTCTTTCTGATCAGTGGCTGGCGTAGTTGTTAGCGTTGGCTGCTTCTTCAGTGCCTATTTCCATGTGTGTGTGCGTGTGCGTGTGTGTGTTTTAGTACTGGTGCTGGGCACTTCAGACTTTTCTATTCCTATAACGTTGGGCATGAGAAGATGTTTTTTTACGATTTACAAATCACTATCCAGGAAAATGTTGCATGCTGTAGTACGTTGATTAGTTTGCTATAAGCACAACCATGAAAGGACCTCTCGAAACCGAAATATTGTGCTTTTTTAGAGCTTGATCAGTTGATGATCTTCCACTGAGTCTATAACTGCTGGAGCAAGTTTTCTACGAGGAAGAGAGAGGCATGGGGTGGGGGTGAGATAGATTTGGTCGCACTATTCATGTTTTGTTGCAGTCCTGACATGACATGTACTGTGTTGCCACACCTGCCGACATGTCAGTAGCCTGCCGATTTTTGAGGCATGTCGCGACCTGCCGACAATTGACCTTCTCCTGCCGACAACAGCCGAGAAAGTGTTCAAGTTTGACCTTATGCATGGTTTAGGAGTCATGGTCCAGATTTTTGACTTTTACTGCGCATCACGAGTGTTTCCATAGCTCTCTCCTGAGGCGCTAAGGGCCGATTCCCACTACGGTACCGTGAGTGCCGTGCCGACGATTTGGGTAGGTCACGCGTACCCCACGGTACGAGCTTGAAGCTGAGAGTGATTTACACCTGCGCACAGTCATTCCGTGCATTCCGTCGGCAGGCCGGATCACCATTTTTTTTAATCAATTTCTGACTTTGATCCTGAGGGAAAATAGCGGGGCCCGGGGAGATGACTGGAGAAAGCTCAAGAATCAACCAATCGAAAAGCCAAAAGCCAAGAAAAAACTTCGTACCACAAATACAAAAGAAATTTCAGGGAGTAGTAAAATACCTACTACTTACTGCATTCGACCTCGCGGAATACCACGGCATGCCATTTCCCGGCGCGGTACGGCAGGAGCCGCGGAATGAACTCGCGCCAAAACTGCCCCTCACGTGAGCAAATCACCATGGGTACTCACTGCACGGCACTCACGGTACCGTTGTGGGAATCGGCCCTAAGCGAAATCATCCGTCTCGGGGAAAAATCGGCAAACTCAGCCTGAGTGTCACGCAAAACCGTGAAATGTTTTTTTCTTATCAGTGCCGCATGAGGTCGCTATATAGGGGGGGGGGGGGGGGGTCCGGGGGCGAAAGCCCCCGGGTGATGCATTTTATTTTTTCATGCTACTGAAATTTGGCTAGAATGATGTGGCAACACTGCATGTAGAGCACGGCTGTGTGTGTGTGTGTGTGTGTGTGTATGTGTGTGTGTGTTGAATGGTGTAATCCCAGCACACGTTGCTACGGCTAACGTATCTGTTCGCTATCGTCGCTTATGCGATGGGCAGGTCTGAGGTGTGTGTGTGATGGGGAGGGGGGGGGGGGGGGCAGGGTGCACTAAAACACAATGGTGCAGTGCCCTACACCTGTGCATTCTACATTGACACACAGGCATACTCTAGTTTCACTAGTTTTCGGTGTAGTTTCGGTGCGTCTGTTTCATACCTAAATTTTCAATACACCGAACAAACACTAACACACATAATCCAATAGGGAACTGTTTTTCTGTGCCGAAAATTTCTGTTCACCTAACCTGGCCTTTTGCCCTCGTACCAACAAATTTGAACACCTAAAATTTCTGAAATTAGAGCACCCTGCAGCAGGCAGTCGCCCAACTATTGGCACAGGTGTGGGAAGGTTTCTGGATTCAGAAAATCTTGATAAATTGACCTCAAACAAGCCGATGCCCAAACCAACCTATAATAGTCCAGTCTCTCTCTCTCTCTCTCTCTCTCTCTCTCTCTCTCTCTCTCTCTCTCTCTCTCTCTCTCTCTCTCTCTCTCTCTCTCTCTCTCTCTCTCTCTCTCTCTCTCTCTCTCTCTCTCTCTCTCTCTCTCTCTCTCTCTCTCTCTCTCTCCTCTCTCTCTCTCTCTCTCTCTCTCTCTCTCTCTCTCTCTCTCTCTCTCTCTCTCTCTCTCTCTCTCTCTCTCTCTCTCTCTCTCTCTCTCTCTCTCTCTCTCTCTCTCTCTCTCTCTCTCTCTCTCTCTCTCTCTCTCTCTCTCTCTCTCTCTCTCTCTCTCTCTCTCTCTCTCTCTCTTCTCTCTCTCTCTCTCTCTCTCTCTCTCTCTCTCTCTCTCTCCTCCCTGTGTGTTGCGTTACGGCATCGAGCACCCTACTCGATTGTGTTTGTAATACATGTATGTCTGAATGCATGGCGCTGGATATACTATCGCCATCACTGAATGTGCATGTACTGTAGAGGCAGAACATTTTGTCGGCCAATAATTTTGTCCAACTCCAAAGAAAGGGAGTTCGTCCGGTTGAAAATTTCGTCCATGGATCATACTACTGTATAGAAAAGCTGGACAAATCGACATTAGTTCGGCATTTAATTTAGTCCAAAAGTTCCTTTGACGAAAAAGACGAAATTAAATTCCAGACGAATATTTCTGCTTATACAGTACCCTGTGTTTTACGTAAAATAGTGGTGGTAGTAGACTTGGATGGATGGAGAGCCAATGATTAATTTTATAATAGAGAAAATGACCAAGGAACTGCAATGTTATCGCATGAGCTGATTGTCAAGTAACTGGTGGTGTTAGTGGACATTATAGTGTAACTTGTAGTTCCTTGGTCCTTTTCTTTATTATAAAGACGTAGAAGTATTTATTATTTTTACTTGGGTATGCTCTAATTTCAGAAAAATTTGGTGCTCAATATTTTCGGTATGAGGGCAACAGGCCAGGTTAGGTGAACAGAAATTTTCGGTACAGAGGAGCAGTTCCCTATTGGATTACTTCGAAGTATGTGTGTTAGTGTTTGTTCGGTGTATTGAAATGTTAGGTATGAAACAGACGCACCGAAAGCACCGAAAATAAAAGTACTCCGAAAATTTGTGAATACAGTACCCAAACAGACCTATGGCCTTCTAAAGCTTAGATTCTGCCTTGAACATCAGCAATGCCAATCAGAACGGCAGGCCAACTCGCGCTGCCTGGAAGCTGTTTACGTTGTTTGTATCCGTCCATGTAGCCATGTTCACATGCTCCCAGTTTCCACATTATTGACATTTTGTGGTGTGCATTGCATTGTCTATGCTCATCGGCATATCACTCATGGGTACGGGTGTGCATTGTGTAGCCTACGTTTAATAGGTGTGGTTGTGTTGTTAGTGCCTAGTGGATACTAGTACTAGTATTACTATTTAGAGGGTGCTTGCATGCTGTCCAATCGACCCACCTGCCTTTTAGAACTAGAATATTGGCATTTTTGTTTCAAACATTGCTTGGTGAGGAGTTTGGACCACATGAACAAAACTTAGAAATACTTCATTTGCGGACGATTTCCACTTGCATGCTAGGTCGTAATGCTTATGCCCAGGAAGGGAGTATTATGACTGTGGACTGTCTTTGTACAGTGAAACCTGGCCACTCAAGGGACCTTCAAAACCTTCTTTTACTCTCTTTTACCGGGTGGTCTCCTTTTCCAGGGTCATTTGACTGGAAATAGCATTCCTTGGTGCTGGTTTCAGTGGTCTTCTAGGACAGGTGGTCGCCTTATCCGAGTGGTCGCATTGACAGGTTTTACTGTACTTGTGCTATCTACTGTACGGTGTACCCAGGAGAAAGTAGTAAAATCTCCGGAAAATCTCCTGGTATCCATTATTTTACTAATCATTGGTTTTGCAGAATCTACGTGACATGTACATAATTATTCATAAATGATTAATTACTGGGTAGGGTAGTGTATCACAGTACGTGCAGTGATGCCATTGATGGAGTGTATTGAAACATCCGCGACAGTTTGGTGTCTCCCGGGTCCTGTCGACATGTCCTTTACTTGCCTAGCTTGGCTTGTCTTTTTGCATCTGTAGACTCTACGTACTTTTGTAGTTGACAACGACCTCACAGGCTCACTCTGCACTGCACTGCACACTGCACTGCGCAGTGCAGTCGACACGACGGTAGAACCAGCGCCTTCATCATGCATGTTCATCTACCATGTCTACCGGATGACAACAACAGCTGCACCGCTGTCGCTGCAGCTTGGCGATGACACGGATTGAGGGTCGATGGTCCGCTGAATGGACCGTATCTTGATAAAAATTAATGCTATGGCACGAGTGCTGCTACATCACATACATGTACTTCTTGTTCTTTTGCGTTGGCTGAAGCCGTGATATGAAGGTGGGACAACTGTTTGGATGGCCTAGCGCCTGTGTCTAGCTGTAGCGCCTGTGGCCTAGTATTTGTAGTCGGTCCACAACATAACAGCGGCGTTTGCTCTTCTCAGCCGTCAGCAATGATTACGACGTGTTTCGTCTCGTAGTCCACAACAGTCAACACGACAGCGACAGCGAACTGTAGTTGTGGTTTCAGCTCATCATCTCAGCTAACTGCACTCGCTCGCATGTTGCCTTGTTGGCTTTGTCGTGTTGCTCATTTACTGTAAAGCAGTGAAAATACGGACTACATTTTTACATCATTCATCACTGTCATGATCACTGTCTACTGTTTTTTGCGGGTAGATCGACAGCCATGACTGCACCGAGTCCTGTACATGTACTGTAGTGTAGTTTGGTGTGGTAGATCTACATTACTGAAGTGAAGTCTTCGGTCTCTTGCTCGTGCCTTGGCTCACGCAGTCTTGCTCAGTGCAGTGGACCTTGGTCTTGTGGTAGACGAGATAGACTGTGTACAGAAATTGTGCGCGATAGAGTACTCCTGCCTAAAATTATGATAATGACGGTACTGTAACAAGGAGGCCTCGAGGATGTGGGTGGTAGAAATAATTAAAAAGCTAATAATATTAGTAATATTAACTATTTGCACTACGACTATCGAGCTCAGGCGTCATGCAATGGCAGAAGTCACTGGCATGTTTAGGTAACATCAGTAAGACAACACAGTCTGTCACAGACTCAGTATGACTGTGTGGGACTGCAATGGCGGAAGTGATTGTGTGAACAAATCCCACATTTTAGCAAGAAGTATGCAATGACTACTGAGTATGTATGACTAGTCGACTGTACATACTGTGCAGTGGCCTAGTACAGTCGTCGCCAAAAAAATCCGGCCAAATGCAATGCTAGCTACCGCCGTACCGGTAGCTGTACTGGGCCGCATGCACTGCATCATACTTCAAGTCTTCATAGTGGTAGTGCCTAGTGCAGTAGTGGTACTGGTAGACCGGGTCGATTGTACTGCAGTAACTGTTACTTCACTGTTCACATGCTGACAGGCTAGGCCCGCATACACCATGTAGAGGCGACGGTTCGATACGTGCAGTGCCAGTGGATACCGGAACGGCTTGACCATGTTGACAGGTCAGCCAAATTTGTATAGGCGCAAACCATGCAAACCTATCATCAGCGTTGATTGTTCACTCGAAATATGTTTGTGGAAGAAAACTGGCATGTTGAAGTTTGATCTGAGGCCAGAGTCAATCGAACTGAGCCACTCCTTTGTGTTGACCCATTGCCTCCAAGTTGCCCAATTTTTCGCTTCAAATCAGGGGTGGCTCCAAATCGGAAAGGTTTTAGAGTGCACGTCAAATTCACTCTTAGTCTGAAATTAGGTAATTGCTATCGCTCCACGACGGCCAGTACAGAATAACAATAAGCCTTGTGTGTGCTTCTCCATTAGTTTCGATTGGTATGCGGTGCTTTATTGGCGAGAGACGAGCCGCTGTTTACCTGCGACAAGAAGTTGATTTTTCGAAAGTCGTACAATCAACACGTCAAAAACTCACCTGCTTGGTGTGGCGCTTCTGGTCATCGCAGAGCCATGACATTTTGGCTCAGAGTATAAGTTATAACACATCGTAGTCTCACTGTGACATTATGTTTTCTAATCAAAATACTAAGAGAGAAAGTGAATATGGAGTCCGTTCCGGTTTGCAACCTTACGGTATGTCCTATTTGAAACCGTCGCCTTCTACACTCACTCAGACTCAGGCTCGGCGCAGTGCTCAACCCGACTGCAGCAGGCAGAGTGCGGCGCGGACTGTTCAGTGCTGTCCAGTGGCAGTGCCACTGCATGAACCCGCGATGAAGTACCGCGCGTGTGTAGACCTACCTACCATACCTATGTACGCGTACACAGTACTTGGCATTGGCCGGATTTTTTTGGTAGAAGTAGAACTAAATAAGACCATAAGTAGGACTACAAAACTTCAAAAGACGTTGCGACATCTCGACAGGCTAGGCTATGCTAGGAGGCGCACACACAGCAACGCACGCACTGTACGCAGTTCCTTGCACCGGGGGCAGGTGACCCGGTCAAAGATCGTTCAGTCAGCTCACGCGCACATGATCCATTGACACGAAAAAGGCGAAGTAAGTTTTGTTGAAATATGCCATTAATTTTAGCTATTTCCAGAGCTAGAGCTAGAGGAATCTCTAGTTTCAGTCAACGGAGCGCAAACTAACATTACTTTTGCCGAGTCTTTGAAGCTGTTCCAACTACATGAATGTCAGGCGTCGCTCGAATAGTTCTGCTGCAGCTTCCTCCCGTTCCTTAGTTCCTGTGTCAGGAAGTAGAAAGATTGGATTTTCGATCAGCTGAGCAGAGTTGGGCAGTGCACCCCTAGCCCTTGTAAAATTTCATGCTAGTATTACTCCAGTACTCACTGCCAGTAGTAAGTATTCTGAAGCCGTCCTTCTATTTGTAGCTGTCACGCAGTAGGAGCAGAAGGGAGAGTTCCCTCTCGGGCAAGTGCCACTAGATTTCGAAGTCCTTGTGAAGTTTTCTATTCGTGTCAAACGTAAAACGGAGCTCATTGCGAGCAGAGCGGAGAGAAAGGATGTCTCGAGCGGCAGGCCAGCCATGCGGCAACTTCAAGGCGAATCCTTTCCGTGCCAACAAGTGCATGCACTGCTACCAAGATAAGAAAGACCATGTTCCCGGCCAGGGACCTGGATCAGCGGGGAATAGTCCTGCTACGATGCGATCGAGGCCTGCTGCAACATCCGACCTGCCGAAAGGTTCGTCCAGAGTTGCGGCAGTGCAAGCGAGTGGTTTGTTCACCAAGCAGGGCGAAACGGCAAGTCCGCCTCTGTCAGCGAACAACAGCAGACCCACGAGTCGCCCTACCAGTACAAGCCCATTGGGAAGCAAGCCGTTGCTTTCTCCAAAGCCTCTGCAGTCGCCGACAACCGGGCCAACTCTGGGTCAGCCGATACGACGTACGAGTGATACTGCCTTGATGAAACCCTACGCAGCATCGCAAGGTGTCAACAACGCTGGCCTTCGATCGACAAACGTGAGAAAAACCTCCTCCAACTCATCGTTTGTGAACTCCGCAAAAGAGCGCGAGGCAAGGATGAGCGAGCGCAAGACGTCCAACGGGGACAGCAGCGCTGCAGAAAGGCTGCGTACGTCCTCCACCAGCAGCAATGGCAGCAGTAGTTATGGTCGTCGTCCTGAATCAGCAACAACAACACCAATGACAGCAGCAGCAAAGAACATTGATTCAGACAGCAGCAGCAGTAGCACGGAGTTGGACAACAATGGAAGTGAGAGAAAAACTAGTGCCACCACAACAGCAGCAACAACTACTAAGACAGCCAGTGTGAACGATGGCCGCGTCAAGGAACTGGAGGAACGATGTCGGACGCTGGAGGCAGAACGGGACAGCGCCAACAAAGACACGGACAGTGTTCGTCGGGAACTGGACGCGGCGAAGAACGACGCTAACAAGCTGCGATCGCAGCTGGCCAAGTCCGAAGACAGAGCGGCCGAAGAGCGACAGGCGCGAGAAGCGGCCGAAGCCGACCTCAAGCAAGCGCGCACGGACCTGGAGCGCGAGCAGCAACAGCAGAGCAAGACCAAGAGCAGCAGCAGCACCAGTGAAGCCGAGTTGGACGCAGAACGTGCCGTCAGCAAGTCCTTGCGTGCCGACATGAACAAACTACGAGCAGACGTGCGGAAAGCCGAGCGTCGAGCGGACTCCGCCGAACAGGAAGCCAACGACAATAACGAAGAGGCGCGGAAGCAGCGCCGCGAAGCGCAGTCACTTCGCCGTCAGCTGACTAAGGTCGAGGAACGTGCCGAGACCGTGCGTGAGGAACTGGATGCGGCGCTAGCAGCTAAGTCATCACAGAGCGGACGTGACAGCGAGCAAGTCACTACGCTGGAGAGGAAGGTCAAGTCCCTAGAAGACAAACTAGCAGCAGCGAAGGCCGAGGCGGCTGATGTACGCGAGGAGAAAGATGCAGACAAGGCTAAACATGGCGATCAAGTGGCCAATATGAAACAGGTGAGGGCAAATGAATAGCTAGCTTGTTTGTGCGCAATCCTGTGGACGATGGCTGGCTGAGATTCATAACAGTCAAGTCACACATGTTGTCTTTTACACTGTATGTGTGTGTGTGTGGTGTGTGTGTGTGTGTGTGTGTGTGTGTGTGCGTGTGCCCGTGTGTGTGTGTGTGTGTGTGTGTGCTCTCTTGGGTGCCCCGAATGACCAGTTTCTGTCATTGATCAAGTACGGGTACGTGTGTCTCTGTGTCTGTACGCCTCCTTGTCAATGTGTCACTGCTTGTATTGGTAAACTCAGGATGATGTAGTCATATGTCACGTGACTTCACCATACATTCACCACACGTAATGCCCTTGCCCTCCCCCTACAGACACATGATGTCCGTGCCCGCGCTCCCGTAGTACACCCGCACACACGGATGTGATGCCCGTTCTTGCCCCCACTCACACTCCGTCATATCGGGGTACAAGAGTATTTCATGTCACCAAATCCAAAGTAAGGTGGAAATTAATCAAGCCGACTAGTTTTGCTCGGTCCTGAAATTTCCTCCACAAGTCAACTGTCTTATGTGGACTTGCCGACTTGGGCAACCAGTGCACCACCAGCTAATTCTGCACATCACAAACGACATCAAACGTAGCTCTCTCTTCTAAGAAAGCGTCACTTAGAGCTCAATCTGCCGTGAATAGCATAATTGCTTTGCAGGCGGGGCATGCATTGCAATGGCGAGATTTAGCAAGCGCTGCAAACCTAATCGGGGAAATCGCGACCAAGCTGTGTCCTAAATTGACGTTGCGGTATGGATGGGTTTGTTGGTTGCAGTGTACAATGAGACAGTGCAGTGGAGACTATACTGTGTATCATGTAATTTTAGGTGTATTTAAATTTCGGTACCAGGGACCCGTCAGCTTTCAGGTGTAATGTAGAATTAGGTGACCAGCCTACTCTTCATATGCAGTGCATACTCTAGTGCCTTTTAGGTGTAATCCTAATTCAGGTGCCTGAATTCTCTACCGAAATTAAAATGACACCGAAAATAACGTGTAATACGATAGTGAGAGTACATAACCCCCAACAGTGTGCAACTCCAGCTATGGACTCTATGACGGCAGACCATCCCATGTGCCTGCCGGTGAGTTGTGTATTTTGAAAAAGAAAAAAAAAACTTCACATCACGTGACAAACCCGTACACATAATTTGCACTCCGGTGTACATGATAGATACAGGTTTTTACGCAAAACCTGCTTTGGTTACAACTCTCTTATGATTACTTTGCACCAGGGAGTCGTAAAATACCGGTATTTTACTACTCCCTGCTTTACACTGTTTGCCAGAGTAACCTTTTGAACCATGTCACGTGATGTGAAGTACTGCCGTCGTCGCAGCACTGTATAGAGGTTGTGTAGGTAGTTGCACACTGTTGGGGGTTATGTACTCTTGACTAGAGTTATAGTGCCCTGGAGTTGCAACGAAGTATTCGCCTTGCTCCAGTCTGTGTGTGTGTGTGTGTGTGTGCGCGCGCGCGCGCGCGTGTGCGTGTGTTTTGTGTTTTAACTCCACAAGTACTGTGGCCGTTCCCCGCATGCTCTTGCTCACATCGCTAATGACAAAACTGGATATAGGTCTCACATTTCATGATTTTGTTTTCTCTTGATTGCCCCCCCCCCCCCCCCTACTATGCATAAAACCGGAGTTGCAGTGTACAATATGTTATCACGGTTTGGAATGTGTGATGCTGGCTACAGGAGCTGAAGTCTGCACAGGACAAGGCAGATGACCTAACCAAGGAACTGAAGCAGCAGCAGAGCGCGTCGAAAAGAGGCCAGGAAAGCGCCGATGCTAAGCTAAAGGAGGTGAGCAGTCGTTCTGGTGTTGTGTGTATGTGTGTGTGTACGTATGTGTGTGTGTGTGTGTGTGTGTGTGTGTGTGTGTGTGTGTGTGTGTGTGTGTCTGTGTGTCTGTGTGTGTGTTCATCAGCCTTGCACGCTGTTGAATGGTGTAATCCCAGCACAAGTTGCTATGTCAAACATAGCTGTTCGCTATCATCGCTTCAGCGATGGGTAGGAGTACGAGCGTGAGTGTGTGTGCATGTGTGTGTGTGTGAGGGGGGGGGGGGGGGGGAGGTGTATGTGTGTTTGGGTAAGCGTTTGCTTACCTGTCTGCCTTCTCTCTCGTAACACCCCAGTCTTCCGCTCTTGTGTTTGCCTGACGTGCCGTGTTTGTGTGTGTCCGTCCATTGCATCCTGTTGCGTTCCTCTGATGTTCATGCCGCTGTGATTGCGTGATTGCAGGACCTACAGGCTGCTGAAGACAGAGCCGATGAGTTGTCGGTCAAGATGGAGAAGGAACGGGGCCAGGCGCGCAAAGACAAGATTGAACTGGAGGAGAAGCTGAGTAGCACGGCCAAAGTAAGATGTGTGTGTGTGTGTGTGTGTGTGTGTGTGTGTGTGTGTGTGTGGTGTGTGTGTGTGTGTGTGTGTGTGTGTGTGTGTGTGTGTGTGTGTGTGTGTGTGTGTGTGTGTGCATGAACAGGCCTCACGTGTATGGGTGCACGTTGGGAGTTTGTCAGCTTACCCTAATTCATTCCTTGTTGCGTGGCACTAACAATCTGCCAGACCTGCTAGGCAATTGGCTGGCACACCTTTCTATCGCTGCAGCTTACTTGTGGAGTGAAGCATCGTTGTAATAAGAACACTGATAAAACCAACTTTCCCTTTAGACGAACAAGTACCCATGTGTCTAAAAGCGAGGGTCCCTGGTTCCAATCCTGGTGGTGACAGTCAGTTTTTTATTCAGACTTTTCCCGTTTGTGTCTTTCCCTCAAACTAGTGAATGACCCATGACTCTATTGGACAAGTCACTGTGTATTCACTGGGTATAAAGTGTGGATAAGAAGAACTCCCGTTATTGCAAACAAATACTACTGGTCCCTTGGTCCCTTGATGTTTGTCCAAAGGAAGTTTGACTGTATCTGTCAACTTCAATAATTAAGAAGAAAAGAGGACCAAAGAGCTACAAGTCACGCTAAACTATCCACTAACACCACCAGCTACTTTACAATCAGCTCATGCGATAACATTGCATGACACTGACCAACGGTACTGACGTTCCACACCTACCTGGCGATCGGCTCTAGCACGTCTTGGCTGTTGGAGTGCGCATGCAACAGCCAAGACATTCTAGAGCCGATCGACAGGTAGGTGTAGAACGTCAGTACCGTTGGTCAGTGTCATGCAATGTTATCGCATGAGCTGATTGTAAAGTAGCTGGTGGTGCTAGTGGATATTATAGCGTAACTTGTAGCTCTTTGGTCCTCTTTTCTTCAAAACAAGTGTGTACATTTATTTTACTCTTTGTTACGCATGTTTGTGTCCTGTATCAGCAACTGAAGGATGCAAACAGCAAGGTTGACAACGTAACCAGGAAACTGGAAGCTGAGCGGGATGATCTTCGCAAAGAGCGTGATCAGCTCAGTCTCAAACTGAAAGAGGTATGCACCACAGTGTAGAGTAGGTACTATCAGAACTGAAAGAGGTATGCACCACAGTGTAGAGTAGGCACTATCAGAATGTTGTCCTGTTACAGTACTGCCGGTCGCCGAAGAACTGAGGGGTCAGCCTGCTAGCATAGACCGTTCTTATTTTCATGTATTACAGTCTATGCACAGTTGAGTCACAGGGTGTGCATTGGTATGCTGTGCTTGGTGAAATTCTAGCCTGGTCGTTCTTCGGCGCTCCGTTATTCGGCACCCGATAGTACTGTACGTCATCTTGAACTGCTGTCTCCACGTCGCCTTTTTGATTACCTCGGCGTGAAACTTAATTTATGACAATTCCGATCGGCCTCCTCTTTCTCTCTTCCCTATTTGAAAACGCTCTACGCTCTGCTCATTGCAAGCTTTTCTGGCAGCTGGCCAACTTTTTTCTTTGAAAGGTCATTATCTATAGGGGTGTGTGTGTGTGCGCGTGCGCGCGTGCTCTGCTCTTTACGGACTTTTCGGGCAGCTTGCCAACAATTTTCTTTGAAAGGTCGTTGTCTACACTACAAGTATGGATCCTAATCCTGTTTTCTTGCTTTGATGTGTTTGCAGGCAGAGCGGCAGCGTACGGTGTCACCACCTAGGTCCAATGGCAGCAGTACAGCCACTACACCAAGCAGTGAGAAATCTGCACCGGCAATCTCCGTCAAGCCCAAGCCAAAGTAGGTCTCGCGTGGTGCTCTACCCCCGTGTATGTGTGTGTGTGTGTGTGGTGTGTGTCCTGTTTTCACGACACATGTACGAGTAAACCAGCTGAGGTCTGAAGTACATTTCGTGAGCTCGTGCTTCTTCATTGACCGGGTTTTTTTTATAGCAGCCTTAGCTTGGTTCTATTCTTAAGCCGGATTGTCTTTTCGTGCTCTGGAAAACTTTTTTTTATACATGTACGTAGCTTGCTACTACCCACACTGGGCCACAGTCAACCGGGAACTTGTGGCCAGACACAAGGGGTACATGGATGTGGCTAATGGGGTTTCTCGGCACTTGTGCCATGCAGTGGTTGTGAGACATATCCCCTCACCCTCACCGTTAGGCGCTGCATCTGCCGCTAGGGTTTAACGGGTGTTAGCGGCCCTCGTGAGTTCCCTTCGGGAACGGACACGATTAATGTACTTTTACATAGCTTGCATAACCTTTTCTCGCAGCCTTCGTCAGTGGAAGTTTGGCACATGGTGAGGAGTAACCACAATATATTATATTTCTATTGTGTTGTTAGAAACGAGAAGAAAACACATGGGAACGAGTTATGCAGCAACTATCCACGACTGTAACAGGATGATAAACAGTCCGACAGTTCGACAATAGGGCACAAACTGATGTGTTTTCTTCTCTTTTTTTACATTTATTACTGGGTCAATATCCAAGTTATAATGCTGTGTTGTTGTTTGTGTTTGTGTTTCCAGGGTAACAGGCAAGTCCCCCAGCCGCCCTTTGGGTGCCGGTAACCAGGCTATCCTGGCCAAGCTAGGCGGCGCGGTAGCCATGCCAGGTATGCCAGGCATGGGTGGCGGCGGTGGGCCGGGCCCCGGTGGTCGGCCTCGCGTCGAGAAGGAACACGACGTAAGTGCTAATGTTACGCTGGCCGTGGCGTGTGTTGTTTAATTATGACTCCGACGTAAGTGCTAATGTTACACTGGCGCGTGTTGTATAATTATGACTCCGACGTAAGTGCTAATGTTACACTGGCCGTGGCGGGTGTTGTATAATTATGACTCCGACATCAGTGCTAATGTTACACTGACGTGTGTTGTATAATTATGACTCCCGACCGTTGTACGTACAGTGAAGCCTGTCCTCCCGGAAAATGAGGTGGTCATTCTTCGGCAGTTCCTCGAACATAAAATATTCACAGACATGTACAGTGCTGGTGAATAACATCCGCTTAACATCATGAGCAAACGGTGGATCAAGGTACAGCACCTTATCGATAATGCGTATCTGAGGAGCAGGGGACCATAGGAACTTCTGGAGACGGCTGAAGTGACGGATATCCTCTTCGGGTGGACGGACAAATATCCCACATCGTACCCAGAAAAAAGCGCAGCAGGATCAGGATCAGCAGACAGGGCACCAAGAATATCCACAATCCTTGACATGGCATCTGCATTTCTGTGGCGAGACCCAGGGCGGTGCACAACAGAGAAATCAAACTCGGCCAACGCCTCAATCCAGCGAGCGTCGCGGCCGCGCGGCTCCTTGGTGGCCCGCAACGCAGTCAAGGCAGTATTGTCCGTCTGAGCAGTGAAAGGGCGACCAAGCACTTTATGGTTCAGAAATATTCTGAAGCCCTGAGGCTTTTGCCGTGAGCATTTTTTTATTTTACAACAGTGCTGCTGTGTGAAATCCGGTCGTGTGAGTCAACTATGCACCCTGTACCAGCCCACATCCCAGTGTTCGCAGGTCTAGGGCTGCACAGCACCCTGTACCAGCCCACATCCCAGTGTTCGTAGGTCTAGGGCTGCATAGCACCCGGCATGGCGCTGACTCACTTGATCAGATCTCATTGAGCAGCACTGTACAAACGGACAGATACAACACAGGTCTGTAACACGTACGTCCAACAGGGTGTATGGCTTGGCCCTGGAAAGTATGGTACGAGTACTAGTAGTCTTTTTTAGTAGTAGTCATTGAAAATCTAAGTGCCCCCCCCCCCCCCCTTCCTCCTAACTTGGACACATGCACGCACACACGCGCATGCTCATGTACACACACACGCTCACATTCACCCTCTCCATCTCTCACTCTCTCTCTTTCTCTCTCTCTCTCTCTCTCTCTCTCTCTCTCTCTCTCTCTCTCTCTCTCTTTCTCTCTCTCTTTCTCTCTCTCTCTCTCTCTCTCTCTCTCTCTCTCTCTCTCTCTCTCTCTTGTCATGTCCACACTTCTTCTCTGTGTTCACCCAGGACTCTATCAAGAACGCTCCCAAATTGATTCCAGACCTCAGCGGAAATTTCCTCCGTCCGAAGGGAGTCCACAACCGTCCACCCAGCAAGGTGTTCCGTCACAGTATGGCAGAGCAAGCCGAGAACAACGAGTATTTCTTCGACTCGAAGGAGATGGGAATTGGCTACCTGGAGGGCCACAGCGCGCCTGACGGAGCTGATTACAACGACGCGGATAAGGATGACGAGGCTGCACCGTCGGGAAAGACTGATGATGCCGATGATGATGATATGGAGAGTATCCCGATTGAGGCATGAGAATGTCACCGGGTGGCTGTCACCCGGAATGGTCATCGCCGCAGCCACTCTGCCACCTTCTCTGCCTCTGTTGTAGCATAGGCATAGCAGCAGCAGCTGTCTGCGTGTTGTGTGCTTGTCCTGCCGCGCTCAACCACTGCGGCCGCTGCGTTACAGCAACTCTCTGTGTAGCAGCGTGCTGATTTGTGCAGCGCAAAGCACAGCGTGCCACCAATGCCAACTTGAACACTATAAGCTAGAGTCGTATCGTTATCCGTGACATGTGTACAGGTTACCGAGCCCCAGTCCCGTAAGCAAGTTCCACCAATCCGTCAACAAGATGTTTATATTTACCACCGCTACAGAATTGTATGGTGACAAGTGGTCATGCCGAAGATGCACGGCGTTACCGGAGATATCAACGAGAAGAACGCCCAACGAGTGTTGCGAGTTCTGTCGTCACCGTTCAGTGGATCGCAACACTGTTTTCCAACTGTGTGTGTGTGTGTGTGTATGTGTGTGTGTGTCCGCACGTGTGTGTGTGTGTGTGTGTGTGTGTGTGTGTGTCCGCACGCATGCGTATGTGTTTACTAGAGCGCATGCCTATAGGTTGTGTGCTTTGTGGAACTTACTTCTATGGACTATGGTGCATTATTGATGCTTTGCTGCGAATCCGAACAACACGAGTGTTGTGTGTGTGTGTCTGTGCGTGTGTGTGTGCGGGGCGCGTATGCGCGTGTGTGCTAGCTTTAGTGTTGTGGTGTAGGAGCGGTATTTACTGTCCGCATCATTTTTTAGTCCATTGTTCACCCCCAGTCAATCACCATCTATCGTTTTGTAGAGTTTATCCGTTCCCAATTTCTTTCATTAGTTTGCGGGAGTTTCCGTTTCTTTCATTATTTCGTTTTTAGGTGTAGCACATCGCAGGGACCTGCAATAGCCACTTTTAGGGTAGTGTCTCTTTAGGCTAGGCTGAGCTTGGTCTACCTGGCCTACTTCACTACTGAGCCAACTGGCTTAGGGAGCATTTAGCCATTCCGTTCCAGTGGAATGTTCACGCGTGTAATGCGTCATGGAGTGCTGCTAGGCCGGATCATCTTGTGTGTGTGTGTGTGTGTGTGTGTGTGTGTGTGTGTGTGTGCGTGTGTGTGTGTGTGTGCATGTGTGCCTGCTTTTTTTGGAGAGTGGAGGGGGGGGGGGGTGAAGGTTATTCTCTCTCTCTCTTCTGTGATCTAATTCCTTTCGTAAGAATAGAATCAATTTCTCTCAGAAATACACGGCAACGAAACACATCGATTTGTTTGTCGTCGCCCTTGGCTCAATGCCCACAGAGCTCATGACTGATTCTACTTGGACGTGCGGTGGAATTGCAAACCACCTCTAATTTTCTAGCCTGCTTGCAGGAAGGCAAGCAGGTGAGGGAATAAATAAGATGAACAATAACAGCTCATAGAAACAGCCTAGTTAACACATACAGGTGTAGCAACCCAAAAGAACACAGCAGCTGCAATATCTTAGGAATTCGGGGCTTTCTATGAAAAACATTGGAATTTATAAATTTCACTGTAGAATACTGCTATCACCTTGTGTCCCTCCAGGAAATCGCGATTCCACGGATGCAACAAATTTCGCGATTTTGGCCCAAACCCACGATTTTCAGCAAAATCCTCGATTTCCCGAGTTTTTTTGTTGTTTTCTGCACTATATCTCTCATTTTTCTGCACTTTTCACGCAGTTCTTTCCATGATCCGGTAGGTTATTTGCACAGTACGACTCACGAGTAGATAAACGATGCAACAAATTTCGTGATTTGGCCCAAATCCGCAATTTTCGGCAACTAATTCCACGAATTCCTGGCAAGTTCTGCATCATTCCGCACTTTTCGTCGCATTTTTTGTTACTTTCTGCCGCAATTTCTTGCGCAAGTTTTCGAGAGTTTTTTTCCGCAAATTCCCGCAGGGACAGGGTAGTGGTGTATAACTGTGTGAAACAAGAAAACTGCTATTACAGAACATTAAAACAATAATTACTGTACATTTTCATTGCTAGAAGAGATAAAATGTCGCCGCACAATCACTGATACACACGTAATCTTCATGGTGAGAAACAGGTAGTCGTAAAATACCGGTATTTTACGACTACCTGGTGAGAACATCTCTGCGCTACGTGACCTTAGATAAAATGCTGCTCACCCAGCCAAGCCTCTGTCACCTGCATACGTAACATGTCAAGCACCTATAAGTTTCTGATTTCAGATCAGCGGCCCCAAAATATCACAAGTTCCAACGTATTACGTCGCTAATGCTCCTGGAAAACATTCCGACATTTGATGTGTCCAGAAATTCTAACGGTCTCAGACAACCGCCTCTCACCATATTTCTATCAACGTTACAAGATGCTAACGCAGTCTAGCACACTCGTAGTTGTTCTAGTAATAAGTTAGTATTGCCATGGCATGATGGGTATGAAACTATCAGTGGTGCTTCAGTGGCTGCAGTTCCGTGCCATCATCGAAAGGATTTTCGGCAGGCTCTGCCATAGCTGCTGCACGGTGCTCATCAGCACAGCACAAGTGGAAGCGCGACTTCAGCTTTCCGACGATGATATCGAGCCACTTGAGCACGACGAGGAGACCGGCTAGGGCCAGGTACACAAACGCCAGGATGGTGAAGGCGGCCGGAAAGCCTAGGACGGCCACCAACGGGCTCATCACCAACGGAGTCATGCCGTAGCCCGCGGACAGGAAGAACCGTGCCAGGCCGGCCACGGCAAAGCGTGTACCCACGGTACTGCCCATGCCGATCATCTCCAGGTGCTGTGTCATGGCAACGAGGCTGGCCACCGCTATCAGGGAATGCCCCGCGCCCAGCGGTATTGTCACGACAAACACCAGCGCCAGAGACGGGCGCAAGTGCAGGAACGCCGACGGTCCGATAAGCAGACAGCCGGCGACGCTCAGCAGTAGCCCGAGCAGCACCAGCAAGTAGCAATTGAAGCCACGGTCGGTCAGTTTGCCCACAATGGGTGCTGACAGAAACTGGAAAAATACCTGCGAGCCAAGAGCCAAGCCTCTGATAACAGACCGTACATGAAACTCAGACTTCATGTAATAACCCAGCAGGCTCGAGACAGAACTGAAGGCAAAGTTTGAGGCAACGACCTGCAACAGCAGAAACCATATCCAAGGGACGCGGAGCACACGGCTAATACTCACGCCGCCGCCTGTCTTGCCATCGGCGGCCTGCTCTGCGGGCAGCAGCTTATCCACGTCGAATACGATCATTCCAAGACATACGGCCCCCAGCAAGGCAATAGCTCCGGTGACGTAGAACGGAAGTGGGAAGCCACCAATGTCATGCAGACCCCCGGAGAGCACCACGCCGATTACGTGACCCAGCGCGACGCTCATGATCATCAGGGAGTTGACCAGGCCCAGGTTGCTGGGGTGAATGCGTGTCAGGTAAGTCTGTGCACCGATGCTGGTGGCCGCAAACGCCACCCCCTGCACGAAACGCATGACGTACGCATAGGCCAGAAACACCTTCCAGTCGCGGATCCAGTGGAGTGAGGAGAAGAGGTTGGAGAAGATGCCGTGAACGCACGCGGCCAGAACCAGCAGCTGCTTACTGCCGATGTTTGGCAGGTCGTGGGTGATGAACGGACTGGATAGGACCACTCCAATCTGCACCATGCTAAAGATGGCGCCGATAGCGGTGTGGTAGCCAGCACCGCCTTCAGGGTGCCTGGCCAGAGCGGCGCTGAACATGAACGGGCCCAGCTGCGACAGGTTCATGCAGCTGGTCACGACGGCCAAGCACACGAAGAACGTCATCACTTCCCTACGCTTGCGCGTCATGTCGGCAATGCAGGGTTCCTGGGAGGTGACCGCGTTACTCGTCGATGCGTGGAGATTTCTGTCACCGTCCACATTGTCTACTAGGTTCAGTAGTGGCGCGCTAGAGTCCCCGCCAACTGTAGTCCTGTCTGCAACAGCATTCTGTTCACTACTCAGACTCATCATTCCAGTCGGTGATGTAGAGTCTTTCTTCACGGTGCTATCAGCCATGTCCTGTACAGGTCATCAACACAATCATAAACATGGTAATTAGTTCAGCAGGTGAAACACACCATCATTACTCACACGCCACTCGCCACGCGGGCGTATACGAGGAGAATTGTTTGAGTCTGGCTCATTGTGGTATTGTCCCAGTTAGGGCCGGGGGGGGGGGGGGGGTATTATCCCTGGGTCGCAATAGCCCCTATCCGACAAAAATGGCTATTGCTTGTGGGAAAGTGTGCTTCGCTTGTGTAGTTGCTCTTTACTCCTATAAGTTCTAACAATTTTGATATGCCTTTTGTTGGCTCTTCTGTCTGGATATGTTGACACTTACATGCGCTTTACATTGCTCCTGCTATTATGTGTACCTTGCTATTCACATTCAGCACTGAGCCAGTGGCTGGAAGTGAGTGTACTAAGTAATAGTTACTACCGGTACTAACCTCGTGTTGGCCGGGTGTGGTCATTCTGTGTTTCTGTGATAGCGTTGCGGAACCGGAATCTGCAGGCCGCTGCTTGCGCTGCTGTCATCTCCGTCCGATCGGAAAGCATGCGCATACTCAGTCGGATGATGCACGTCGCCAAGAACAAGTGACAAGTCCCCTTGCACCATGGGCATGGATCACTAGGAAAATTTAATAATATTCAGTCGACGCGATACGACTGCACTACATAGATCTACGTGTAGATCTTTACCAGCACTTCTCTTTGCTCACATTTTGATCGACCAGCTTCTCATACCCATGATCATGATGATACTATTCCTATCGGCTATCGCTCACGACACTAGTTTAGTAGGTATACACCCGTATACCGTGTGCATGGTCAATCCGAAATAATAACTCGGCAAAAGATTCGGCACACACTCACAGCCACAGGCATAGGGCCTAGGGCTAGGGTCAGGGGCGAGGCACTCGAACTGGAGTCGAAGATTTGCCGAACCGTAATATTGACTATGATTGTTACCGGTATACCTAGTAGTGTCGTGAGCGATAGGACTATTGTGGTATGAGAAGCTGCATGGTCTATCAAAATGTGAGCAAAGAAAAGTGCTGGTAAAGATCTACACGTAGATCTATGTAGTGCAGTCGTATCGTGTCGACTGAATACTATTTTCCTAGTGATCCACGGTGCATGCCGGGGACTTGACGACGTGCATGCTGCTTTCCGATGGGACGGAGATGACAGCAGCGCATGCAGCGCGGCCTGCAGATTCCGGTTCCGCAACGCTATCACAGAATCACCACACGTACACCGTGTACACCCGGCCAACACAAGGTTAGCAGTACAGACAGAAACCTGGTTTCAGCGACCACGCATGGTTCCAGCCCAAAGTGGTCTTATAAACAGGTGGTCTTTCAAAGCAGATGATCTCCCTATAATTATGGTGATATTGGTATCAGATGAATCCTCGCACTGCATGCTGTGCATTGGTGAAGTGGGAGTGATATACTGAAGTACTGATACATCATCATCATGTACATCACTAGTGCACTGTACTACTTGTGGTGTACAAGTACAGTCATGTACATGTACGACAGCCGATGCACTCCCGCGCAAATGTGTACGCGTGCACGTGTCACGCACAGATGTTTAGACCTACTGTTAGCCTGCGATTTCACCTTTGTACTTAGTACATGCACCGTACAACAGAAAAAAACGGCGTGGTCGCAAAACTTCGGAAAACGATTTTCAGATCGAGTACTGAAGTCGTGAAGTGGTCGTTGAACTGGCGATCGGTACCGGTTGTAAGCCGGTCGCTGGTCGCGTGGAGCGAGTGGTCGCTGAATGCGAGTCAGAATGTACGTGAAACGGACGGACCGTCGGTGCCAGACAAATACGGTCGTCCACAGCAGGTGGTCGCTGAGTCCAGGTGGTCTTTGGAGCAGGTTTTACCTATAACCAAATTCACTTGAATTCTTCTAGTCACTGGCTCAGTGCTGAATAGCAAGGCAGGACTGCCGGAAGCAGTTTCTGATTGGTCCTGTGGAGTGTGGTGTTGTGGCCGTTCATACTTAATCTTTGTGTACCGGTGTCTAAATGTTGGATACATTATGACCGCAACAGTAGTTAAAAAGGGGAAGTTAAGGCAAAAATTAAAATTTCACCAGTTGTAGTCTTCGGGTTGCTGAGTCGAATGGTCGTGGTCCGAGGAAGCTGAGACGCTCCCTTCCTACTTGAATCCCAATCGAACTCGCGCACTTCCACCGAAACTGGGTGACTGTGCCCTACTAGATGGGGATTTGTATGCAAAATGTCACTAAAAGCGCCATTTCGTTCTTATAAAAGCACGGATGACCGCGATTGGCCCATATGTTCTAGTCTTTTGGACGCTGAGTCGACTGGTTTTGGTCCGAAAAGGCTGCGATGCAGCGTTCCTCCTTTATTCCCAATCGAACATGGTTGAAGAAGCGGTCACGTGCTCCTGGGTGCCCAAATCACCTGGTCACCACGCCAGCAGGCGACAACTTTCACACCAAGGTTCAACTCGAGTGACAGGACTGCACCCAAAAAAGGTCAAACAGGCTAGTAAGTTGTACCCTGCAGGCACGGTGACCAGATGACTAGTGTACGCAGGAGCACGTGACCGCTTCTTCAACCATGTTCGATTGGGAATAAAGGACGAGCGCTGCATCGCAGCCTTTTCGGACCAAAACCAGTCGACTCAGCGTGTAAAAGACTACAACATATGGGCCAATCGCGGTCATCCGTGCTTTTATAAGAACGAAATGGCGCTTTTAGTGACATTTTGCATACAAATCCCCATCTAGTAGGGCGCAGTCACCCTGTTTCGGTGGAAGTGCGCGAGTTCGATTGGGATTCAAGTAGGAAGGGAGCGTCTCAGCTTCCTCGGACCACGACCATTCGACTCAGCACCCCGAAGACTACAACCGGTGAAATTTTAATTTTTGCCTTAACTTCCCCTTTAAAGGGGGAAAAAAATTCCACGGTTCGCGTGAGACTCGGCTGGAAGCCCAGTTTTCCGCATCCGTCGTGGGAACGCCACCACCCTCTAGGATCAAAGGCGCAGATGGAGCGCCTAAACGGTGGGAGGTGAGTAGATCAGACCCACCACCAAGTGGTCAAAGACCGAAATCCCATTAGCTGCATCCACGGTCTAAGACCATGATTGAGAAACAGAGGGTACCAGGTTCAAGTCCTGCTTGGAAGCGGAAGGATTTTTTCCAGCCGTGCTGCGACCCACAGTTATTTGGGAACTTGTGGCCTGGCACAAGTGTAACATGGATGTTAAAGGGGAAGTTAAGCCTATAATCAAATTTTCACCAATTGTAGTCTTCGGGGTGCTGAGTCGAATGGTCTTGGTCCGAGGAAGCTGAGACGTCTCCTTCCTCCTTTGTTCCCAATCGAACTCGTGCACTTTCCCTGAAACTGGGTGGCTGCGCCCTACTAGATGGGGATTTGTATGCAAAATGTCACTAAAAGTGCCATTTCGTTCATATAAAAGCACGGGTGACCAGGGGCGTACACCGCTCGCCTCTAGGAGTGGTTCCCATGCCAACTGATCAACCAACATAATTCCACACGGCTAGTGCTCTTATACGTATCCGATGGAGTTTCTGCATAAACTGCTGGATAATGTCACTGCTATGCATATTTGATTTAAAAAGACTGAACTTTGCCAAGGCATATTTTATGGATGTTTTGTTTAGCAGGACGATTTCATGTTATGCCGTGAAACGAGTCGCTGAAGCACATCCACACGCTCAGTCTTGAGTCGGGTTATATTCTCCGGAGGACTGCGGTAAAGCTGCCCAAACTTCGAATCACCTGGAGCAAACATTACACAGGGCAAGCAGAAGCCACCATGGCACGCCGGTCAAAAGACTACCCAGGGAAACTCCTCCAACCAGGATAGTTGAAAGCGGCGCTGTTTGCCACCCGTCTGGACACGCACAGGAAACGAAATCCTTTGCCTTCAGTGCAGCAAGTGGCGCACAATGATTGTCAATGACGGAAATCTTTTCCATGTATGGCAAATTTCGGAGGAATCAGGGATTCCACCGTGGAGGTACACTTTCAGAATATCCTTTCCAACACACTCCAATGTCACTGAAGTAAGTCTTGGATGATCCAGCAGCTTCCAACAACGGTCGCTCTACAGCTTCGCCGACGATTCCGTCCTCTGTACTGCTCGTTGCAGACTCCACTTGGAAGTCAGGTGCGTCCGCAATCTCATCTATCGCTTGACCTTCGTCACTGGCTACACGCTTTGCCTCCTGCTCAAAATAGCTCTGAATAGAGCGCTGGCCCTCTGGATGTCGACTCTTCATTTTTCTTTTCCACAAAGCGAAAGCATCGCCAAAAACGTAACCAACTTTGTCGAAACAAACTGCAAAGGAAATGACTCTGAGATCGAGGAATCGCTGTAACTCGTATGTAGAGACTTCGTTGCACCCAGTAAGTTCAGTAGATCTACGCTGTGTCACAAAAATGCCTCAGCAGCACTTTTACACCTTGCCTTGTCACCGTCCTCGGACGGTCAGGCGGACTGCAGGCGACTACGCCGCCTAGGCATGCATGCACTGCATGCACGCTGGGCCTTGATCAAAACATTCTCCGTAGATCAACCCACATCGAAATTATTTTACTGGTTCCCGGGCATCCCGGGAACCGCCCTATGTACGCCCCTGGGTGACCGCGATTGGCCCATATGTTGTAGTCTTTTGGACGCTGAGTCGACTGGTTTTAGTCCAAAAAGGCTGCGAAGTAGCGTTCAGCCCTTATTCCCAATCGAACATGATTGAACAAGCCGTCACGTGTTCCTGCGTACACCAGTCACCTGGTCACCACGCCAACAGGCGACACATTTCACAGCAAGGTAACTTCAACTCAAAGGTGCATAGGTTCAACTCGCGCGACAGAAACTCGCCCAAACATGCTGTAAGTTGTAGCCTGCAGGCACGGTGACCAGGTGACTGGTGTACGCAGGAGCACGTGACCGCTTAGGGCTCCATTGCACCCGGCATGGCACTGACTCGCTTGATCAGATTGCAGCACTGTACAGACAGGTACAAAGCAGGACTGTGACATGTGCGCCCAAGAGGGTATACGGCTTGGCCCTGGAAAGTGTGGTGCTAGTAGTAATTGAAAAATCTAGGTGTCCCCCTCCCCCACCCCTCCTCCTCCTCCTAACTTGGACACATCACACACACACGCACGCACGCACACACACACACATGCTCATGCACACATTCACACACATGCTCACATTCAGCCTCTCTATCCGTCTCTCTCTTGTCATGTCCACTGTTCTTCTCCGTGTTCATCCAGGACTCTATCAAGAATGCTCCCAAAATGATTCCAGACCTCAGCGGAAATTTCCTCCGTCCGAATGGAATTCACAACCGTCCTCCCAGCAAGGTGTTCCGTCACAGTATGGCCGAGCAAGCCGAGAACAACGAGTATTTCTTCGACTCGAAGGAGATGGGAATTGGCTACCTGGAGGGCCACAGCACGCCCGACAGAGCTGATTACAACGACGCAGATGAGGATGACGAGGCTGCACCGCCGAGCAAGGCTGATGATGCCAATGATGATGATGTGGGGAGTATCCTGATTGAGGCATGAGAATGTCACCGGGTGGCTGTCACCCGGAATGGTCATCGCCGCAGCCACTCTGCCACCTTCTCTGCCTCTGTTGTATCATAGGCATAGCAGCAGTAGCTGTCTGCGTGTTGTGTGCTTGTCCTGCCGCGCTCAACCCCTGCGGCCGCTGCGTTACAGCAACTCTCTGTGTAGCAGTGTGCTGATTTGTGCAGCGCAAAGCACAGCGTGCCACCAATGCCAACTTGAACACTATTAGCTAGAGTCGTATCGTTATCCGTGACATGTGGACAGGTTAACGAGCCCCAATCCCGTAAGCAAGTTCCCCCAATCCGTCAACAAGATGTGTATATTTACCTCCGCTACAGAATTGTATGGTGACAAGTGGTCATGCCAAAGATGCACGGCGTTACCGCCAACTTACCGGAGATATCAACGAGAAGAACACCCAACGAGTGTTGCGAGTTCTGGCGTCCCCGTTCAGTGAATCGCACCACTGTTTTCCAACTGCGTGTGTGTGTATGTGTGTGTGTGTCCGCACGCATGTGTGTGTGTGTGTGTGTGTCCGCACGCATGCGTGTGTGTTAACTAGAGCGCATGCCTATAGGTTGTGTGCTTTGTGGAACTTACTTCTATGGTCTATGGTGCATTATTGATGCTTTGCTGCGAATCCGAACGACACGAGTGTTTTGTGTGTGCCTGTGTGTGTGTGCCTGTGTGTCTGCCTCTGTGTGTGTGTGTGTGTGTGTGTGTGTGTGTGTGCGCGCGCGCGCGTGTGTGCTAGCTTTAGTGTTATTGTGTAGGAGCGGTATTTTCTGTCCGCATCATCATTTTTTTTGTCTATTGTTCACCCCCAGTCAATCACCATCTATCGTTTTGTAGAGTTTATCCGTTCCCAATTTCTTTCATTAATTTGCGGGAGTTTCCGTTTCTTTCTTTCATTATTTCATTTTTTGGTGTAGCCCATCGCAGGGACCTGCAATAGCCACTTTTAGGGTAGTGTGTGTGTTTTAGGCTAGGCTGAGCTTGGTCTACCTGGCCTACTTCACTACTGAGCCAACTGGCTTAGGGAGCATTTAGCCATTCCGTTCCAGTGGAATGTGCACGCGTGTAATGCGTCATGGAGTGCTGCTAGGGGTCATTGTGTGTGTGTGTGTGTGTGTGTGTGTGTGTGTGTGCGTGTGTGTGTGTGTGTGTGTGCGCGCGTGTGTGCATGTGTGCCTGCTTTTTTTTCTTTTGGAGAGGGGGGGGGGGTGAAGGTTATTCTCTCTACTGTGTTCTCATTCCTTTCATAGGAATGGAAGCATTTTCAATTCTCACAGAAATAAACGGCAACGAAATACATGGATTTGTTTGTCGTCGCTCTTTGCTCAATGCCCACAGAGCTCATGACTGATTCTAGTTGGACGTGCGGTGAAGTTGAAAATCACCTATAGTTTTCTAGCCTGCTTACAGGAAGGCAAGGAGGCGAGGGAATGAATAAGATTTTAAAACTAAGATGAACAACAACAGCACCGAGAAACAGCCTAGATAACACACACACAGGTAAAAGAACACAGCAGCTGCAATATCCTAGGGATTCGGGGCTTTCTATGAAAAATATTGGAATTTATAATTTTCACTGTAGAATCCTGCTATCACCGTTCTCAGGGTGTGCAGAATTTGTAGCTGAGAGACCGTTTTTGAGTAGTTGTCACTGGTGTGTAACTGTGTGAACTTAGCAAGGATACTGCTATTATAGAATATTGAATGGGTTTGCTCCCACACTGGAGCTCTCGCTATTTCTAAACAAAATCATCGCCGAAGTCGCAACCTCTATTTCGTGCAGAATATTTTAAAGAAATACGAATTGTACATTTTCATCGCTCGAATAGATAAAGTCACCGATACACACGTAATCTTCATGATGAGAACCAGGAGGTCTTAAAATACCGGTATTGTACGACTCTCTGATGAGAACATCTCCGCGCTACGGGACTTTAGAAAAATGCTGCTCACCCAACCAAGCCTCTGTCACCTGCATACGTAACATGTCAAGCACCTGCAAGTAAGTTTCTGATTTCAGGTCAGCGGTCCCAAAATATCACAAGTGTCAAAAGTACTACATCACTAATCTCTCTGGAAAACATTCCGACATTTGCTGTGTGTCCAGAAATTCCAGAAACGATCTCAGACAAACTTGTCACCAGGTTTCTATCAAAGTTACAACACACTAAATCGGCCTAGCATACTCGCAGCTGTTCTAGTCATAAGTTACATGTAGTGCCTCCACGGGATGATGGGAGCAGTCTTTCAGTGGTGCTTCAGTGGCTGCAGTTCCGTGCCATCACCGAATGGATTTCCGGCAGGCTCTGCCATAGCAGCTGCACTGTGCTGATCAGCACAGCACAAGAGGAAGCGCAACTTCAGCTTTCCGACGATGATATCGAGCCACTTGAGCACGACGAGGAGGCCAGCCAAGGCGAGGTACACAAACGCCAGGATGGTGAAGGCGGCCGGAAAGCCTAGGACGGCCACCAGCGGGCTCATCACCAACGGAGTCATACCGTAGCCCGCGGACAGGAAAAACCGAGCCAGGCCGGCCACGGCAAACCGTGTATCCACGGTACTGCCCACTCCGATCATCTCCAGGTGCTGCGTCATGGCAACGAGGCTGGCCACTGCCATCAGGGAATGCCCCGCGCCCAGCGGTATTGTCACGACAACCACCAGCACCAGAGACGGGCGCAAGTGCAGGAACGCCGACGGTCCGATAAGCAGACATCCGGCGACGCTCAGCAGTAGCCCGAGCAGCACCAGCAAGTAGCAGTTGAAGCCACGGTCGGTCAGTTTGCCCACAACGGGTGCTGACACGAACTGGAAAAATACCTGCGAGCCAAGAGCTAAACCTCTGATAACAGACTGCACATGAAACTCAGACTTCATGTAATAACCCAGCAGAGCCGCGACAGAACTGAAGGCAAAGTTCGACGCAACGACCTGCAGAATTAAAAACCATATCCATGGGACGCGGAGCACACGGCTAATACTCACGACGCTGCCTGTCTTGCCATCGGCGACCTGCTCTGCGGGCAGCAGCCTATCCATGTCGAATACGATCAGTGCAAGACATACGGCCCCCAGCAAGGCAATGGCTCCGGTGACGTAGAACGGAAGTGGGAAGCCACCGATGTCGTGCAGACCCCCGGAGAGCACCACGCCGATTACGTCACCCAGCGCGATGTTCATGATCATCAGGGAGTTGACCAGGCCCAGGTTGCTGGGGTGAATGCGTGTCAGGTAAGTCTGCGCACCGATGGTGGTGGCCGCAAACGCCATCCCCTGCACGAAACGCATGACGTACGCGTAGGCCAGAAACACCTTCCAGTCGCGAATCCAGTGGAGTGACGAGAAGAGGTTGGAGAAGACGCCGTGCACGCACCCGGCCAGAACCAGCAGCTGTTTACTGCCGATGTTTGGGAGATCGTGGGTGATGAACGGACTGGATACGACTACGCCAATCTGCACCATGCTAAAGATGGCGCCGATAGCGGTGTGATAGCCTGCGCCACCGCCAGGGTGCCTGGCCAGAGCGGCGCTGAACAGGAACGGGCCCAGCTGCGAGAGGTTGATGCAGCTGGTCACGACGGCCAAGCACACGAAGAACGTCATTACTCCCCTGCGCGTGCGCGTCATGTCGGCAATGCAGGGTTCCCGGGAGGCGACCGCATTTCCCGCCGATGCGTGGAGATTTCTGTCACCGTCCACATAGTCCATGTGGTTCAGTAGTGGCTCGCTAGAGTCCCCGCCAACTTTGATCGTGTTTGAAACAGCATTCTCTTCACAGCTCAGACTCGTCATTCCAGCCGGTGATAAAGGGTCTGTCTTCACGGGGCTCTCAGCCATGTCCTGTATAGGTCATCGACACAATCATAAACATGGTAGCTATTTCAGCAGGTGAACACACACCATCATTACTCACACACCACTCACTACGTGGGGTTATACATGTACGAGTAGAAATGTTTGAGTCTGGCTCATTGTGGTATTGACCCAGGTATGGCCCGGGGTGGTATTATCCCTGGGTGGTATTGACCCAGGTAGGACCGGGGTGGTATTATCCCTGGGTGGTATTGGCCTCTATTCAAATGTACAGAACAATGTACCCACACATTTTTAGACAAGAACAAACTGGCTGATGCTTGTGTAGTAACGTTGCTCTTTACTGCTGTAAGTTCCGTAGTAACAATATTTTGGTATGCCTTTTGTTGGCTCTTCTGTCTGGATTTCATTGGGTGATGCGTTAAAGGGGAAGTTAAGGCAAAAATTAAAATTTCACCAGTTGTAGTCTTCGGGGCGCTGAGTCGAATGGTCGTGGTCCGAGGAAGCTGAGACGCTCCCTTCCTACTTGAATCCCAATCGAACTCGCGCACTTCCACCGAAACTGGGTGACTGCGCCCTACTAGATGGGGATTTGTATGCAAAATGTCACTAAAAGCGCCATTTCGTTCTTATAAATGCACGGATGACCGCGATTGGACCATATGTTGTAGTCTTTTGGACGCTGAGTCGACTGGTTTTGGTCCGAAAAGGCTGCGATGCGGCGTACCTCCTTTATTCCCAATCGAACATGGTTGAAGAAGCGGTCACGTGCTCCTGCGTACACCAGTCACCTGGTCACCGTGCCTGCAGGGTACAACTTACTAGCCTGTTTGACCTTTTTTGGGTGCAGTCCTGTCACTCGAGTTGAACTCGAGTTGAACCTTGGTGTGAAAGTTGTCACCTGCTGGCGTGGTGACCAGGTGATTAGGGCACCCAGGAGCACGTGACCGCTTGTTCAACCATGTTCGATTGGGAATAAAGGAGGAACGCTGCATCGCAGCCTTTTCGGACCAAAACCAGTCGACTCAGCGTCCAAAAGACTACAACATATGGGCCAATCGCGGTCATCCGTGCTTTTATAAGAACGAAATGGCGCTTTTAGTGACATTTTGCATACAAATCCCCATCTAGTAGGGCGCAGTCACCCAGTTTCGGTGGAAGTGCGCGAGTTCGATTGGGATTCAAGTAGGAAGGGAGCGTCTCAGCTTTCTCGGACCAAGACCATTCGACTCAGCACCCCGAAGACTACAACTGGTGAAATTTTAATTTTTGCCTTAACTTCCCCTTGCCCATGGATCCTTCCATTAGTGACTCGCAAACTGTAACCGTTATACTACTTTGTTGACACTTACATGCTGCACACATCCATCACTAGACTCCTGCTAGCCATGTACTTAGGTCTGTCTACCTTTGCTGTTCAGCACTGACCCAGTGACTAGAAGAATTCAAGTGAGTTTACGGTTACTACTAACCGTGTGTTGGCCGGGTGTACGTGAGGTGATTCTGTGATAGCGTCGCGAACCGGAATCTGCAGGCCGCTGCGTGCGCTGCTGTCATCTCCGTCCTATCGGAAAGCGGCATGCACGTCGTCAAGTCCCAATGCACCATGGATCACTAGGAAAAAAATCATTCAGTCGACACGATACGACTGCACTACATAGATCTACGTGAAGATCTCTACCAGCACTTTTCTTTGCTCACATTTTGATAGACCATGCAGCTTCTCATACTACAATAGTCCTATCGCTCACGACACTACTTATAGTTATAGTAACAAGAGTCCATAACCCCCTGGTTATGGTTAGTATAAGTTTTGTAACAATCATAGGCCTTGTGAGTTGTGTAGTGTGAGGTTTTGCACTCCGAATTTTAAAATTTAATTATTTCGGTTCGGCTCTTCGACTCCAGTCTCCAGTTCAACTCACTGTAACGTCTGTTGCTTCGAGTGCATCGACCCTGAGTCCTGACCCTAGCCTAGCCCTAGCCTAATATTAATACTAATAGGCCCTGCGCCTGCGGCTGTGATTCAGTGTGAGTGCGTGCCGAATCTTTTGCCGAATAATTATTGCGGAATGACCATGGTTGTTGTAGCTAGTGTCGTGAGCGATAGGACTATTATATCATGAGTATGCCTATGAGAAGTTGGTCGATCAAAATGTGAGCAAAGAGAAGTGCTGGTACTAGTGGTAGTGGTAGAGATCTACACGTACGTACGTACAGTCGTATCGTGCCGACTGAATATTATTATAATATTTTCCTAGTGATCCACGGCATGGTGCATGGGGACGTGACGACGTGCATGCTGCTTTCCGATCGGACGGAGATGACAGCAGCGCAAGCAGCGGGCTGCAGATTCCGGTTCCGCGACGCTATCAGCGTCACAGAATCACCACACCCGGCCAACACAAGGTTAGTACTACATGTACTAAGAATTGTAACACTCCCTTCTAGTCACTGGCTCAGTGCTGAACAGCAAGATTAGGTACATGCACACGTCCATTACTACTGCGAAGAGTACATAACCAGTTATGTACTCTTCGCAGTAGTAATGGACGTGTGCATGTACGTAAGTACTAAGTGTCAACATGTCAACAAAGTAGCAATATTATTAGAGAGGTTTTGCAGAGCGAACGTTCGCAATGATTTTCGCGTTCCGGGTTGCGAAAACTATTGCGAACGTTCGCGCGAAATTTGTGTTTTGCATGTTTTTCGCTCCCAGGAATTTTCGCGTGCACTCGCTTGTTTGAGAACTAGAAGTGGTCTTCAAACTCTTCATCCGATTATTTTGTTGTTGCGAGTGACGGCACCCTGAGTCATGACCTGAGACGAGAGCTCTTTGACTACCTTGTCCATGGCCGGAGACTCACAGACAAACGGGTTGGCTTGTGCCGTAATCTGGCGCATCAACACCTGAAATTCAAAAAGGCATCGCGGGTTGATGTAACCGACTCTGAGCAGTGAGAAGACGAGCAGGCAGGAGATCGGGGATGGTTCCGGAGATGAAGCAACACGAGCTGCCACAAGTATAGGAAAGCAAGCACCCGCCGCCAAGCCATGAGTAGAGATCAAGCACAAACATGAGGATTAAGGGTGGCTCACCGCGCACGAACAGTCCACAAAGAGCGAACATTACTGCGAACGTTTGCATGTTTCTCGCTCCAAGAAAATTTCGTGTGCACTCGCTTGTTTTTGAGAAGTGTTCTCTATCCGATTATTTGTTTGTTGCGAGTGGCGGCACGCGCACCAGGTACCCTGAGTCACGGCCTGAGACGAGAGCTCTTTGACTACGTTGTCCATGGCCGGAGACCCACAGACAAACGGGCCGGGTTGGCTTGTGCCGTAACCTTGCGCATCAACACTTGAGATTCAAAAAGGCATCGTTGATGTAACCGATTCTGAGCAGTGAGAAGACGAGCAAGCAGGAGATCGGAGATGGTTCTGGAGATGAAACAACACGGGCTGCCAAAAGTATCGGAAAGCTAGCACTCGCGGACCAAGCCAAGAGTAGAGATCCAGCACAAACATGAAGATTGAGGGTCGCTCACCGTGCACCAGGCTGACCAGCGGTCCACAAAGAGCGAAAATTACTGCGAAAGTTTGTTTCGCGTTTCCTGCAACTTTCGCGTTCAAAACTGCGAACGTTCGCACGAAGTTTCGCTTTTCGTGACGTCAAACGAAAATTCGCGCGAACGTTCGCTCTGCAAAACCTCTCTAATAATAATTTTTATTATTCCCGTAGCTATGCAAAAGACGTTACTTCAGTAACGTCTGGCGCTAGCCAGGGTCCACACAGCTTTAATTCCGTGTTTGTTTGTTTGTGCCATCTGCATGCCTGGCGCTATCCCGTACCCGTCCCGTACAGTACCGCACCATCAAAGACAGCTGGCCGGCCACAATATTCAATCAGGGCTTTCAAATGCAAGATCATAACGTGAAGCAACTTGGAAGAATGAGAAGTGTATAGGGGAATGCATGCAGGGCGATTGTTTGGGTTCGAATCCCAAGTTGTTTAGAAAAAAAAGAAGGAGATATGAAAAAAATTATAGCATCCCTATTCTTTTTTTGCCTAGGTCATCAAGGTGGTAGGCGGTGTCGTATTACCCTCGAATGCAAAGAGAAAGTTTGATATACTGTTAAAGCCATTATTCTAACGAGGCGCATATAATTATAACGACTTCCCAAAATTTCCTAGTTTACGTGTACCAAAGGTAACGATTTTCACTCATTCTCAACGCTCAATAGGACAGTATATGTATCGATTTCTGTATAACGATTTCTATTTTAACGACATATTTCTCCTCGTTAACTCGTTAGAGTTAGCACTTCGTTATAATATGGCTTTTACAGTAGCCAATCAATGGAAAAAAAACATTTCCATCCGTTCTAATAACATGCATGATGAGCTAGCTAGGGAAAAAAAGCATAGCGTAGGGCCCTGAGCTTCCAAGCTCTCTCGTTAATAGTGACAGTTCGCAAGTCACTCATGGAAGGATGTCAATGAAATCCAGACAGAAGAGCCAACAAAGAAGCGTATCAAAATTGTTAGAACCTATAGCAGTAAAGAGCAACTACACAAGTGCAGCACATTTTTCCACAAGCAATAGCCTTTTTTTCTCGTCCAGAGCCAGTAAGGTAAAGGTAAATTATCGTGTCCGTTCCCAAAGGGAACTCACGACGGCCGCTAACACCCGGTAAACCCTAGCGGCAGATGCAGCGCCTAACCGTGGGGCCAGGGGGTGAGTGGATAAGTCTCACAACCACTGGCACAAGTGCCGAGAAACCCCATTAGCCGTATCCATGTACCCCTTGTGCCTGGCCACAAATTCCCAGTTGACTGGGTAACAGCACGGCTGGAAAAAACCGTTCCTAGGCAGGACTTGAACCAGGCACCTCTCGTATCTCAATCATGGTCTTTGACCAACCCACTGTGCCTGCCTAGAGCCAGTGGAAGCCTTGAATGAAAGTCACATTAAAATGTACAGAACAATGCACCCAGATGGTTAGCCAAGGATAAAAATTGTAACATGGAAAAATGTGGGCACAAATTACGCGATCGAGTCCACCAACTAAACCAGATTTTGAACAGTCAGATATGCACAATCTAGCACATTTTCCATGTTACAATGTACCCAAAGATAAGAACATTGTTAGGGGATAATACCCCCCCCCCCAGGGATATTACCACCCCGGGCCATACCTGGGTCGATACCACCCAGGGATAATACCACCCGGGCCTTACCTGGGTTAATACCAGGGAGTCAATACCACAATGAGCCAGATTCAAACATTTCTACTCGTTGGTACGATGTAGGCCTGCTCGCCGGCATAGATCGCACCGACCTTGATGGCCTTCTGGACTGCAAAGTGGTAGTTCACTTGCGTGGGCCTCCATGGCCGAGTTCTTCATAGCAGACGATCTCCGAAAGCGTACACTCTCCGCCAGCGATGTATACGTGAACCAATTTCCGCTGCCACCAGTGTTGGCTCCCGGCTAAACGCAGTCCCCTCACACTCTTAGAACACAGGATTTTGTAGCATTGAATAATTATATGGAAGACGTATTTAGAGAGTAGACAATACCATCCCTTGGTCCTGGCTGCAGTGGTCTTCTGAGACAGGTGTTCGCCGTATCCAAGTGGTTGCCTTGACAGGTTTTACTGTCCACCATGCCCTTAGTGCAAGCATTGCTGTGGTACCGAGAATGTTTAGCACGCTGTTATTTCACCTGTTCTCTGGCTGCTCGTTGACTGGTTCACGGTGACTCCACTGGCGCTTTGGCTGCTGTCAGTGATGACGTCTCGTGATGTGGTGAAAGATGCTATTCGCGCCATGCGGAATGCAATACAATGCTAGCATGGTTTCGAAAAGCGGTTCACATGTTGTACCTTGTTTTCCCCGTTCAAAGCCGCACCTTTATGATTCCGAAATATTATATATCCCTGAGGCTTTTGCCGTGAGCATTTTTATTTTACAACAGTGCTGCTGTGTGAAATCCGGTCGTGTGAGTCAACTATGCACCCTGCACCAGCCCACATCCCAGTGCTCGCAGGTCTAGGGCTGCACAGCACCCGGCATGGCGCTGACTCACTTCATCAGATCTCATTAGGCAGCACTGTACAAACGGACAGATACAACGCAGGACTGTGGCATGTGCGTCCAACAGGGTACTGTAATTTCACAAATTTTCAGCCTGCTCTTTTTTTGCAAAGTGGTCATTGGCTACCCCAGCCATGTATTGCTTGGAATAACATACAAGTAAATAAAATAATTTTTTAGTAATTTCGGTGCATCTGTTTCATACCTTTCAATACACCGAACAAACACCAACACACATAATCCAATAGGGAAGTGCCTCTCTGTATCTAAAATTTCTGTTCACCTAACCTGGCCTTTCGCCCTCACACCGAAATATTGAGCACCGAAAATTTCTGAAATTAGAGTATACGGCTTGGCCCTGGACAGTATAGTAGTACTAGAGGTAGTCATTGAAAATCTAGGTGCCCCCTCCTCCTCCTAACTGACACATGCACACACACGCGCCCATGCACATACACATACACACACACACACACCCGCACACACACACACACACGCTCACACACACGCACACACGCTCACACACACACACACGCTCACACACACACGCTCACACACACACGCTCACACACACACACACACACACACACACACACACACACACACACACACACACACACACACACACACACACATGCTCACACACACACACACACACACACACGCTCACATTGACCCTCTCCATCTCTCTCTTTCTCATTTCATATCCATACCTTCTTCTCCGTGTTCACCCAGGACTCTATCAAGAACGCTCCCAAAATGATCCCAGACCTTAATGGCAATTTCCTGCGTCCGAAGGGAGTCCACAACCGTCCACCCAGCAAGGTGTTCCGTCACAGTATGGCCGAGCAAGCCGAGAACAACGAGTATTTCTTCGACTCAAAGGAGATGGGAATTGGCTACCTGGAGGGCCACAGCACGCCCGACGGAGCTGATTACAACGACGCGGATGAGGATGACGAGGCTGCACCGTCGGGAAAGGCTGATGATGCCGATGATGATGATATGGAGAGTATCCCGATTGAGGCATGAGAATGTCACCGGGTGGCTGTCACCCGGAATGGTCATCGCCGCAGCCACTCTGCCACCTTCTCTGCCTCTGTTGTATCATAGGCATAGAAGCAGTAGCTGTCTGCGTGTTGTGTGCTTGTCCTGCCGCGCTCAACCCCTGCGGCCGCTGCGTTACAGCAACTCTCTGTGTAGCAGCGTGCTGATTTGTGCAGCGCAAAGCACAGCGTGCCACCAATGCCAACTTGAACACCATTAGCTAGAGTCGTATCGTTATCCGTGACATGTGTACAGGTTAACGAGCCCCAATCCCGTAAGCACGTTCCACCAATCCGTCAACAAGACGCGAAAATTTTTTTTTACCACCGCTACAGAATTATATGGTGACAAGTGGTCATGCCAAAGATGCACGGCGTTACTGGAGGTATCCACGAGAAGAACGTCCAACGAGTGTTGCGAGCTCTGTCGTCCCCGTTCAGTAGATCGCAACACCGTTTTCCAACTGCGCGTGTGTGTGTGTGTATGTGTGTGTGTATGTGTATGTGTGTGTGTCCGCACGTGTGCGTGTGTGTTTACTAGAGCGCATGCCTATAGGTTGTGTGCTTTGTGGAACTTACTTCTATGGTCTATGGTGCATTATTGATGTTTTGCTGCGAGTCCGAACAACACGAGTCTTGTGTGTGTGCCTGTGTGTGTGATCATTTCAAGTCCACCCTAGTTTGGGGATTTCAGGGGGTGTCGGCCGTTGGGTGGTTCAATAGCCAATTGAGTCATCTTTCCAAGATTCCTTTTGAGTCTCTCTCCCCTCTCCCGGAGAGACCCACGTGACCAGTTTTGGCAGTGAGCAAGTACAAGTGTGTGTGTGTGCGCGCGCACGCGCGTGTGTGTTAGCTTTAGTGTCGTGATGTAGGAGCGGTATTTACTGTCCGTATCATTTTTCGTCTATTGTTCACCCCCAGTCAATCACCATCTATCGTTTTGTAGAGTTTATCCGTTCCCAATTTGGAAGCATTTTTTTCTCTAAGCATTTTTAATTCTCAGAAATACACGGCAACGAAATACATCGATATGTTTGTCGTCACCCTTGGCTCAATGCCCACAGGGCTCATGACTGATTCTACTTGGACGTGCGGTGGAATTGCAAAATTTCATCACCTATAATTTTCTAGCCTGCTTGTAGGAAGGCAAGGAGGTGAGGGAATAAATAAGATGAACAATAACAGCACATAGAAACAGCCTAGATAACACACATACAGGTGTAGCAACCCAAAAGAACACTGCAGCTGCAATATCTTAGGAATTCGGCACTTTCTATGAAAATAATGGAATTAATTTATAATTTGCATGGCAGAGTGCTGCTATCACCTTCCTCAGGGTGTGTAGAATTAGTAGCCGAGGGACGGTTTTTGAGTAGTGGTGTATAACTGTGTGAAACAAGGATACTGCTATTACAGAACATTAAAACAATAATTACTGTAAATTTTCATTGCTAGAATAGATAAAATGTCACCTTACGCACAATCACCGATACGCACGTAATGTTCATGGTGAGAACCAGGGAGTCGTAAAATACCGGTATTTTACGACTCCCTGGTGAGAACAGTTCCGCGCTACGTGACCTTAGATAAAATACTGCTCACCCGACAAAGCCTCTGTCACCTGCATACGTAACATGTCAAGCACCTACAAGTTTCTGATTTCAGATCAGTGGTCCCAAAATATCACAAGTTGCAAAGTATTGCGCCGCTAATGCTCCTGGAAAACATTCCGACATTTGATGTGTCCAGAAATTCTAACGGTCTCAGACAACCGCCTCTCACCATATTTCTATCAAAGTTACAAGACGCTAACACGGTCTAGCGCACTCGTAGCTGTTCTAGTAATAAGTTAGTATTGCCATGGCATGATGGGTATGAAACTATCAGTGGTGCTTCAGTGGCTGCAGTTCCGTGCCATCACCGAATGGATTTTCGCCAGGCTCTGCCATAGCTGCTGCACTGTGCTCATCAGCACAGCACAAGTGGAAGCGCGACTTCAGCTTTCCGACGATGGTATCGAGCCACTTGAGCACGACGAGGAGACCGGCTAGGGCCAGGTACACAAACGCCAAGATGGTGAAGGCGGCCGGAAAGCCTAGGACGGCCACCAACGGGCTCATCACCAACGGAGTCATGCCGTAGCCCGCGGACAGGAAGAACCGTGCCAGGCCGGCCACGGCAAAGCGTGTGTCCACGGTACTGCCCACGCCGATCATCTCCAGGTGCTGCGTCATGGCAACGAGGCTGGCCACCGCTATCAGGGAATGCCCCACGCCCAGCGGTATTGTCACGACAAACACCAGCGCCAGAGACGGGCGCAAGTGCAGGAACGCCGACGGTCCGATAAGCAGACATCCGGCGACGCTCAGCAGTAGCCCGAGCAGCACCAACAAGTAGCAGTTGAAGCCACGATCGGTCAGCTTGCCCACAATGGGTGCTGACACGAACTGGAAAAATAGCTGCAAGCCAGGAGCCAAGCCTCTGATAACAGAGCGTACATGAAACTCAGACTTCATGTAATAACCCAGCAGACTCGCAACAGCACTGAAGGCAAAGTTCGAGGCAACAACTTGCAACAGCAGAAACCATATCCAAGGGACGTGGAGCATGCACCTAATACTCACGTCGCCGCCTGTCTTGCCATCGGCGGCCTGCCCTGCGGGCAGCAGCCTATCCATGTCGAATACGATCAGTGCAAGACATACGGCCCCTAGCAAGGCAATAGCTCCGGTGACGTAGAACGGAAGTGGGAATCCACCGATGTCGTGCAGACCCCCGGAGAGCACCACGCCGATCATATCACCCAGCGCGACACTCATGACCATCAGGGAGTTCACCAGGCCCAGGTTGCTGGGGTGAATGCGAGTCAGGTAAGTCTGTGCACCGATGCTGGTGGCCGCAAAAGCCACCCCCTGCACGAAACGCATGACGTACGCATAGGCTATGAACACCTTCCAGTCATGGATCCAGTGCAATGACGAGAAGAGGTTGGAGAAGATGCAGTGCACGCACGCGGCCAGAACCAGCAGCTGCTTACTGCCGATGTTTGGCAGATCGTGGGTGATGAACGGACTGGATACGACCACGCCAATCTCCACCATGCTAAAGATGGCGCCGATAGCGGTGTGATAGCCTGCACCATCGCCAGGGTGCCTGGCCAGAGCGGCGCTGAACATGAACGGGCCCAGCTGCGACAGGTTGATGCAGCTGGTCACGACGGCCAAGCACACAAAGAACGTCATCACTTCCCTTCGCTTGCGCGTCATGTCGGCAATGCAGGGTTCCTGGAAGGTGACCGCGTTACTCGTCGATGCATGGAGATTTCTGTCACCGTCCACATTGTCTACTTGGTTCAGTAGTGGTGCGGTAGAGTCCCCGCCAACTGTAGTCCTGCCTGCAAACAGCATTCTGTTCACCACTCCGACTCATCATTCCAGTCGGTGATGTAGAGTCTTTCTTCACGGTGCTATCAGCCATGTCCTGTACAGGTCATCAACACAATCATAGACATGGTAATTATTTCAGCAGGTGAAACACACCATCATTACTCACACGCCACTCGCCACGAGTAGAAACGTTCGAGTCTGGCTCATTGTGGTATTGACCCAGGTAAGGCCCGGGGTGGTATTATCACTGGCTGGTATCACCCCGGGGTGGTATTATCCCTGGCTGGTATTATCCCTGGCTGGTATCACCCCGGGGTGGTATTATCCCTGGCTGGTATTTGCCCTATTCAATTAAAATGTACAGAACAATGTACACTGACAATGTACAACAATGGGCAAGGTTGAACTCGGAAGGTGAGCCACTTTACTCGCTGACTGTATAAGATCTGGTTACGTTGCTGGACAGTTACTGTGAACCGTGAAATTATTGCGATGGTCTAATTTCCGCGAAATTCGCGACCGTGTGGAAATCGAAAAAATTTGGACAGCGCGAAAAGGAGATCCACGAAAGGTTTAGCAAGAATGCCACAGGTTTAGCAAGAATGCCACCGGTTTAGCAAGAATGCCACAGGTTTAGCAAGAATGCCACAAGTTTAGCCAGAATGCCATTCTGCAATCGCAAAATTAACACCTCGCAAACCTGTCCGGATTCTGAAAACCCGAACTAAAAACGCCGCGAAAATTTCACGCTTCACAGTAGTCGCAACTCGTAACATTTTTGTCCTTTTTTCACCAAAACGATGTACCCAAAAATAATTTTTGGGTACATTGGTCTGTACATTTTTTTTAATGTGAGTTTCTTTCAAGGCTCTTCCGCTGCACTGGTTCTAGACAAGAAACAATGGCTATTGCTCGTGGAAACGTGAGCTGTGCTTGTGTAGTTGCTTTTCACTGCTATAGGTTTTAACAATATTGATGTGCCATTTGATTGATTGATTTTATTTGGATTCGCGAGACGAAACGAGCAGGAGTGCTCAATAACGTGGTAGCGAATGGTTGAGTTGTGCTATGTGACAATGAGTATGTAGACTAGTGTGTGCGTGGGGTGGCGGTGGTGGTGGGGGGGGGGGGGGGGGGGGGGGAGGGGGCAGCGGAGGCACAATACAATGTAAGGGGATGGGAGGAGAGAAGGCCAGCTTTTGTTGCCTCTTCTGTCTGGATTTCTGACTAACTAGTAGTACTAGCACTACTAACCTTGTGTTGGCCGGGTGTGGTGATTCTGTGATGCCTGATGGCGTCGCGGAACCGGAATCTGCAGGCCGATGCGGTCATCTCCGTCCGATCGGAAAGCAGCATGCACGTCGTCAAGTCCCCATCATACCCATGTGTGCACCATGGATCGCCAGGGAAAAATTAATAAAATTATAATAATTATTCAGTCGGCACGACCATGATTACGGCATGCAGGTAATCATAATAATTATTTCGCACTTTCCTACTCCCAGTGCAGTGTTCTGTGTACTTTCTGTGTACTTGAGTAGCGTGTCAACCCTATAGCCTAGGCTATTATTTGCAAATCAAGATCGAAAACACAGTAGCTAGCTGTTGACATGGACTTTTTTTCATCAGAACCGATCAGACAGGGCACTGCTGATGAATGCCGCGGAGCAGGGAGCCGAAGGTGTTTCGTTCCTCTCGAACTCTTTGCCTTCACACGAACTCGCAGAGGTAGGTTGGAAAGAACTCGCGAGACGTGCCGAAGTTGCGTTTGAGCTGGCGCTTCGCACGCATCCACATTATTCTCGACATTAGTGAGGTTTTGCATATCGGTTCGGCAAATCTTCGACTCCAGTTCAACTGCTCGACTGTTGCTTCGAGTGCCTCGCCCCTGACTCTAGCCCTGTGCCTAGCTGTGACTCAGTGTGAGTGCGTGCCGAATCTTTTGCCGAATTATTATTGCGGAATGACCATGGTTGTAACTTGTATGTTTACTAGTGACAGTAGTAGTGTAGCCAGTACAGTGTCGTGAGCGATAGGAATAGTATCATGACATGAGTATGAGAAGCTCGTCGATCAAAATGTGAGCAAAGAGAAGTGCATGCTGGTAGTGGTCGAGACCTACACGTAGATCTACGCGTACCGTGTCGACTGAATAATATTTTCCTACCGGATCCATGGTGCATATGCATGGGGACTTGACGACGTGCATAGCGCATGCCGCTTTCCGATCGGACGGACATGACAGCAGCGCACGCAGAGACCTGCAGATTCCGGTTCCGCGACGCTATTACAGAATCACCACACGTAGAGTCTACACCCGGCCAACACGAGGACTTTAGGTTAGTAGCAACTAACTTAGTACATGTACATGTACACTGACTTTGTTGTTGTTGTTTGTTTATTTAGAGTCGAAGAACAAACAGGCAAATTTGCCTAATTACATGATATCGACTAAAAAGGAGAAAAAGTATAAAAGGCCAATGAAGGTAATGACACTGAGTAGAGTGGGTAATAAAGTATTATATTGTAAAAGCCAGTTAGGCCAGTAAAGGAAATGATCATAAAGCGGGCAGTGGCGTTACTGAAAAGCAGCATGTGCTGGGAGGGATCGCATGAATCGGGTGGTACTGTGGGATTTTCCTGATGTCGGGCTGGAGCCTGTTCCACAGTGATACACATTGGAATGAGGCAGAATGTGTGCCAGCGGATGTCTTACTGACTGGACATTTAAGTGCTCGATTTCCCTGACTACGTGTAGCACGGCCGGCATTCATTAAGATGACTGAACACATCGGTAATCAGTGTGTTGCATTTACCCTGAAGGCAGCGCCAAGTGTAGCCAAGGAGCTTGTGGCAGTACATAACCTCTAGCGAGTGCAAGCACTTGATTTCTTCTAGTTACTGGCTCGGTGCTGAATAGCAAGATACAACCTCCCGATTTTCTGATGCGTGAAGTAGGCGCGGATGCCGAGACCATTGGTCGGCGAAGCCTGCAGCACCCCATCACCACCGCTGCGTTGCATTTGCAGCCCCATTCAGTCAATGTCTTGTTAGTCTGTTGTTTTGTCATTTCCTTCTTCTTTCTTGTTTAACGAATTGGGTGCGTGGTTTCAAGTAAAATAAAAAACAAAAACAAAAAAAACATGGTGAGCAGTAGTAATGGATGTGTGCATGTAAGAGTCAACGTTTCAACAAAATAGTACTTAATATAGCAGGTACAGTTGGCAAGTCACTCATAGAAGGACCCATGGGCTTAACGCATCTGTCAATGAAATCCAGACAGAAGAGCAAACAAAAGACATCTCAATATTGTTTATAGAACCTATAGCAGTAAAGAGCAACTACACAAGCGCAGCACATCTTTCCACAAGCAATAGCCATTTTTTCTCGTCCAGAGCCAGTGGAAGAGCCTTGAATGAAACTCACATTAAAATGTACAGAACAATGCACCCAGATGGTTAGGCCACACCAAGTTAATTCTATGTTTCGCGTCGGATATTTTCTGGAAAAGGCACGCGGGCGGGCGGAAAAAAAAACAGAAGAAAAAACAAAACTCCATTCTATGTGTACTGAGCCAGGTTGCACACAGAATACCACTACTAAACTGTCACTTCTATCCAAAACGACAACAAGTCGTCACAGGACAGCTGGCAGACTGGGCTGGAGTGATACAGAGATTTCATGGATGGCTCCTTCTGCATTTTGACATGAGACGAGTGGGATCCCGCTCCATCACAATCGTGGAAAATCTCGAAGTCCTTGACACCTGAAATCTCTGCTCGCTTGGTGAGCAGGCCCTAGGCCTACCGCACGGCTTGGAAAAATAGAAATTTTCATCTCTCGCACCTTCTACGTACCATCGCCTGGAATGCAAGATTATCGAGAAGCTAATAACCTCTGATCTGCCATACTGGCTAGAGAATGTTCGCCAGAACAGCCATCGATTGGCTCGTCTAGGTTCTTTTTTTTCTTGTCAAGGATTCGAAAAGGTACGCGGGCGGGTGACGCGAAACATAGAAATAACTTGGTGTGGCCTTAGCCAAGGAAAAAAATTGTAACATGGAAAATATGGGCACAAGTTATGCGATTGAGTCCACGAACTAAACCAGATTTTGAACAGTCAGACGTGCACAATCTAGCACCAAAACTGGCACATTTTTCCATGTAAGGCCACACTTAGTTTTTTCTACATTTCTCGTCTGCAAATTTTAGCAAAAGGTATGTGGGCCGGCAGAAAAAAAAACAAAAAACAAGAAGAAAAACACAAGAACAATTTCTACTGAAAACTGTATACATTTCGTATGACATTGTGTGATTCATACAAGACACTCCGTATACTCAAGTAGTCCCATAGTACAGTCATGATTGTACTACAGTATCACACCAGCCCACGAGTACTTCAAAGTAGTAGGCAAAGTGCAACAATAATGTGAGTATAGAATTTGATGACGAGATGGCGAAGAGAACGTACATGTATCTCAGTGCTATCGCATCAACAAACGCTTTCCCACTCGTCTTTTCTATTTCGTTACTTCAACGTTCTTTAAATATGTCCGCTTCGTCATCAATATTTTTAATCGCGCTAGTAAAACTCTTGTCTCCACGCCGCTCATCCTTTCCTCGCCATGTGTCCATTGTTTAGATTTTCTGCTCGCGTAAGATCCCCACGACGTCGTTCCGCAGACGCCAGTTGCCACGAAACTTGTCCTACTTGCGGTATTCCTGGGACCCGCGATGCTCAGGCAGCGAAAGACTGAAAGCTGCGTTGCGGCAGCCTTCATCGCAGAGAACGCACAGGGAGCACTCCTTACTCCTGTAGTGCAAAAGCTTTACGATTTTTGATTGACGCATCTACACGTAGCTGCTGCAGCATATACAGTAAAATCTGTCAAGGCGACCACCTGTCCTGAAAGACCACCTGTCCTGAAAGACCACCTGTCCTGAAAGACCACCTGTCCTGAAAGACCACCTGTCCTGAAAGACCACTGAAACCAGGACCAAGGGATGCTATTTCCAGTAAAATGACCCTGGATAAGGCGACCACCTGTCCTGAAAGACCACCTGTCCTGAAAGACCACCTGTCCTGAAAGACCACCTGTCCTGAAAGACCACTGAAACCAGGACCAAGGGATGCTATTTCCAGCCAAATGACCCTGGATAAGGCGACCACCTGTCCTGAAAGACCACTGAAACCAGGACCAAGGGATGCTATTTCCAGCCAAATGACCCTGGATAAGGCGACCACCTGTCCTAGAAGACCACTGAAACCAGGACCAAGGGATGCTATTTCCAGTCAAATGACCCTGGATAAGGAGACCACCTGGTAACAAAGACCACATTTTGAAGGTCCCCTGAGCGGTCGTCTTAAACAGGTTTCACTGTACAGCGCACGTACAGGTACAAGTATGAACTTTTTTCTTCTTCCGAGATTTCTGAAAACCTACGCGCGCGCTGTGACGAGAAACATAGACAATACAAAGTGCGACCTTACAAACAATGTACCCAAAAATAAGTATATTGTTAGGGGATAATACCGCCAGGGATATTACATACGTACCACCCAGGGATAATACCACCCCGGGCCTTACCTGGGTCAATACCACCCAGGGATAATGCCACCCCGGGCCTTACATGGGTCAATACCACAATGAGCCAGACTAAAACATTTCTACTCGTATACCCCCGCGTGGCGTGTGAGTAATGATGGTGTGTTTCGCTGCTGAAACAATAGCCATGTGCTATGATTGTGTTGATGACCTGTACAGGACATGGCTGATAGCACCGTGAAGAAAGACTCTACATCACCGACTGGAATGATGAGTCTGAGTAGTGAACAGAATGCTGTTGCAGACAGGAGTAAAGTTGGCGGGGACTCTACCGCACCACTACTGAACCAAGTAGACAATGTGGACGGTGACAGAAATCTCCACGCATCGACGAGTAACGCGGTCACCTCCCAGGAACCCTGCATTGCCGACATGACGCGCAAGCGTAGGGAAGTGATGACGTTCTTTGTGTGCTTGGCCGTCGTGACCAGCTGCATCAACCTGTCGCAGCTGGGCCCGTTCATGTTCAGCGCCGCTCTGGCCAGGCACCCTGGCGGTGGTGCAGGCTATCACACCGCTATCGGCGCCATCTTTAGCATGGTGCAGGTTGGCGTGGTCGTATCCAGTCCGTTCATCACCCACGATCTGCCAAACATCGGCAGTAAGCAGCTGCTGGTTCTGGCCGCGTGCGTGCACGGCGTCTTCTCCAACCTCTTCTCCTCACTCCACTGGATCCGCGACTGGAAAGTGTTCCTGGCCTATGCGTACGTCATGCGTTTTGTGCAGGGGGTGGCGTTTGCGGCCACCACCATCGGTGCGCAGACATACCTGACACGCATTCACCCCAGCAACCTGGGCCTGGTCAACTCCCTGATGATCATGAGCGGCGCATTGGGTCACGTGATCGGCGCGGTGCTCTCCGGGGGTCTGCACGACATCGGTGGCTTCCCACTTCCGTTCTACGTCACTGGAGCTATTGCCTTGCTGGGGGCCATATGTCTTGCACTGATCGTATTCGATGTGGATAGGCTGCTGCCCGCAGAGCAGGCCGCCGATGGCAAGACAGGCGGTGGCGTGAGTATTAGGTGCGTGCTCCGCGTCCCATGGATATGGTTTTTGCTGTTGCAGGTCGTTGCCTCAAACTTTGCCTTCAGTTCTGTCTCGAGCCTGCTGGGTTATTACATGAAGTCTGAGTTTCATGTACGGTCTGTTATCAGAGGCTTGGCTATTGGCTCGCAGGTATTTTTCCAGGTCGTGTCTGCGCCCATTGTGGGCAAACTAATCGATCGTGGCTTCAACTGCTACTTGCTGGTGCTGCTCGGGCTACTGCTGAGCGTCGCCGGCTGTCTGCTTATCGGACCGTCGGCGTTCCTGCACTTGCGTCCGTCTCTGGCGCTGGTGTTTGTCGTGACAATACCGATGGGTGCGGGGCATTCCCTGATGGCGGTGGCCAGCCTCGTTGCCATGACGCAGCACCTGGAGATGATCGGCGTAGGCAGTGCCGTGGATACACGCTTTGCCGTGGCCGGCCTGGCTCGGTTCTTCCTGTCCGCTGGCCACGGCATGGCTCCGTTGGTGATGAGCCCGCTGGTTGCCGTCCTGGATTTTCAGACAGCCTTCACCATCCTGGCGTTTGTGTACCTGGCCCTAGCCGGTCTCCTCGTCGTGCTCAAGTGGCTAGATATCATCGTGGGAAGGGTGAAGTCGCGCTTCCACTTGTGCTGTGCTGATCAGCACCGTGCAGCAGCTATTGCAGAGCCTGGCGAAAACCCTTTCGGTGATGGCACGGAACTGCAGCCACTGAAGTACCACTGATAGTCTCATACCCATCATGCCATGGCGGTACTAACTTATTACTAGAACAGCTACACGTATGCTAGAGCGCTTTAGCGGGTTGTAACTTTGATAGAAATTTGCTGAGATTTATGTGTGAGACCTTTAGAATTTCTGGACACACGACAAATGTCGGAAATTTTTCCAGAACGATTAGTGGTGTAATACTTTTGCAACTTGTGATATTTTGGGACCGCTGATCTGAAATCAGAAACTTGTAGGTGCTTGGCATGTTACGTATGCAGGAGACAGAGGCTTGGTTAGGTGAGCAGCATAATTCTTTTCTAAGGTCACGTAGCGCGGAACTGTTCTCACTGGTTGTCACCATGAAGATTACGTGTGTATCGGTGATTGTGCGGTGACATTTTATCTATTCTAGCGATGAAAATGTACAGTAATCATTGTTTTTTGTAATCGCAGTATCCTTGTTTCACACAGTTATACACCACTACCCAAAAACAGTCTCTCGGCTACAAATTCTGCACACCCTGAAGAAGGTGATAGCAGCACCCTGCCATGCAAATTATAAATTCCATTATTTTCATATTATTTTTATTATTCTCGTATCCGTTCCCAAGGGGAACTCACGACAATGGAGTAAAAAACACGTCCATATGTTCATGTGATGGCCGAGCAGATGTTGCCCCATCTCGTTCGATCGGCCGCAAAGTCCCGGAGCGTGTCTAGGTGTCGATTCGTCTTCAGTGCAACTGCAGTTAGCTTGCAGTCTCGCTGAAGGGTGGCCAGGCAGGACCGAGGTGCTCCCTTCCTGTGTTTAGTTGTTTCCTCTGCAGTTAGCCTGTTAGGTATGCCACCATTGCTTGGTTCCCTGGTGTGCCGATTGGTTGGCGTAGAATGTGCCCGAGTAACCGCCATCTAGCTCGCTTCGCAATTCCAGATATTGGCTCGGCAGGCGCGTGCTCGGCGATGGGCACGGGGGGCACGTGCACCCCCCAAACATTTTCAATCTGGGTAATTGCAATTGTAATGTATGCAAATATGCTCCAAAATTCAAGAAAGGTTGCAAACAAATTGCAGAAAATTGCCGGGGGGGGGCTCCCCTCGGCTCCCGTGCACCCCCCTAGTTGGGGGGCCGAGCACGCCCCTGCTCGGTGTTGGTGAGCTTATACAGATCGTTGTTTGTGATGATTTTCGGATAAAGGATGCCAAGCATGTGACGAAGCTGCTTTCGATGGCTCTTGTCGAGGGAGTCTTCCAGTGCCTTTGACAAGCCTGCGCAGCCAATGTTGTACGTAAGAATCGGGAGGACGCATGCGTTGTACAGCTTCATCATGCTTCATGGTGTTAGTTGTTAGCAGGGAGTCGTAAAAGCCACGACTCCCTGGTTGTTAGGTGCTGTCGCCGGAGCCAAATCTCTTTCATGCGCCCAAATGCCGCTGCGGAAAGGCTAATTCGCCGTGCTACATCATAGCATGATCCATACAAGGAGCCAAGTGTCTTTACCGTTCTCCAAGGCTCCTGTCCACGAATAACAGACTGGTGACCGTGTGTTACTTTCCATAGGAAGCGCCGATTTCCTAAGAATACTGATATTGCAGCTGCTGTGTTCGTTTGGGTTGCTACTCCTTTATGTGTTATCTAGGCTCTTTCTCTGTCCTGTTATTGTTCATCTTATTTTATTCCCTCACCTGCTTGCCTTCATCGCAAGTGACGTGCAGGCTGCAGCTCACGTCGAAATTTGGAGTTTTACGCCAAATTTGACGTGAAATTTAATTGCGCGTCACGTCGGAAAATACCCCTTGTTCCCTCTATACCAGTAGTCTATTGTCTTGCTTTGTGATTGAATGATGGCACGTGACACTACATTCCACAATTCAGCGAAAGATTCGGCAAACACTCCCAGGAATGGCAGGATCAGGGGCGAGGCACTCGAACTGGAGTCGAAGATTTGCCGAACCGAAATCATGGAAATTCGGAATGCAAAACCTCTAATGCTACCGGTACCCTTCTTTGTTGACGTGTCGACGGAACTACATAACTCAGACTGTACAATAATAATAATAATTATTATGTTACTTCCACCTACTGTGACCTAGGCTACGACTCTACTGCTAGCATGTTGTGACTGTCGTCGCGTCGACTGCGCGGGTGGAGAGGACGTGGCCGGCCCTGCTGGTGAAGAGACTACTACTAGTACTACTAGTACTACTAGGACTAGTGCTGCATTGTGCAATAATTATTCAATAATTATAACATTGACAGTCATGTAGATCTTGCGCCTTTTGTGTGCATGCACTTCTACATCCTACATTTTTGCAGTTTTGGTGCCGATCGACCGGAGCATTCCGGCATTGGCATTTCCCGCGCGCGCGTGCTATGTGGAGTGCAGTATCCACCACCAGGCACCGCTGCACAAGCTTGGTGACAAGAGATCGGCAAAGGCCACATAAATGGGCAAACTACTAGTCTTGTACGGCACTGTAGTCCGACTGTACCGCTGGTCCCTGTAGACCTACCCTGTCCTACTGCCTCATTATCAAGCAGAGCCTGGTGTGAAGATCGCACGCTTGCAGTGGCACTGGGCGCGAAGAGTAGATGTCTCTCGCGGCCACCGACAACTCAACTCTGTAGCCTGCCGATCCAGCGAGGGAGTGAGTTACAAAGAGAACGGCAATATTCCAGCCAAGTTCAAGTCCATAATACTGTACGACAAGAAAAAGAGTCTTTCCCGGCACTTTTCGAATTTCAGTTCGACACGAACAGTCAGAACAAACAGTCCTGGAGTAAGATGAGGGCTAGGGAGTGAAAAGCCAACACGCTTGGTAGCTACATGTAAGCGGTATCATGATTATGTAGTTTCCGGCCGGTAGCGGACATTGCGGCGCCAGCGCGGGACATCGAGAGGACAGCTAGCGGGCAGACGGCGGAGTTTTCCTGCCGCTTGGAAATTTGGACGATTTCCGCCAAGTAAGTAATAGTTCTTCTGATCAAGATTTTCACTTCAGTCGAAGTAGCTTTAGCCGTTTAGGAAGAAATAAATATAATGTAGAAATACTGTAATTTCAAATTTTCGGTACTTTCAGTGGCTCTGTTTCATACCCAAATTTCAATAAACCGAACAAACACTAACACACATAATGGAAACTGCTTCTCTGTACCTATGTCCTCATACCGAAAATATTGAGCATCTAAAATAATTCCCGTAGCTATACAAAAGACGTTACTTCAGTAACGTCTGGCGCTAGCCAGGGTCCACACAGCTTTAATTCCGTGTTTGTGTGTTTGTGCCGTCGGCATGCCTGGCGCTATCACGTACCTGTCCCGTACCGTACCATCAAAGACAGCTGGCCACAATATTCAAATAGGGCTTTCAAATGCAAGATCATAACGTGAAGCAACTTGGAAGAATGAGTATGTATGCGAAGTGTATCGGGGGAATGCATGCAGGGCGATAGTGCGGGTTCGAATCCTAGGTTATGTCTTGAAAAATAGGAGAAATGAAAAAATTATAACATCCCTACGCTTTTTTGCCTAGGTCATCAAGGTGGTAGGCGGTGTCGTATTACCCTCGAATGCAAAGAGAAAGTTTATTTCTTTCGCTCAGGGCCCTTCGTAAGGCTTTTTTGCCTAGCTCATCATGCATGTTATTCGAACAGATGGAAACTTTTTGCAATACAATGATGTAGCCGATCAGTTCGTTGTGGTATGGTAGGGCATTGTAGCCGTCATGATCAACGTAAAACACTATTTACATACACAAGCTCGTGGAGCAAAAGTCAAGCATGATGAGCTAGGCAAAAAAGCATAGCGTAGGGCCCTGAGCTTCCAAGCTCTCTCGTTCTGAAATTCTAGTACTTGGTCCGCCAAGTTAAAATTGGCGCTTATCTTCTCACTTGGTTTTCGGTGTTCTGCCTGTGTCACACGGCATGGAACCACTGATTCACCATCCGAACATAACCATTGACCATTGCATCCAACGACATGGCAGCACAAACCATCACAGAAGTTGTGATCGGTTCGTTTGAGTCTTTTTGACGGAGCTGCCGCCGACGAACACTTCCGTCAGCGCAAGAAAACACTGCAACCTTCGTTCGAGTCCGTGAAATAGGTCAGGATGTTCGCATTTCAGAGCGAATAAAGTTTCTGTCTACTTTCAGCTGTCTGATGGCAAGGATTGTTTACCCCGGGGAGGTATAGAAAAGCTGAAAAAGCGCTTCGCGAGCTTGAATTTCAGTTCTTGCACAGTACAGCGCCCAGTGAAGGGATATCACCAGCAAATCGCTGACGAAGAAACTGCAGCTCACGTCGACATCTCCAAAAAGTGAGACCAATCCGGCGGACACACTTTGAAGCTCACAGAGGCCAGGGCAAAGGAGCTAATCAAAATAAACACCAAGTCCTGAGGGAAACAGCCGTGCAAAGGCATACTTGCCAAGTATCCAGATTTTTTCGGGATTATCCCGCAATTTTGGATGAACTCCCGCGATCCCGAAATTCCTGTCGATTATCCCGAAATTCACTGTACAAGAAACAAGCTTGATATTGTACTTGGAGCACTTCAAATGACTTGCCACAGGCCAGTAGTTATCCTTATTGATTCCGGACCGCCATAGCCTGCAGTACCAGTGGATCTACTAGTGCTCCTTCCATGAGCAGTCTCTGAAAAACCTCCGTTTTTGAGTCTTGAACATGTGTAAGTGTGATCCGATGATCACCATCAATCGATTATCGAAATGTTGTTGTTTTTTTGTTTGTTTTTTTTTCGATTTCACCAGGCATGGTAAGCAGTACATTGTATTAAAGGGGAAGTTAAGGCAAAAATTAAAATTTCACCAGTTGTAGTCTTCGGGGTGCTGAGTCGAATGGTCTTGGTCCGAGAAAGCTGAGACGCTCCCTTCCTACTTGAATCCCAATCGAACTCGCGCACTTCCACCGAAACTGGGTGACTGCGCCCTACTAGATGGGGATTTGTATGCAAAATGTCACTAAAAGCGCCGTTTCGTTCTTATAAAAGCATGGATGACCGCGATTGGCCCATATGTTGTAGTCTTTTGGATGCTGAGTCGACTGGTTTTGGTCCGAAAAGGCTGCGATGCAGCGTTCCTCCTTTATTCCCAATCGAACATGGTTGAACTAGCGGTCACGTGCTCCTGCGTACACCAGTCAGCTGGTCACAGTGCCTGCAGGGTACAACTTACTAGCCTGTTTGACCTTTTTTGGGTGCAGTCCTGTCACTCGAGTTGAACTCGAGTTGAACCTTGGTGTGAAAGTTGTCGCCTGCTGGCGTGGTGACCAGGTGATTTGGGCACCCAGGAGCACGTGACCACTTGTTCAACCATGTTCGATTGGGAATAAAGGAGGAACGCTGCATCGCAGCCTTTTCGGACCAAAACCAGTCGACTCAGCGTCCAAAAGACTACAATATATGGGCCAATCGCGGTCATCCGTGCTTTTATAAGAACGAAACGGCGCTTTTAGTGACATTTTGCATACAAATCCCCATCTAGTAGGGCGCAGTCACCCAGTTTCGGTGGAAGTGCGCGAGTTCGATTGGGATTCAAGTAGTAAGGGAGCGTCTCAGCTTTCTCGGACCAAGACCATTCGACTCAGCACCCTGAAGACTACAACTGGTGAAATTTTAATTTTTGCCTTAACTTCCCCTTTAAACAGAAACAGAAAATAATATGGCACCCATTTTGATAGTCCAGGGGATGGCCCACGCCTGGTAAAGAGAATAAATAGAGAAAAGAAAAGACGGATATTTCACAGCAAGTACATGTACAATGGGGACACAGTGCAAGTAGTTAGTTCTCACAACGCCAAGCCACACTGCGCAACAGCCAACGCTGCTGACCGGTTTTGATCAACGGCAGAGGAAGAGGCTGGACGTCGATGACCACGACGAAATGTTGGCGCCATCAAAAGTTGAAAAAGGATTTTTTTGGTAAAAATATGACATATCCCGAAAAACCAAGGCTAATCCTGCGATTTTGCCATGGCGATCCAGAAAAAGCACCCTCAGTACTTGGCAGGTATGCAAAGGACTTTCAGGAAACTAGCCGAAAAGCCTGGTGCACGGCGTTAGGACGTAGGACGGTGCAGTACCACGCACAGATGCTACATGAAGCGGAAGCTATCACTGCGCTTCATGTACAAGCACCAGCGGCGCGCGTGGGTACGGGTGCTGATCAGCAAGCACGACAAGCGCAGTAGGCGATTTGGAAAAAAAGGACACTGATATGGCGTTGCCTTTTTGTCTGAAACAAAGTCGCATGATTGCGACGAACGGGGTTAACACTTACAGCCAACATGCGGGCAGTCTCACTCAGCTTCTGATCGGCAAGGTGACTGGCACGCACTGCCTTTGAGCGTGATTTGAGACGAGGAGAAGTGGAACAAGCTATGAAACGTGCAGCAGCTGTCCGGATCGAACGTTTTGAGCTCTTCCTCCAGCGACGATAGTGGCGAGGAGGATGTGTAACTTGCTTGAATTTTCGACTGAGTTGCTAACTGACATGTAAATAATCATGTACATAGTGCTTTGTGATCGTGGCTTGCTTCAAATTTTCGTGTTTCCTTCCTGAGACAAGTGTGAAGATAAGCGCCAATTGTAACTGGGCGGACCAAGTAGACATGGTTGCAATAATGAACTCACACGGATGGAGACTGGAGAGCCAAGGATTATTTTCTAAAAAGTAAAAAGGACCAAGGAACTACAAGTTACACTATTGTCCACTAACACCACCAGTTACTTGAAAATCAACTAGTAACTTGTAGTTCCTTGGTCCTTTTTACTTTTTATAAATGATTTTAATTAATACCTTTGCATACCCAGCTACAGGTCGTCCCCCGTTAATACGAGTCCGGTTAGTACATAAACCCCGTTAGTACATAAGAAATCTCAAGTCCCGGACGAAACGTGGTCACTTCCATACAAATTTTGTCGGTTAGTACATAATTCGTTAGTACATAAACCCCGTTAGTACATAACATTTCTCCGTACCCGCATGCCACCTACCTCAATAGTACATAATTTGTTGGTCTTTTGGCCTTCCATAGGAGGCACGTCGTGTTCTAGTTTCTACTTGTGGACGCAATTAGCTCAGAAATCAGAGCGCACATCACAAACTGACAAAGATCTGTTTTTTCCCCGAGTGACTGTACAGGCGCGGCTGGGCATTGTAAACTGTAGAATCTTCGCTGACTGTGACCGTTATAACATAATTTTTATGTTATATCGAGGGAATCAAGAATATCTCGCTCCCTAGTCATGGCAGCAAGAAACACTCAGAAAAGTTGAAAAAAGTGAAAAATTCTAGTATAGAAGCAAGTTATGTACACTTTCGTTTAGTACATAAACCCCGTTAATACATAACATTTGTCAAATCCCAGAGATTATGTTTTAACGAGGGACGACCTGTAGCTTGTGTTTACTTGAAATTCTGAACTTTCCGTGAGCGCTGCAGTTCTGGCTCATCTGGCCACGGCGGGGGCTGCCAAACAACCTTCCGGATCCGGCAAGCAGCTTGAAAAGTCAGGGAAAGAGACTGCGGCGTCATTTAGACGTGCACATAGCGCAGTACAGTACACTGTACGTTAGGCCTTGGCGGATTCTGCCGGCAGAAAAATTGGCAGAATGTAGTACTTTTTCTGGTAAGTTTCATGCATGTTTGGTATGTGCATAAAGAAATGGAGCAGAATTCGAGGAATTGCCCGCCATAAGGTTTATATGGCTCTGCCAATTTCACTGCTTTTCAAGCAGAATCTGCCGGTGCCTACTGTACGTCCTGTAGGCATGTCGTAGACATTGTTAGGATTTTTCCGTTCACGCGCTAAATCCAACTGTACTCGTACCCATCACCCAAACCACTGTCGGTTTGGTATCGTTTCGACGATGCTTGAACAGAAAGCTCTGTTTAGCGGGAGAACGAAACGGTAAGATTCCAACAATTAGATTACGTCACAAGTCGATCGTTGTGTCAGAAGTTCAGAATCCGAAATGCTGACCATGTCTTGAAAACGCACAAAAACCGGTACAGGCCGACGGTCGAAGCTAGCGTGAACGGTACAATACTAACCATGTCTTGTTTGTACATGTGTGTGCGTAGTTTATTCGTCCACAATGAGTCGAGACTCAGTACAGTGAAATGAGGTACTTATGGACACCCAAGGGACTGAGACCAAATGTGCCCTGAGACTGCGTTTTTAATTAAAAGAGAACTTTCTACCCGGCTTGAATGTCTGTACGGTTGCGAAAAAGATTGGTCTGTGTTTACACGAAGCGTGCTGACCCGGTTTGATTACTGATATGCGGACAAAAGTCCATTCCTCTAGACTGGTATGGTTGTGTGAAGGAGAGGACAAGTACGGGAAATAGTACCCAGCATGCAATTCTAATCATAATTATATGGACAGGTGTAAATATGAGGATGTGAAGGTTATAGTTATAATGTATAGACATCTGGTATTGGACGTCACTCTTTCCACAAACAAATGGCAAAGAGTAGTAATATTTCCACTACAACTCATCCATAGGGTGCCCCATAGCCTCATAGGCTGAGGAGCCAACATACATGTACTTGATGAGTCCACAAAGGCCGAAACAGTTCTGTCCGCAGATTGAGTGCATTTCTATGCACCCAAGTCCTTGGAGGCACTGAAATTCAACTCCACCCATCTGTGTGTGTGTTAGAGTGAGTGCACTGGTCTATCTCAAGTGCTACTTGTAGCGCAAGTGCTATAAGTGTGACAGATTAGCATGACAAGTTTCTAAGTGGACTTTTGTCCCAGCCCAGCTGTCCAGTGTTAGACAGCCTGCCTTCAAGTGGATGTGCTGCAAAGGAATGTAGGCATAGAACATCAACCCCTATTCTCCTCCATTCAAGCTGGCAGAGATCAGGGGATGGATGGAGCTAGAAATGGTGCACAAGAAACAGTGCAGTGTGGGCTTGGTTACACTTACAGCTACACATTTGTGTGTGTGTGTGCCCCTCACGTGCTCATGCATGCATGTGTGTGTGTGTATATACAGGAGGAAAGGGGGCTGATGTGTGTGTGTGTGTGTGTGTGTGTGTGTGTGTGTGTGTGTATGTGTGTATGTATGTATGTGTGTGTATGTGTGTGTGTGTGTGTGTGTGTGTGTGTGTGTGTGTGTGTGTGTGTGTGTGAGGTGGTGGACCAATTCACCTACCTTGGCAGTGTGCTCTCCTCGGATGGTCTTGCCTGTGCTGATGTCCCCTCTCGCCTTGCGAAAGCCTCAGCTATGTACGGAGCCCTCAAAGCTCCCGTCTTTGATAACAAGAACCTGTCGCTTCGCCGCAAGAGGCGTGTGTATGAGGCTGTCGTCCTCACGACCCTCTTGTATGGTGCGGAGACGTGTACCACTAAGGCAGGCCACCTCCAGAATCTAAACACGTTCAACATCAGTGTGTTCGGGCCATCGTGGGTATCGGCCGTCGTCAACAGTAAGATGATCGGATCACAACGGCCACTTTATCGGCTACATTCGGTGTTGACCCTAACATCACCAGCATCATTCGTCGCCACCGTCTTCGTTGGCTGGGTCATGTCGGCAGGATGGATGACTCCCGCGCACCGAAGCAATTGCCCCCGTCCTCGTCACGGCCCGAAGAAGAAGTGGCGAGATGTGGTGTTGACTGACCTGGCGGACCTCGGCGTGACCACCTGGCTTGAGAATCAAGATCCTTCCGGCTGGAGACGAGTTGCGAGTAGCACTCCACCGCTACAGCCCGCTCCTGATCCTCTTCTGTAGCTCTGTGGACGCCCGTTTTCTCGACCAGGAGACCTGAAACGACATGCCAAGTTCTGCGCTCGTGTTCTCACTTGAACTTTCCGACATTCACTATCATTGCGTACGCAATGGGCAAGGTCGAGGTGTGTGTGTGTGTGTGTGTGTGTGTGTGTGTGTGTGTGTGTGTGTGTGTGTGTGTGTGTGTGTGTGTGTGTGTGTGTGTGTGTGTGCAGGGCCGCTAGGGGAGGGGGGGACTGTACAACCATATAGGGTGATATTCAGGCATGTCGACTTCTAGAGTGTGCTGGTCGCGATGACTACAGAATAAATTCACACTTTCTTTGCTTCTGCGTACCTTCTTCTATACTTACTCTGACGTTTGAAAGGTAATAATATTTATTTCTGTGGCTTCCTGCACAATGCCTCCACCCTTAACCAACCATTGATCATGTCGATGGCTGTCTATTGGTTGTCTTCTTACCTGCAGGTCATTTCGTCTGGCTTTGACAATGAACAGGAGTTCTGCTTTCGCTGCAGCTCAGAGCAATGACGTAACCAATGATGTCATCGGAACTTTGCAGTGTGATGAGGATGCAAGGCGCCGTGGCACGGCTGCGGGGGAGAAGACGCGGAGCAATGAGTCAGGTATTGGCGGCTTGTCTCGTTGTCAGCGCTTTCTCACTGTCTGCTTCTTAGGTGTGGCGGTGGCCACATGTCCGCTGAACATGGCACAGCTCGGTCCGTTCTTTTCTCACGCCGCGCTGGCAAAGAACCCGGCGCCCGATGCCTTGTACCACACGGCCATCGGCGCAGTGTTCAGCATGAATCAGATCGGGTGCATTGCGTTCGGCCCGTTCATCATGCACGACCTGCCGAACATCGGAAGCAAACAGGCGCTCGTCCTGGGCGTCGCGGTACAGGGCGCCTGCTCCTTTCTGTTCTCCGTGCTCGACCGCATCTCCAGCTGGCGCGTGTTCTTGGCGTACGCGTACGCCATACGCTTCCTACAAGGAATGGCGTTCACTACCACCACCATCTCGGCGCAGTCCTATCTCACACAGATCTACCCGACGAACCTTGGCTTTGTCAACGCACTGATGATGATCAGCCTGTCGCTGGGTCACGCTGTTGCCACCGTACTCGCCGGAGGTCTGTACGACGTCGGCGGCTTCATGTTGCCATTCATCGTCACCGGGGCGATAGCCTGGTGCGTGACCGTCGCTCTCGTGCTCTTCATCGTCGACGTCGATGCGCTGACGGCTCGGCAGAACGGCGGCGCTCGTGAGCGGCACACAGGGGTTCTCGCCGCACTGCGAATACCCTGGATCTGGTTCATCCTGCTCATCTTTGTGGCATCCAACCTGGCCTACAGCTCCAGCGAGGCTCTGCTTGCCACGCAGATGAGGAATGTGTTCGGTGTACGCTCCGTGACAGTCGGAGCGGCGCTGGCATTGCAGGTTCTAGCTAATATCGTATCGTCGCCGATTGTCGGCAAGCTGATCGACAACGGGTGTAGTTGTTACTTGCTGGTGTTTGTGGGCATGCTACTGAACGTGCTGGGGTGCCTGCTGGTCGGGCCCTCATCGTTCCTGCACATACCCGCGTCCCTGCCACTGATCTTCGTTGCCATGGTACCGTGGGGCGTCGCCCACGTTGTCATGGCAGTATCGGCCGTGGTGGCGGCGTCGCAGCACCTGCGGCTGGTCGGCGCGGGCAGTGCTGTGGAGACGCGTCTTGCCGTGGCCGGCCTGGCACGTCTCTTTCTCTCCGTCGGTTACGGCATCGGGCCGCTGGCGATGAGCCCGTTGGTGGCCGTGCTGGACTTCCAGGCCGCCTTCACCATCCTGGCGTGCGTGTACCTGGTCCTGGCCGGACTTCTCGTGCTGTTGAAGTGGCTTGATTTGATTGTGCGAAAACTGAGATCACGTTGTAAGCGTGATGGTGGTGATGATAAGCAATGTGATGATCTGGATCATAGCACACCATTGCCAAGTGAAGCTACTGAGCTACAGCCTCTCAAACACTGATTGTCATTCTTTTCGGTTCTATGTATGTTATGAGGTTTTTAATATATTTTTTATTATGTGTGCTCAGTAGCTTTCAGTGTGACACTGAAGCAGGAAAAAGAGAGACAGAGACACAGAGAGAAAGAAAGAAAGAGAGAGAGAGAGAGAGAGAGAGAGAGAGAGAGAGAGACAGATACAGACTGACAGACTGACACACAGACACACAGACACACAGACAGACAAACAAACACATACACAGAGACGTACGGAGAGATAGACGCACAAAGAGGGAGACAGATGGCCAGATCCTAAGAAAAATATGCCGTGACAGGCAGAGAAAGAGATGAGCGAGACCTTGACACCACATTCTTTTGATTTTATCATTGACATTGCTTGATTGGTTAGCTTCGTGATGTATATATTTCTAGCTGCATCATTGTGTAATCCTCACCTTAGCTTGAAAGTGCACTCTCTCTCTCTCTCTCTCTCTCTCTCTCTCTCTCTCTCTCTCTCTCTCTCTCTCTCTCTCTCTCTCTCTCTCTCTCTCTCTCTCTCTCTCTCTCTCTCTCTCTCTCTCTCTCTCTCTCTCTCTCTCTCTCTCTCTCTCTCTCTCTCCCTCTCTCATTCTCTCTCTCTCGCTCTCTCTCTCTCGCTCGCTCGCTCTCTCTCTCTCTCTCTCTCTCTCTCTCTCTCTCTCTCTCTCTCTCTCTCTCTCTCTCTCTCTCTCTCTCTCTCTCTCTCTCTCTCTCTTTCTCCCTCTCTCTCTCTCTCTCTCTCTCTCTCTCTATCTCTCTCTCTCTCTCTCTCTCTCTCTCTCTCTCTCTCTCTCTCTCTCTCTCTCTCTCTCACTCGGGTTTGTAACCAGGCAATCACTGGTACCAACCAATAAACATTCAGCTGGGTCACACTGTCATTGATTGTTTGTATGGAGCTCAGTCATACCAGCAATCAGCCTAGCCAGAGCAAACTACCACATTCTAAATAATATACAAATAATCTACGTGGAGATAAAAGTTTAATAATAGCAATGAAAAGTATGAATGCCGCAGACATCACCACGCAACATGACAATTTGTTCAAGGTTTGGTTTTGTGTGTTTCCAAAATCGATTTTCACGTTCCGATCATCAGTGGAAATACGGAACTAAAGAGATCAAGGGAAAAACAAAGGTTAAAAATCCAAAGAAGTGTGACACACGACGGGTAACTTGTGGTAAGTATTACAAAAAGTGAGAACTAAAATAAAGAGTAAGTGCATAAGCGAAGCTGTGGACGCAGCATACTGCTGCTACACTTCAACGCGGGAATGCGTATAATAATAAGTGTGACAAACGGGCATGAACAGTGCAGAAACAACTCATGAACACGGGGTGCAAACTCACGAAAATAACCTAAGTGCTAAAACATGTTCTTTTTGCTTACACAAATCGGGCTTATGCGTACGAATACAAACAGCTTCAAGGACCTTCAACTGCTGGACATAACGGGTACGACACAGTACAGAGAAGTGGGAATCATCATACACACTCAAACAATCGGGACGAGATAACAAATGCAAATACACAGCTGACTTCTTACGAATTTCACCCTCATCAGCTCCATCACCTTCCCTGCCACCTGACTCCTCCTCGTCCGTTTTATCACCATCACCACCAGCCGTCTCGCCGTCATCCGCCTCGTCTTCATCCGCCGCCTCGTCATCACCCGCCTCGTCGTCATCTGTATCCTCGCCGTCATCCGCCTCGTCGTCATCTGTATTCTCGTCATCCGCCGCATCATCACCCAACTCATATTCACCACCAGTCAGTCGTCTGATACCATCCATGTACCATCCATGTACCATCCATCCTTGATCTCTTTAGTTCCGTATTTCCACTGATGATCGGAACGTGAAAATCGATTTTGGAAACACACAAAACCAAACCTTGAACAAATTGTCATGTTGCGTGGTGATGTCTGCGGCATTCATACTTATTATTGCTATTCTAATAAAGTACTTTATTCTTTTGACGCTTTCCATTTTTCCTCTCCCTCCAATTTTAACCCCACCCTTACACCCATTTTTCACCGTTCAAAACTCCCTAGATAAACATTTTGTTGCTTCTGGAGAATTTTTCAAAAATAGAGGGAATATATAAATAAATAAACAAACTGATCCTGACCACTATACTGGTGTTTGTACTGGTATGCAATGTGCATGTCCAGGGAATGTCGTGTGCCGCAGCATGCAGTACGGCATCACGGGTGGGTTTCTTCTGTGGTTTGCACGTAACTGTGAGCTTGGCATGTGTGCCCATGAAAACTCAGTTCTCCAGTGTCGGGTGAAGGTTGTCTCGCTGCATGAACATTTGGAAGACATGCTGTACACCTAGAACGTCTGGTTCACGGCATGGACTCTTTCTTGCACAGACTGTGTGCAATTCTGCATATGGGGTCTCTGACCTTAAACAAAAAATTATGGTTCGCGTCAGACTCGGCTAGAGGCCGAGTTTCCCGTAGATCAGCTAGTAGATCAGCTCACCAGCAAGTGGTCAAAGACCGAAAAGTCCAATTCACTGCATCCATATTTTCTCGTGCCAAGCCTCGAGTTCCCAAATAAACTGTCGGTCGCAGCACGGCTGGAAAAAGTCCTTCCGCTTCCGACCTTAACGGTGGGGTAATATTATACTCCTACCACATTTAGTAATTCTTGATATACCGTATTTCCGCAAATAGTAGGCCGGTCTACTATTTTTTCACACTCGTCCTAACCCGGCCTTATAATCGAGGACGGTCTTGTATTCGAGGACGGTCTTTTATTCTTTCAACCCAATTTGACCCCGGTCTTCTATTTCTCGCCACACAGTTTTACCCCCGTTCTTCCATTTTCTTTCTACACAGTTTGAGCACGGTCTTCTATTTTCCCACAGTTTGAGCACGGTCTTCTATTTTAACACAAGTCGTAAGACTCATTTAGTAGGCCCGGTCTTCTAATCGAAACAGTCTTGTATATTTTCATCCCCCCTGCCCCGCCTTGTATTCGAGGAAGGCGTTGTATACGAGGACGGTCTTTTATTTGCGGAAATACGGTACATAAAGTTTACGTGAGGAGGCGTTCGTCCAGTACCTTTGGCCACGGAGGAGCGAACAGGCTACACCATGCACGGCATGCCGGTTTAGTATGCACACTATGTATGACGTCATGTATGTTGTAGCTAGGTGTCTAAAAGACCCGCAGGCTGTGTGTAGTGGTTCTATGTCCAGTGAACAGAGCCAGACATACAGTTCAGCAGTCAGATGAGTGTTTTCAGACACCGACAACTCAAGAGTATTGGCTAGGAAGGACCTGGTTCCACTGTTGCCTGTTTGTATCATCAAGAGTACATAAATTATGAACTCTTGGTATCATGCATGGTGCAGACAACAAATGTGTACACATAAATGTACATGCATATGCGGTACTCACCAACGCATACACTGCACATACATACATACCAGTCCTAAAGAGAGGATTTTCGTGCACCTCCCCTAGGGTTCGGTAATTGCAATTACACAAAAATGATCCAGTGGTTCGGTATCTGTATGCATGTCTCTCTCAGACTGAGTCAGGGCTTCATGCTGCTGCTATTAAAGCAATTATCAGGAGACGATGATGTATGGACGGTGCTGACCAGGCAGTACCCGCTTTCAGCACTCTGACCTGCTTTCAAGGTTACCCTGTAAGTGCGATTTATATTTATGTTTACTGTTGTGTTCGGCCTGCAAGCCACGTATTGTCTCTCTCCGTACTGTCTCTCTCTCTCTCATCTATGTGTGTGTGAGAGAGAGAGAGAACATTGAGAAAGAGAGAGAGAGAGAGAGACAGAGAGAGACAGACAGACAGACAGACAGAGAGAGAGAGAGAGAGAGAGAGAGAGAGAGAGAGAGAGAGAGAGAGAGAGAGAGAGAGAGAGAGAGAGAGAGAGAGAGAGAGAGAGAGAGATAGAGAGAGAGAGAAGAGAGAGAGAGAGAGAGAGAGAGAGAGAGAGAGAGAGAGAGAGAGAGAGAGAGAGAGAGAGAGAGAGAGAGAGAGAGAGAGAGAGAGAGAGAGAGAGAAGAGACAGACAGAGACAGAGACAGAGACAGAGAGAGAGACAGAGAGAGACAGAGAGAGACACAGAGAGACACAGAGAGAGAGACAGAGAGAGAGAGACAGAGAGAGAGAGACAGAGAGAGAGACAGAGAGAGAGAGAGAGAGAGAGAGAGAGAGAGAGAGAGAGAGAGAGAGAGAGAGAGAGAGAGAGAGAGAGAGAGAGAGAGAGAGAGAGAGAGAGAGAGAAGAGAGAGAGAGAGAGAGAGAGAGAGAGAGAGAGAGAGAGAGAGAGAGAGAGAGAGAGAGGAGAGAAGAGAGAGAGAGAGAGAGAGAAGAGAGAGAGAGAGAGAGAGAGAGAGAGAGAGAGAGAGAGAGAGAGAGAGAGAGAGAGAGAGAGAGAGAGAGAGAGAGAGAGAGAGAGAGAGAGAGAGAGAGAGGAGGGAGGGGAGGGAGGGAGGGGCGACAGACAGACAGACAGACAGACAGACAGACAGACAGACAGGACAGACAGACAGACAGAGAGAGAGAGAGAGAGAGAGAGAGAGAGAGAGAGAGAGAGAGAGAGAGAGAGAGAGAGAGAGAGAGAGAGAGAGAGAGAGAGAGAGAGAGAGAGAGAGAGAGAGAGAGAGAGAGAGAGAGAGAGAGAGAGAGAGAGAGAGAGAGAGAGAGAGAGAGAGAGAGAGAGAGAGAGAGAGAGAGAGAGAGAGAGAGAGAGAGAGAGAGAGAGAAGAGAGAGAGAACTCGGAGAGAGACAATACGGCGACAAACACTAGACACTGCATTTAAAAAAGAACACTCCTCCTTGCATGGTGGACAATTAGAAGCTGTGTCTAAGAGTACATATCCAGCCGATAGAGTGGGTGAGACCTGTCAAGCTCAGCAAACCTGGAGGTCTCGGCGCCAGGGGTCGCCGAATGCACCTTGGGGTGGATGTGGATGGGGTGCGGGAAACGGAGGGACTAGGAAAGGCAACGGGAGAAGAGCCACTGTAGTACTGTGAGTGTAAAAGGTTTCCGTGGAGATCAGAATGTTATTAACGCAATGAATAGAGTGAGAACGTAGTTTTTCCTAATGGTGTTTGTACTGAGTGTGCAGCTCACTCTATTCCTGGAATCCAACCTGCACGATGCAAATCATTTTACACATGACATTGTATAGCCTTCGCCTCTGCTGCCAACGAAATACAACATTCAGTCAGAACCTGATCAGAAACAGTGACTACTTTGTGACATAACGGATCTGTTTCGGATGTGCAGTGCTATGGGAATGGGTGTGTCCACCCGAATTCCTTTTTACTAAGTCTATGAATATAGGCGCTGCTAGTGCCAGTGGTGCCTGATGCTGATGCTGGTGGCGTTTTCTGTGGTAATGGTGGTGGTGCTGGTGCTGTATTGTGACCAGGAACATTTTTGAAAATTCATGATATAATAAATAAATTTAAAATTTAAAAGATACGTCATTGGAAAGATGATTAGAAAATCCAAAGTCAACGCATGCAATTATTACCGCGTCGCAGTCACTAGTAGACTCACTACTATCAAAAGCAGATCATTATTAAGTTTAGTGCTGGTGCTGATGGTGTTTGCTGTGGTGTTTGCTGTGGTGCTGGTGGTGTTTGTGCTGGTGCTGGTGGTGCTAGTTGAGAACAGTTTTGCTCACAACACCCATTGGGCCAATAGCGTGAAAGCATGAAGTCAGAACCAAAGTAAAAAGACAACCCAAACGAAGTTCGGAAATAAATAGAACACTCAATTGAAATTTAAGATTGAACGCAAAAGCTTGACAAGAAATCGTTACCTAATAGAATTGCTTACAAGCAGGCAAAGGCGAAGTCACGCCTCTGCCGTGGTGGTGCTAGTACTGGTAGTCCTGGTGGTGTCTCCTGCTGATGCTGGTAGTAGTGTGCAGGACTGGAGGTGTCCGTGGAGCTCAATGTGGCATTTCTGCTTAGTGTGACCTACAGTTAAAATGTATTCTATGGCGAAATGAGTGTTCTAAGAAGCTAGAATATTTTCACACTGTCGACCAAATCCGAACATAAATCTGCGATTTTTCGAGCTTTCTGCCGTCAACAAAATTGAAGATTCTGCTCGGAAAGCCGAGGGAATTTAATTGGCGGAGCCATACAAACCTTACTGAAAGCGGAAAACTCCTTGAATTCTGCTCGTCTTCCTTATGCATATCTTAGCAAACATGCAGGCAACAAAAACCAATCATGTCCTGTAACCGGATAGTGGCGTTTCAACGTTCTACAACAATGTACTTTACTACTACTGTACATGTTCATGTATAATATTATGCAACCAGTTCCCACGCAAAGCATAATGCATCACTGTCTATCGGACTGAATCTACCCACAGAGAGCCATCATAGTATCAGCCTATAATGCTGGCATTCGGATTCCACAATGCAACCAGTTGCCACACAAAGTATACAATGCTGTCTGTCGGACTGAACCTGCCTACCCCCAGAGAGCTATCAATCATATGGGGGCATTCCACATGCTCACACTGCAAGCACCACTTCCTTCCTCAGTTTCGCTATCCAGGTTAACCCTTATCCGTTAAGTATGATCGCCGA